TGGGCGTTGAAGGAGCCAGATCATGTAGTGAACTGGCAGAAGAGGCTGGTGGCCGCGTTGGACTGCGCCGGTCGTAGCAGACGTTGGGGGTGGTGGCCCTGAGATCTTGGAGGTCGAGGCCGAAGGTCTTGGGCCCTAGATATATTGGCATCTTCTGAGGGCTCAGCGCAACCTACATTGTCGTCATCCACAGCGATTTATCTAACGCTAGAGATATCTATATAGAATTAGAGTTATATAATCACGTAGTCCTTTATCTAACCTTCTAAAATCTCTATATAGCTACTAAAAATATTTAGAATTAAGTTAGTTAAGATTCGAAACCTTGTAACGCCGCGTACCTCATTAGGACGGGCTTGGCCAGCTCTCGATCTACTATATAAACTGTAAATTGTGCTCAACATCTCCTGTTGCTAGAGGGTATCTGAATACTTCTCTACCTCCCTCTAGTACATATCAAGATATTGAGGAGATGTTCAATAGGTCGCCAGGTCCTCGGGGTGTGCAGTGTCTTTAGATCGCACCGGGCTCTTCAGGACTGAATACTCAAACTTCCGATCGACATATTTCAACGCCTCTGGATTAACATTGTTTGTGTTGAGGCCCATTAGATATTCTCCTCCATCTGTCGGGGGAGGCCGCAACGGCCACCAATAGCATCTAGCACAGTATGAGCTCGCAATATCATAGAAGAGGGATCGATCTTTCCTTACACGCATCCACAATTGTCACAGAAGTTGAAAGATAGGTCTCGGTCTCCCCAGATGTACTGCTTGGTGATGGCACCTGGCTTCGTTTCGATCTTGACCTCGTCTGGGTGGTAGTAGCCCCATGCGGCACCATAACGCCTACATATGGTACACTGGCAGACGTTAATATATTCGGGCAATCGTTGAACTATGATTGCAATAGCACCACAGTGACAGGTGGAGCGGATTGGGGGGTTTGGGGCAGCCATATTTGACCTATTCGTAAAGAGCTTGATTGTGAGATGAGAAGAGCTTGTAATTTGGACCTGCCAAAGCTTGTCTGTTGGATCACCAGAAATGACTTATGTAGCCGGTAATATATGTACTCTGATGACCCAGGATCGTAGGCCAGGCACAGCCCAGGCACCAGGCACCAGGCAGCCATTTCCGGACCGGAATAACGTTGGACCCTGGATCGGCGTTTGTTGCCCACTTTGACCAACGAGGCAAGAGCACACCTTCTCAGGCTCGCACAGGGACCATATCATAGCACAGGCTTCGGTGCCAAATGCCAGCTTCGGTATTGTTTCGGGGGCGACATCTTGAAACATGTCTTCGGAAACTACCACAATCACTCGATGCGACATCGGGAAGAATGCTATACTGTTTCATACGTCGTAGCCCTTGTCAGTCGAGGTCCTCTTCACGGATACCTTGCATTCTTAAAGCATACGGTGAGGTTCTGAATCACGGTGGCCCAGGTGGTGTGCTATATGGTTTTTTGTCGGACAGAATAGGTGACGTAGCTGATAGTGGTTATGTCTGGGTCGAAACATGACTTGCTGTCCTGGATATGCCTATCAGACTGGCATTTCCACTGGCACTACCAGACCCAGGCTCAGACCGTTGTCGACAGAGCCTGTCGAATTCGTCCAGGACTTGACTTTTGCTTATGTCTAACCCAATCGCACGGATAGAGTACTTATCCTGCACTCGCTGGGCGGAAGCCACAGAGTGTTTGGTCTTTGAATGGACGGCAGCATACATGGACTTGTAGATCCCTTGGCCAGTGTAGCCGACGAGGCCCATGCACGCTTCAATCAACAAATCAGCAGGCTTTACTTGTCGACAAGGGGCTACCGTACGTACCTGCAGTGGGTTTCGTTGCTGTTTGCAACGCCCCTTTACCGATTCCTTTGCCAAAGCCAATTATTCCTTCCTTGGCCATACCCTTTGCTGGTTGCACGACCAGATCTGTCAGCCCCTCAGCCATCTGATGGACGAAGGTCGTTGCAGCCACGGTGATGCCGCTTTTCCAGTCAGTTACGGCAGCATGATCAGGCACCTTCTCCCCGTAGAGTTTCGGTGTGTTCCGCATGCCTTCGGCAATGGCGACGGGTATGTCGATTAAGGATCCCTTCACCACTATTCCTGTGAGCTGCGAGATACTCATCGCAGAGGCGCCGACCATCCTTGCAATTTGTTTGCTTGAGCCTTCCATTGCGTCCATCTCCATTCCAGACTCGGTTTGGTGAGCTGAAGACGCACGGCCAAGTGCACGATCTTTATCATTCTGCTTATGGACTGCTCGTGGATTTCTCCAGAATCCACTGATAGCAGCCAGAATATCATATGACACTTCCATGGAGACGGCGACTGAGCTGGTGAGAAAGTTCCATCGTCTGTTCTCGATAGTAATGGGTTTCGGTTTGTACAGTCGAAGATGGTCAGCTTTGATCCTCTGAGCCAGGATCAAGATTTCAGCCGCAGGCCCGGAAATTTTTAGCAGAGTTTTCGATCTCTTGTACAACCAAGTAGCGGGAAGTCCCTTGATCAAATCACAGTTCATGTCATCAACCGGCAGATGACGATGAAATGAACGGACAGCTGCTTTGACTCCCTCCTCAGCAGCCATCCTGTCAGCCACGTCCTTTGCAGCTTGTTGAGTCTCTTGACGCAAACAGAAGCGTATGCAATCGCTTAGATTCTTGCTATTTAGTTTCTTGTGAGCGATCGCGGGGGGTCCAGCCTGGGAAGCGGCAACCACGTTACCCCAAAATAGCTGGCTATATTCGATCAGCAACGACAAAGTAGTAGACGTGAATGAGAGCATACTCTCCGAAGAATGGCACAATGACAGTTGGGCAGCCATTCATCAGCCCAGTAGCAGTGGTCCCTGCACCGCCGTGATGAACCACCACTGAAACTTGTTGAAACAACCACTCTAGGCATTTAGCTAGTGACACTAGGCAAAATTGCACCGACTGGTCACTTACCATGAGGACAGTCCCCGAGGAAGTAGATGTTTTCGTCGACGTTTTCGCTTTCCAGCTTGCTCCACCCCTTAGAGATGATGGCACGGACGCCACATGCCTTGATGGCAGCAAGTACTATGTGGAGGAGCCTTCCAGGGTTCTCAACCACGATACTACCAAAGCCAACATAGATCGGAGTCGGTCCAGACCTCAGAAATTGTTCGAGGCCATCGGGTATAGTGAAAGATACTGGATCCCGACGGAGGAAACCGCAGATGTCTGCATTGTCCGTCAAGGGAAGAGCTTATTGAGAATGTCAAGTACTGACCGATATGCTTGCCCCAGTCGGTAGGTTTGGAGACCAACGCGGGAGACCAGCAGTAGGTGTGAGGAATTTGAAGGGTTTCCATGAGGAAAGGAGCCTCGGACATGGGAACGGGTTCCAGGCCAATGGATTTCCGCCATTTTTGTACAATATCACCGATTCTCAAAGGGAAGTCAGCAGAGAATTACAAGGAGAGCAGACTTGTCATACCCATTCCAGGTCAACAACTGGACCATGCCGTATGAGATGTAATTTGCCAGCCTTGGATCGGTACTACTATTTCTAATGTTCGCTAGAGGATGAGGAAATGCTCGAGTTGGACTCCATGGCATGGTGAACATAATATGGAGCGGCACTCCGAGTGCTTGAGCACAGTGGATGTGCGCAAAGGATGGAGGGTTCGCGATAATGGCATTGGCAACGAACGGTTCTCCGCCATCTGAAGGTAGAATGCACGAAGCCCAGCAACCGTCAAGGATCTCGCGGATCATCTGCCTGTTCTTTTTGACGTCTCCTTCTCGCAGAGCCTTCATGCGAGGTAGCAGTCCGGGATTCTTGACCATGTACTAGACAGCCAATTAGCTTATAACCCAGGAATCAGGAAATCATCTGGTACCGCCATCAGCTCAGCTGGATCGCCTCCAATGGAGTAGAATTCCAATCCTGCGGTCTCCACGAATTGTCTAAAAGCTGCGTGAGTTGCCAGGCGCACCCGATGCCCATGACGCTGCAGCTCTTGTCCAAATGCAACAAACGGCTGTACATCCCCACGGCTACCGACAACCTGGATCACGATATTCAAAGGTAGTTTCCACGAGTCTATGCCCAAGATGGACGAGTACGCCGGCGGAGGCTCGGCAACTTCTTCCTCATCCTCGGAAGCTTCCACAAGTTGTGCGAAAACTTGTGCAAGTTTTGAGTTGAGGTTGAGAGAGATGCGTCCATCATCGAGGACGTCCGTGGCATCTTCTGCAAAGGCGTCAGGAAGCGGAGATTCGGATTCATCGGGGTAAGCGCTTTCATTTTCGTTCACGTTGGTCGTCGAAAGTTGCAAAGACGGAGGCGCGGCAGTGGGTAGGCGAGGGAGATTTTCTTTTTTGCCCATGGCAGGGAAAGAATTCTCAGGAGCTAATCAGGGAGCCGCGCAGCCTTAAGGTCATTCTTGATAAAACTCTTCAAGCGTGGAGTAATCTGCTAAGGATTTCCGCCGTATATATTTCTCCTGACTTTCAGGCAACAACATTTCATGCAGGCTGTGGAGAGGTTTTTCCTTGACTCGTGAATGGCTACAGGCGCCAATACGCAGTACGGCAATGCGGCTGGCACACAGGATTGTGTGGCTTCAAACATGATTGTGTGGAAGACCGGACGCCGTTGATAACTTTCCGGGGTCCCAAAACCCACTTCAGGAACACCGAGGTGTGATTGCGCGTCTCTAGAGATGGGACTGAACACAGCCCAGTTGATAGCTGGACAAATTGAGAAACCTCACCCGGTCTAAGAAGCTCGGAAAATCTCCGACAGGCTTCATTCAGCTCGTCTGCCCTCGATGCTATTAGGTTGGGAGTTAATCCCTGAGCTTGTCTTGTGAGGTTTCTTGCCAAGAACCTTTTTACCACTTTTGGATGCGGATCCACCAAGCCCGAATAGGATGGCCTAGTGGCCTCTTCTTGAAATGACATCTTCTCCATGGCTTACACAAAAATTATTTTACGTGACAAGTTGCGCACCATGGCAAAAGGGAATAGCACACCGGAACGACTCAGTTTACATTTCAACTCTGCGACTGAAGATTCCAGTACCGAAAATGAGTTTCTGAATCCTCCTTCGAAGCGCAGACGGATTTCACAAGAGAGTGATCAACTCGGTGGCACTGTCCTCCAACCCACCTCGATATTCAGAGTAAAAAGGACTCTGCCTCCAGAGACAAATGAATCACCATCGATCGCGCAGCCACCCATCGCCCCCATTCCTACAACATCCGCAACCTTCCAGTCACTTGCCGTGGCACCATGGCTGATACATTCACTCGGCGCAATGGCCATAACACATCCCACCGAGATCCAACGGGCCTGCATACCGGAAATTCTAAAAGGAAGAGACTGCATTGGAGGCTCGAGGACGGGCACGGGAAAGACTGTGGCCTTTGCGGTTCCTATATTGCAAAAATGGGCAGAAGACCCCTTTGGTATCTATGCTGTCATTCTCACACCAACGCGTGAGTTAGCTCTACAAATATACGAGCAATTCCAAGCACTGGGAGCGCCGCAAAATCTCAAAACAGTGCTGATAACAGGAGGATGCGATATGAGGCCTCAGGCAGTTGCTCTGGCTAAGAGACCGCACATTGTTGTAGCAACCCCAGGCAGACTAGCAGACCACATTCTCAGCTCTGGCAAAGAGACCACCATCGGACTGTCTCGGGCGAGAGTCATGGTCCTGGATGAAGCCGACCGCTTGCTGTCCTCGGGACCGGGGTCCATGCTACCAGACCTCAACACATGCCTCTCTGCTCTTCCTCCACCTACATCACGCTTGACCCTTCTTTTTACGGCGACCATAACGCCAGAGGTTCGAGCACTGAAAGAACTTCCACGGCCACCAGACCGTCCACCTATCTTCATATCTGAAATTGGGGGTCCCTCCGATGCGTCTTTTTCTCCCAGCCTCCTTCCTGCGACACTCACACAAACGTACCTTCAGACTCCCATGACACACAGGGACGCCTTTCTTCACGTCCTTTTGTGCGTTCCCTCATTCACAAAGGCTCCCGAGCCTAACATCATTGTCTTTGTGAACCGCACCAGCACTGCCGACATTCTTCACCGCACCCTCCTCCAACTCTCTCATCCTGTGACGGCGCTACATTCCGAACTGCCTCAGAGCCAGCGAACGAGGAATCTCTCTGACTTTCGCTCGCAGAAGTCGCGGATTCTCATCAGCACAGATGTGGCATCAAGAGGCCTTGACATCCCCGAGGTCAACTTCGTGATCAATTATGATGTCCCTCGGAACCCAGTGGATTACGTCCACCGAGTTGGACGTACAGCTAGAGCGGGGAGGGAAGGCACGAGTATCACATTCGTTGGCCAGAGAGATGTCGCTCTCGTCCTGGCCATTGAGGAGTATATAGGAAGCAAGATGATAGAATGGGCTGAAGAGGGAGTCAATATCGAGACACGTGTGGTGAAGGGTCGGACGTTGAAGGATGTGGCCGAGGCCCGAATGGAAGCTCTTCGGGATATTGATAGTGGCAAGGACGTTAAAGGCTGGCGAAGGAAGATCAAGAAGGATAAGAAGCGTGCCTTTGTCGAATAGACAATCTCAACGCCACCCTCCTGATGACTCTACCTATGGCCGCCTAATCATGACTTTAGTGAGACCAATATAATACACCATTATGTCTTCCAGGCCTCGTTTCCTCTTTGCAATCTCTTTCAATTGGCCGTCGGCCTACCGATTTTCAGTGGTTGTACAATCATGTAGTGGTCCAGTTCACATTCACAACCCCTTGACGAAATGCTGACACGTTCCACTGAGGACTCTGGCTCATGGCCAAGCATTATCACCAAGTGTGGCGACTTCGATAACAATCTACCTCATCCAGTCGATATCAAGCTCTGCCTTGTACTCACCTTCATCATCGATGCTACTGAGAACAGTGTCTTCTCCTGTCCAGGTAGTTGGTGTACCGTGACGCGTACTTGACAGGCTTCCCGGTTTCTCACTTCCATTCACACTATCTCCTCTCAATCTCCCAGCAGAGCCATCGGACTGGTGTTCTTTCCACCATTTGCCACTCTCTTCAACGACCTTCTCTTCCCATTGTGTAACGGGTCCAATGACCTCGACATCTTTCTGGCCGGCCTTGAGCACATCCCGACAGGGCAGAGACATGGTCATATTTTCCTGGTTGTCGCCGCCCGTCAAGTCTTTCAGCTTTTCTTCGCTAGCAGCGTAGACTAAACGCCCAATATTACTCCAGTACAGTGTCCCCGTACACATCGCGCATGGCTCCCAAGTCGACACAAGCGTGCACGCGGCGAGGTATTTCTGCGAGAAGTGGATGGTAGCAAGTCGGGCGAGCTCGGTCTCTGCATGTTGGACATGAGAGATGGAAAAGTGTGTAAGCAAGACGGTGGTGTTGTCAGGTCCCAAAAGCAAGGCTGCAAAAGGCCGCTTCTCGTGTAGACTCGTGGCAGTATTTTGCAAGTCCAAACATGCTTTCAGTGCAGCGTCAATTTGTTCTTTGGTCAAGGCCGCGCGGACTGGTTCAGAGGCAGGGATGTTCGAGTCGGATGCGGGTGGTATTTTAGGGGCAGAGGTGTTTGCTGAAGAGTTCGTTGATGATGCAGGCGTGAGCGAGGAGTTGGTGGTTAATATTGGGTTAGCACTGCTCTTTAGAGTGCTATGGATGGATGAGCCAGACAGCGCAGCCCCCGGAGGAGGTTTTCGATGAATAGAGCTTGGAGGTGGAGTTTTGTTGCTGGCATGAGCTGCAGTAGATTTGAGATATGCCTGGTAACTCATTCCGGGAGCATGAAGTTAGAGCCAGCCTATCAGAATGAGGTAATTGAAGCACTGTTTGGTCCCAAGGAGTACAAAAAGTCAATGCGACTATTTTCGTCTGCATGCGAAGCCTCCAAAGGTTTGCAGCAAGTCAGAATCAATCGGCGCTATTGGAGAAATAATTCAAAGTGCTGTAGACGTTATTGGAAGCAGCGGAGCGGATTTTTATCATTTCAGCAAGTACACAGTCGAGTGCCTGTTGATCGATCATGGGCTCCAGATACCCCCCGCTTTGCGCCACCGCTTTATCTTCAGCCGAGAAACACTGGGCGGCCAATACAACAAGGACCTGGAAAACTCGGTAGAGCTGCCCATTGATTTGTTGGTTTGTTGATTTGAAGCGAAAGACTTGGCCGAAGCCGCCTGTTCCTGGCGCTAGTGTTCCCGTAACGTGTGAGCTGTTCCCTCGTGCTTAGTTTCGAGATCATCTCGTAGACTTCCAGACTCCAAATCCACGACCTTGTGTTGGTCGTCGCCAACGAGGTTGGTGATGGTGCTGCGCCTGCAGTAGTGTTTCGTTCATATTCAGAAGACTATAATATCAACCTTGTTCTGTTCAGCACCATATCTCTGGCGAATGTTGTCGTCATTGAGAAAGGCTACCATCGGTCGAAAAATCTGACCTATCGTGAAGATAGTACTTCTCTTCTCGTCGTGATGGGAGCCATCCACCACAATTCTTTGTAGCCCCTGAGTCTTCAAAGCCCCTGCTTCCAACAATTGATTTAAGCGCTCTGGTGTGCCTATGGCAATTCCAACTCTGTTACTTTGCAGAAACTTTATGTTCATTTCGAGTTTCATGTGTTTAGGCATGAATTTACCGACTTTGGAACCCTGGCTCTTAAACACTCGCAGTTCTCGCATAAGATCTGCTATTCGCATGCCAGACATTGCAAGGACAATAGTATGTGGCGAGCCGACTTCCTCGCAGTTGGAAAGACCCTCTTTACCGCCAGCGGAAAATTGCTCGAGGAAGTCTGGGAGGTTCGCAGCAAGCCTTTCCTTAGTATAACTTGTGGTGTCGAGAAAAGCTTTTTTAGGAAGGTACATATCTTCCAGTTCGATGGGACTGCTGGTTGAGAACCACTTTTGAATGTTCTTCGCAAAGTGATCAGCGAGGAGGGAGGGATCGACGGCGACGTCTGGGGATGTAGATTGTTCCGACTCGGTGTCAAGAGCGGCTCGTTTCGGTAGAGGGTATGTTTTGGGATCATCGGACTGGTCGAGCTTTCGCTTCTTCCCTCCCATCGTTGTAGCCACCTTTTTCTGTGTAAGGTCGCCAGCGACCAGCTCGCTCTTTTCACGCCGGATAATATCCTGCGGGTCCTTCCCACCACCCTTTGGAGCCTTTTGCTTTGTGCGCGACATTATGGATTATTGGATGTCAAGGAGATGCATGCATGTGTTCTCTTGCGGCGAAGTCTAGCGCGGAGAGCGCAGGAATAATATCATATCCTGAAGCGCAAAGAAGAAATTAATTATTTGTTCTGGAATCAGCATCGATCCCCGCATTCGAAAGCCTTGGCGGAACGTGGGCCTCGAGGCCTGTCGTAGTGCGGAGAACCAAATACATAACAAGCGGTACCGAGTACGAGGTGCATACATTCTACACCTCCCTGTCCGTACAAGCACGGCCTTTTGCTGTCGCGGCAAATGCTAGATGGACTATACGCCGATCTAGAAATGCACCCGCCTAGAGCTCTGCAAGCTCTACCGACTACTTCTACGTAGACCTCCTCCTGAGTAATCTACTTATCTGGCGTCATTCCGAGACTAATGACACCATAACACGTCTGGATTGCATTTAAAGATCGTGGTCTTACGAGGCGACAGTTCCTGATTTCTCTTCTCATCGGAATAGTTCAATTGTATCTCTAGTACCGATTGCGAAATGGGCGGGTTCAAGGATAAGCTTGAAGGCCAGAATATCATAGTGGTCGGAGGAAGCACAGGGTGAGTCAGAAAACGTCCCTCTGAGTCCCATGGCCTTCAGCAACATCTGTGTTGACGAATTGTAGTATTGGCTTCGGAGCTGCAGCGGCGCTTCTCGATGTCGGTGCAAGAGTAACCATCATTTCATCCTCTTCAGCAAAACTAGATGCCGCACTGCAAAGACTTGGGTCTCCGAACGCCAAAGGAGTTGTCGCAGATGTCCGTAACGAAGCCGCCTTTACTGATACACTTCGATCACTGGCACCTGTCGACCACGTTGTCTTCTCGGCCGTTGATAACATTATTCGAGGCAAATTAGAAGATCAAAACCTAGACGAAGCAAAGCATCTCTTTGGGGTAAAATTCTGGGGTGCAGTGATTACTGGGAAAGGTATATTGGCTTGATAAGCTCGCATATACAAGTCATGCGCTGCTCACAGGTTCTAGTTCTTCTGAAGTACGATATTGTGCGCAAGGGAGGCTCCTTGACTCTCACGTCTGGGACCGCCGGCATCAAGCCTGGGAAGAACGCCGCGATTGGTGGAGCCTTGAATGGAGGAGTACTCTCTCTCACCAAAGGCCTTGCAGCAGACCTCGCGGAGAAGAAGATCCGTGTGAACACAGTCGTGCCAGGCTTGGTGAAAACACCCCTGTGGGATAAACAAGGCAAGACCCCTGAAGAGCAGGAGGAGATATTCAACAAAGCGAGCCAAACCCTTCCGGTGGGGTTTGTTGCCACTCCTGAGCATATCGCTGAAGCGTACCTCTATGCCGTTCGAGCAGATTACTCCACCGGGAAACTGATAGAGATAGGTGAGTGTAGCAAAGTCAATCTGATGAATGGTGCTGATGTGTTTTAGATGGAGGTGTTCTAGTATAGGTGCGTCTTGAGCTACACAGCAACACACTACCTTGACGTTCAGTTGAAAGCACCCTCACGCATATCTCCAAGACGCTTATATCCTTGTCTCAGAAGGGAACCGTACCGCCATGTCAACCCGATCTACATAGCTCAAAAAAGACTTCGTTGGTTAACAGACACTCGAGTACTCGAGATCAACCCCGACAGCCAGGAAACTATCTTGCTGCTTCTCGTTGCTCGTAGTGAAGTGGTAGATAGAACAGAGAATGAGAATGTCCTGCCAATACGTTCAGCCAATCCCTGTCGACGATTTACGCAGGTAATCACCCAAGCAGCAAAAGCTTTAAGTACGGGAGGTACTATACAAGACCAAAGTTTGCTTTGTGGTTACCAGTAGGATATTGTACCATATGGTATCCCTCCCTGAGGTAGTATGAGACATCAGGAGAAGCAGGGTCAACCGTACTCTGTTAGACTAACTGGAGCACTTCTGTGGCTTGGGAGATATGGGTTGGTCGTGCTGAAGGTCTTTGTAACTCGGGCTCCAGCGACAGTTTTGCTCATTCGGTTTCCCTCGGGCCTGAATGGGGACGATGCCCCTTGACATGTCTTTTTTCCTTCTCTCTTTTGCTTTCAGAGTCAACTGTAACCGAGATGTGGCCCTCTTGTCTCAGCCAGAATTGGAATTCCCACATCTGGGCTGCCATGACCGACACAATTTGATGCTGGCGAGATTGGGTGGTGCCTGCCCAAAGAGACCTTTTCCTCCTGAACCTTTCGAAGCAGAGTTGAATTTGAGCTCCAATGTATTATGCTTCCCTCTCTACCTTCGTCGTCAATCAGAGGACTATGGCGATATCAATCCATCAAGAACGAGGACCAGCTTCACCTTCTCTGCTCACTTGTCCGACAGGGACAACTTCATGCTACACTTTCAACGGAGCTTATTGTTATAATGCTAGTGGTCAAGATACTTGCTGTACTGATGGGAGTGGTGAGAAACTCTCCTTAACTTCCAAACTGCTCTGGCTGATCAACACTGGGTAGGAGTCTGCTCCGGTGGGTTCGAATGTGGGATTGGTGTTGCCGCTGACCTGTGCTGTCAACCAGTTTGTTTGTCCGCATCATCGTCCGATCTTCCAAAGCTCAACTGTCACAGGGCCAAACACCGGAGCAATGCGCACAGAGTTCTATCGTCGATGTTGCGACCACTGTCAATGCCATTCCAGACCCCACAGCCGCCTTACGCACATCTGATTCCAGAAAACCACACGTCCGCATTTTCGCCATATGGATTGTGTTAATGCTATTGGGGATTTTCTTTTTTCAACATCCAGTACCTTCCGATGGGGTAGATGGTGTATGAGTTTCGGTAATGGAGGTCCAAAGATCAGCAAGTGATATTGTCAGGGCCGTAAGCTTGTTTAGCAGTCAGTGAGTGGTTCCGTGACAAGGTGATTATGGGGCGCTGATAAAGAGTCGCAATGAGACTTTGCGATGGGATTGACACTGGGATGTGTCCCATACAGTGTGCAAGCCTCTCGAGAAATTGTCTTTCTTTCTAGGTCGCATCAGAATGATGTTACAGTAGCAGTAATACTACGGCCTCTGTTCGGCTTTGATGAGTATGGGCGCACTATGCGGGGCATCGGGGCGAGGGGTCGAGCATTGCATTACCTGAATCGGCGTCAAATTATTGATCCGAGAAATAATTTCCTTGACCGAGGTCCGCACCACTTGGACATAGCGAACGTTCTCGAGTGCCTTATTATCTCTTGGATATACCATTGTATGATTTCAGCCGACCGGATTTTTGCAGTGAACATGCCCCTATATTTTCAAGGTATTATAAAATGATCGGTGACCGATAACTTCAGACACCCCACGTATATCGGCGAGTAGTCACACGACGCAGTTGACCTCTACATCGCATGGGGTCAACGCTGGCCTCGACTCCCTGTTTCCACCATGCCGATCCTAGAAGAGACGGTGACGGACAATGAACAACATGACAGTTCCGCAATCGCCGACGGCGATGCCCCTGGGCGCCCGCCGCGGGCGCCTCCAAACCCAGCTTCAGTCAAGATCAATGTCGAAGGCGCCTTCATCGTCGACGACGAGATGAATACGCGCAATGGCACTGCGGATGAGCATGAGCATGTTCATTGGGAACACAAGGATATCCGTCTCCCACACCACACAGATGTGGTGAGCCATGTTGCTCTTGATGTGCGTTACCTATGCGAACGTCTCTTACCCCTCCATCTGTCCTAACTTTGATCTTAGATTGGTGGCTCTTTAGCAAAGCTAGTCTACTTCTCTCGCGAGCCAGGCTCAACACACGGGGGCGGACGATTGAACTTCGTCAACTTCGAGACGGACCGGATCGATCTGTGCATTGACTTCATCCAAGAATTAAAGAAGACACAGTCCAAGCTCAATGGGTCGACTCCGCAGGAACTGTGTGTCATGGCAACAGGAGGAGGCGCATACAAGTTCTACAACCGGATGAAGGAGTTGCTTCACGTGGACGTAGTTCAAGAGGATGAGATGGAGTGCCTCATCATTGGTGAGAATTTTAGCAGAAGGCGTTGTGCACGATGACTGACCAGTTGTTTCACAGGCTTGGATTTCTTCATTACAGAAATCCCGCGAGAGGTCTTCACATATAGTGAGGAAGAGCCGATGCAGTTCGCCGAAGCCCGTGCGGATATCTACCCTTACCTCTTGGTCAATATCGGATCCGGTGTCTCGATGGTCAAGGTCTCTGGACCTCGAGAGTTTCAACGGGTAGGCGGAACGTCCTTGGGAGGCGGAACATTCTGGGGCATTCTGTCCCTTCTCACTGGAGCACGCACTTTCGATGAGATGCTGCGGCTGGCCGAAAGGGGTGACAACAGCGGTGTAGATATGCTTGTGGGCGATATCTATGGCGGAGGGTACAGTAAAATTGGGCTCAAAAGTACCACCATCGCAAGCACGTTTGGGAAAGTGTTTCGAATGAAGAGGATGGCCGAACGGCACGCAGAAGATGGCGAGGGGCTTTTCAACGGCGATGGTCAGGACGACGACCACGACATGTTGCGTGGATTCAAAACTGAAGACATGGCCAGAAGTTTGCTATACGCAATATCCAACAACATTGGCCAGATTGCCTATCTCCAGTCAGAGAAGCACAAACTACAGCACATTTATTTTGGGGGTTCCTTCATTCGAGGCCATACTCAGACGATGAACACTCTCTCTTATGCCATCAAGTTCTGGTCCCAAGGCGAGAAACAAGCGTACTTTCTCCGGCACGAAGGATATCTTGGTGCTGTTGGAGCATTCCTTAAACGACAACCGAAGAATTGGGGCAGGCGCAACAGTTTTGAGGATATCAGACTTGGGAAAGTGTTGTCGAAGGAATAAGATTAATCATATGTGTCAGCAATAGTTCTTGGGGGAATCCTATCCAGGGTTGTTCGCAGTATCAGTGGTATACCCTCGACCTGGAAAATATCGGGAACCTATTTATATACTGGTCACCCAGTGCATACGCCAGAACCCCCTTGGGTCGACGTGGCTGGAACGTTTGTGGTAGCACAAGAGTGTTGCCCAGAAAACTTCAGCCAACAAACATATTGCGGTTTCCTCTAAAAACGAAACATACAAGATGCAAGGGAGCCTCGTCAGGCTACCACGTCGCGGTCCTGGTCCTTGTCCTGGTTCTGGCACTGGCGCTGTGGCATGGTCGTCTGCCACCATGCGCCGATCCATGGGACTTCTGATTCCTTGCCTGAAGAGATCCTTCTTTGCATCACTGCCTGGAGATGCTGAAACAAAATATAATGGGCAATTGGCTTTCGATAAAGGCTTCTGCGTGGGACTACCGGAGGTTCATGCACGGAGGTAGAAAGTTAGAACATCCCATAATCGTGGGCTGGGAGGTCCGATTTTATGTAGCGGAAAGTTCCAACAATGGCAATAGAGTCTCTTACTATTCTCCTTCAGGAGCACAATCCAAGGAACAACTGACACAAATTTATGGCAGGGAAAGCCGGTCGGAAACATCATGCACTCAAAATCAATAATTTATGTTCATCGCTGTATCTGGGAGGACTAAGAGCAGAAGCACGAATCAGGGGGCTCGTGTCCTGCGGCTGTTGGCCGCCAGCAATGGGCAATGGGCGGCAGCAACCAAGGAAAATTGGCCGAGGGTGGAGGCTCCCTCAACAAGCGATGCCGGTTGGTTGCCCCTCGAGTCCTCTCGTGCCTATGATGATGCCTGACGTCAAATGGTTGTCCTCCCTCTCGCCGTCTCTCATCCCGGCCCTCACATGAGACTCGTCAACAATGGCCGTTATCCAGCCTCCTCCGGTTCGTTTCCATCTTACAATCATTCTTTTCTGCTGTCGCATTTGAAAGCGCTCATTTCTGTGAAATCGCTGCTTGCTTCCGACCTTTGTTGTTTGTGACCCTTCGTTTTGCGCAACCACATAACCCAATCCTTTGTTTGGTGGTCTATCTCGTATTGTGAAACGATTGAGCCTGCGGATGGGTTCGGCTTTGCGACAACGATAACCAAACAGTACACAAGACTTCACCTGCTTGACTTTCTATTCGAAACTGCCATATATTTGAACCGCACAGGGTTTCTCGGTATTTTATTCAAATGGTCAGCGCTTCCATCACTAAAAATTGAGAATCGGCATTAACGAATGACAGGCTCCTCTTGCGACGCTCGCCTCTGCTTTGAACCCAGCAACCCCCGCTCTCGTACCTCGCCAGGCCACGACCACCGTTGTAACGCAGTCATCGACGTCGTGTTCCGGACAATACTCTGGAGGTACACTCGCTGGTGCCATTATCGGGACGTTTTTTGGAACTCTCCTGTTGATCTTTCTCTTCAATTCGTTACAAGGCGGCAATTTTGGAAATCGACGCGAAGAGGTGATAGTTGAGCGCAAGCGAAAACGACGCAGTCGAAGTGGTAGCTCATCAGGAGTGCGGCGACCAAGTAGGGTCTACTCTGGGTAGGGTTCGAATCGAAATCCCCACGGACTCAAGATGAGAAGGGCATACGGAGCACAAGTTGTACGATAACTGATGATGGAATGATAACGGGTTGGGCAACATGACAACGGAGCATGTGTGCATCGCAGATGACCGGGCCGTGATTCACGATCAGGTTGGCTGAAGACGGGGCACCTTGTTTTGGGATAAGGGGAATTGCGATGGAAATACAGCGAAACGTGTCGGATATGTACAGAGGATTGGAGATCTGTGGAGGAGTCCAATGTGATGCGCGACTGACCTATACACGGGATGTTCTTCGATCTTGCTTGGATAGTCATGAGATTTTGCAGTCTTTTCTCTGTAACGATGATCTAAGCTGCTAAGGCACCATGTCAAACGAACAGAGATTGCAATGAGAACCTCCATTATATTGATTAAGGTTGCCGAGTACATAGTCTTTCCCATTGATAAGGATCTTTTCTGCAAATCTTCTGTTCGGAGTATCCCTTTTGGTAACTGTTTGCTGGCGTGGCTGGCTCGTACAACTCAACTCGCTAAACCTGCTGCTCCTGCCCCCTGCGCTACCCGATAGGTCTTCTGCCGATCAGCGAAGGCACCTCCTTCGTACGTAGTCAAGGCAGCTTACATCTCGGAATCAATTGGCATTGTAATCACCACGCTCCTCTATTCTTCACTATAGTCGTTGGTGTAAAGGAGTTTCGATATCTTGTCACATACAGGCCATCAACAACACCCCGAGATTCGCTGTTGACCTTCTGCCACAGGACGAGCAATATCACGAGACCGATTCAGAACACGCGAGCTAGACACCATGGCCGCCAAAGCAGTGATACCATTCCTCGTGGGAATGATGCTGGTCACTGGGTGCGCCAACACACTTCTGACAAAGTTTCAAGATCAACAATGCGTAAGGGGCTGCACAAGCAAGAACCCGAACGATCACAGGACGTTCGAACAACCAGTCATCCAGACGTAAGTTCCAGTATTCAACTCAAAGTTGTTGATCGCTAACCTGCGCAGAGTACAAATGTTCATCGGTGAGATGGGATGTTGGCTTGTCATGTTGGGCTTCTACCTGTACCGCTATGTGATCCTTCGCTCCAAAGATACTCCTCTCTTCCACCGACCTGTCAATGCCGAAGACGACCAGGAGGAGGAGCAGGAGGAGGACGATGACACTGTCCGGCCGGCCTCTTCACGCGATGCTACCGATCCCGCCTTGAAGCCGCTGTTACCCAACGCCGACGATCGAGCGCATCTTGAGGGTTGGAGGGTCGTTTTGTTAGGACTTCCAGCATGTTGTGACATTGCAGGCACAACCCTGATGAACGTTGGATTACTGTTTGTGGCTGCCTCCATATACCAAATGACCAGAGGCGCGCTGGTTCTGTTTGTCGGACTGTTTAGTGTCCTGTTCTTGAAGAGAAAGCTCTATCTGTACCATTGGGTCTCACTTCTCATTGTGGTGCTAGGGGTTGCCTTGGTTGGCCTGGCTGGGGCGATTTCCTCTGGCGATAAGAACTCTCCTGCACCCAAGGAGGGTAGCCTGGAGCTGGTGCGGCACGCGATACTCAATGTGAGAGACGTTGTACTGGAATCGGTGGATCCTACAGTTTTGCGCACAATCCTGGGTATTTTCCTGATCGCATTCGCTCAAATCTTCACCGCCACACAATTCTGCCTCGAAGAATGGATCCTGGAACATTACGCCCTGGAGCCACTCAAGGTGGTTGCGTGGGAAGGCTTGTTCGGCTTCGTCGTCACCGTCATAATTCAAGTCATTCTGCACTTGGCGGTTGGCATCACCAAAGCTGGGAAGTACGGATACTTTGATGCCGAGGAAGGCTATCGTCAAGTGTTCAGCAACCGTGCAATCGGCATTTCAAGTCTCGCAATCATGGTCTCTATTGGCGGCTTCAACTTCTTCGGCCTCTCGGTAACTCGAAGCATATCCGCCACTTCTCGGTCTATTATTGATACCTGCCGCACGCTTTTCATTTGGATTGTCTCGCTTGGACTTGGATGGGAGTCATTCAAATGGCTCCAGGTGCTGGGTTTTGCCTTGGTGAGTTATAACACCAACCGATCCAGGAGGGAACATAACTGACAGTTGCTGCAGCTAGTATATGGTACATTCATGTTCAACGACCTCGTCAGACCACCGATCAAAGCCCTGTTTCCGCAAAGGCGAACCGGTGAATACGAGGCACTTTTGCCAGAAGAACCAATAGAGCATATATAGACTGCGATCAATTTGAGACTGGTGTTGTAATGCAACCTCGCATCGACTTTTTTTCTACGAGTCTTAAATAGCCGCTGGACTGGAGCTTCAGGGCTATCTTCTAACAAAGCAATGCCTTACTATGCAACAATTGAGGGGTGAACGGGTGTCTCTAGATACCTCGGAATGTTCTAGGGGTGAATTGGCGCTACAACATGATCTTTTCAAAACTTTGTCCAACCACCGAGCGACAGAAACCTGTTCCTCTAATGAGCTTCGATGACACTAGAACCGAGTCTTGCGACAATACCTAACGCCTCGATCCCAGGCCTCAGCAACTCTGATTTCTTCCTGGAAAGTGGCAATTTCCAAGTGGCAGCCCTCGGCGCTGGATTTGAAAATGCGGTGTCAACTTTCTGTACCCCGTCATGTAAGGCATGACAATTACATGGTTGCCTCTTCACTCTCAAATTTGAATGACATGCTATGCGGTGCAACAAACCCTGCGACTCTGCAAGTCTGTCACAATTGTGGTGTGTACCCTGAGGCTAGGTTGAAGCAAGGGATGAATTGCTGCACCTCAATACTCCCAAAGGTGGCTGGACATGTCTGCTTCCAAAGAGGGGGACCATGGCGTGTGACACAGAATCGCATACCCGACGACGATGCAAGGGAAGAACTCAAGGAACGGCTGCACGCGTCTTGCAGAAGGATCGGGGGCCAGTGGCAGTTGGATTTCCAACACGCGTCAAAGCCAGGCTCTGTCTTCCCCTGAATATATGTCTCATCTTCTCCTTCGTCGAAGAGCCACACCCGCACCGTACTTATTCGAGCCCACACAAACACTATGGCACTTTTGATCCCTTCTCACGCCCTCGACGCATCAATTGTTCATCGAGGCCAGTCCCTGCCGCTCATTCAGACCCAATGTTTGAGGGGGGGACAAATGACACCACCCCCTTCACCTTTCCAGCCTTCACGAAATCCATCCAGAACACAACTATCAAGGCTCCTTCATCGGTGCAAGCCTGCGAAGTCGAATTCAAGCGGGTTATTTGAAGTCAGCACGCGGACCACCACTTCGCATGCCTCCCTGGCAAACTCGGAGACAGCCTCTCCTTTACGTCTACCCGAATCTCCTCCTCTTGTTTGGGGGGACGACTGCCCTACCACAACTCTGCCTTCTCCCGGACTGCGCAGGATGTTGGCGAGCTATAGCGATTTGCGTGCTCTGGCTCGGAATGAGACAACTTCAACCCCTATAAGCCCATTGCTTCCAAGCCCTATTGTGGGAACGCTTCAGAAAGGACAACAGTATTTCAGATTGCACGACCCATGCGAGCGCCTGACCACACCCATCCCAGACGACGATTCATTGGACAGCCTCCATATACTGTCGTATTACTGCGATGATCGGGACGGCGACGAGCAAGACCAAGGAAGCCAACCCTCTGAGCATGGTACACTTGAGGACGACAATCTAAGCACGGCCTCTGAATCCACGCCAGTGACTCCGCGTGACGACGACTATCGAGACACCCTTTGTTCGGGCGAATCTGGGTGGCTAGCCAATACCACGTCGCATGAAGAGAGAATGCGGCGATTCAAGGCTCGCTACTATCAAGTCGTGCAACGTCCTTGCACGTCTGTTTGCACAGACGACAACGAGGATGGAATGGTATATATTCGTACATTTTCTTTCCAGCTCAAAGCCCACTAACTGCTTCTCAGATGATCGCCACCGTTCTCGTTGGACCAGGCAAGCCAAGATTAATCCATATCCACCGTCCGCCGTCTAGCCAGTCGAGGTCTGAGTTGCCAGGCGACAGCACCGGTGCTCCATCTACACCAAAGCAAGCGCATGTTGAGATCTCTGCCTTCAGCCCGTATGACACTCCTTGTGATGTGACTCAATTCAAGTCACACGTTTCAGACAGCGTCTGTCCTCCGGTCTCAGGAGCCTCACCTCCCTTGACCGAGCCTTTCCCACGGCTTATGGCCTTGACACTGCGAAGTGGGACAAGCGCAACGGAGCCACGCGGTACCGACAACATCGACACCGGCATCAGGATATCGACAGACCCCTTCAGAAGATCTCCTCGGAGGATGCAGAGCGATCGATCGTCTCCAACGCTAGAGAAGAGATGGGCGATTTGGAAGACACTGGAAATGGACGCGCAGTCTATTTCAAGATTGTCACCTTCTGTCAAGAGCGCGAAATGGTCACGATGCCGAAAGCTGGAAAGGGCGCTCAACGCGGTCACCGTCGCTATTGACGAATTCCCTGATGGCATGCTCTGTCTCGACTCGTCTGTTGTCATGGAGCTGCGGAACCCACAAATCTCAAACACAGTCTATATCGAGGCTCTTGGCCGAATATTTCCTTCTGCATCCTTATTGCTCATTTCGGCAATCACGGCCTGGGTGATTGTGGACCTCCACTTCTCCCGACTAAAAGGCCAGGTCGTCCCCATGGAGCGGTATTGGGCCCAGGCCGCAGAGTCTAATGAAAGCTTGCATCGAATCCCCGATAAAGCACGAGAAATGCTGGGGATTGGTCTTCCTGATGAATCGTCGATTAAACTTAACGAGTACGCACTAAGAAAGAGAGCGATAGCCATGCAGGCAGGCATTGGCATTATCGGACAAAGGTTGATCGAAGGTTTGAGAGGGTCATGGGATGAAGACATATGGCGATCTCTCAAAGTCTTGGTGGAGGTAATCGAGGCGAGTCCGCCTCGCTGGCCCTGATCGATAGTGGTGGTCCTTGAAACATTTTTTTGACTTTGTAACACCAATGATACGATTCATTCGTAATGCAAAACTGTTACCTCAATGCCAATCTGACGTTCAAGCCCGTTTGGTTCAATACCCAAGCATTACTTACTTCCCACTCCCGCGTAGGGTCGTCCAACTCAATCGTGAACTTCATGAGGAGTGCTGGAACGAGCTTGTGCAGCTCTAGCATTGCGATGTTCTTACCCAGGCAGGACCTCTTCCCGGCACCAAAGGAGAGTAGACTGTGTTCCATGTGCTTGGTTTCCTGTTCCTTGGTGGTGAGCCAACGGCTTGGGTTCCACATCTCTGCGTCGGAGCCGAAGACGTGCGGGCTGCGGTGGAAGACCCAGGGATTGATACCAACGACAGTGCCGTCAGGAACAAAGGTGCTGGTGCCGTCTTCGTGTTGTAGGGTGAGGCCTTCTTTGGGGGTGACGCGCTCCAGCGGCAAGGACAAGGCTGGATTCAGCCTGAGACCTTCCTTCACCACGGCACACAGGTAGGGGAGGTTTTGCTGGGTCTCGTTCCACGTCGGGGACGGGCTGGAGATTTTCTTCTGTGTTGCGGCTGAGTCCAGCTCGGTGGTCAAGAGCGCGAGGGAGTCTGGGTTTTTGAGGAGATGGTAGAAGATGGCGCGGAGAGTAGAGGCGATCGTGTCGCTGCCGGCATTGATATTCATCTAATTGCAAAGCCAAAGCTGAGGGTTAGGGCGTGATGATATGAAGCTGGGAAGAAGGGTTTCCCAGAAGGACTCACAAATAGATTTGATAGAATCTGAGCGTCGGTCAAGGTCTCGTCTCCCTCTGTGCCATCTTTTCGGATTTTCAAAAATCGGCTTAGGAAATCCGGTCTGTTCAACTTATCTTCCTTGTCATCTGCGTCGCCGGCCTCCTCCAGGTCCCTCAATCGCTCCTTCAGCAGTCTTTGGGCGAACAGCAGGATTGGGGAACTGACGCTCTTCCGGAAGTATCTCACGTACAAAGGGTTCTTCCCCAGGACGGCTTCGTCCAGCCAAGGCATTTGTCCAAGGACACTGAAGTAGGAGAAATTCGCCCCGATCGCTTCGATGATGTTGTCCGCATCGGTACCAGATTCAATGAAACCCAACCGCCGACTAAAAGTGAGTTCCCCGATGACGTCGAAGGCGAAGAACTGTAGATAGCGTCCCAGATCAAGCACGCGTCCAGGTGACGGCAACGTGCTAGCGAATTGTTCCTCCAAAGTGTGTAGAAATACATCCGTTGTGCGATCCACAAGTTCTTCGTACTCGACCAGCGTGCTCAGCGAATATGCATGGGCAATCAGCCTTTTTGATCTTGCATGCTGGCTTTCATCTGTCATGGCCACGAGGCTGGCCGCCCGTCGTCCATTCACGATGTTTTGGAAGCAACTGTAGAAGTCGGACTTCACCAGGCCTTTGCCAATCCCGTAGATCTGAGGGATGTAACTCTGCGACCCTGAAATGGAGATGCAGTTGGGCCCCAGTCGGACGAGGTTCCCATACTTCTTGTGGAGTATGAGCTGTTTCTCGTGGGCATCACGATTGTAGACAAGAAGAAGGCGATAGATATTGGTAAGACGCGCGGCAAAGGGCCCCGGTATTGAGGAGAGGGAGACGTAAACTCTGAAGAGATATGATATGAAAAGGATGGGGAGGGCGTATATCAAGAGAGGAAGCAGCATGGCTCCTTGAAAGGTTCAGGCCAAGGGAGTCTCGATCAAGAAGATAGACATAAAATTGAATACCAGAGGTCAGCGACACCTTCCAGGAGCTATTACAACTCTCTCAGCAGCAAAGATATACTTCGAAGCAAAGAGGGTGGCCGTAGAAACCTTTCTCTACCCAGGTCGAGCTCTTCGGCCTTCTTCCGCCCATCGAAAGGACGAGAGGCGAAAGTGTGCGGAGTTACTCAGGAACAGCACAAAATGATCTAGATGGATACGTGAAGGGTGGTTGGAGATCTTTTTTTAGGCTGAAGATGTGGGATTGCAACCATTGCCTTGGGGCGGAACGCTTTCCGTGCCGTCGCGTCGCAAGCCACAGTCGAATCAACACGAAGATTTATGGGGTTTCAATATCTGGGAGATCGATATTGCCTTGGTCGCTGCCGCTATATCCGCAGCGCTTTCAGATGTTTCAGCACCCCGAGTCAGGCTCGAGCCTAACTTGGTTCGGGTTCACAATGCCTTTCTCCTTTGTCGTTTGGGCTGCCAATGAATCTTTGCCATAACAGGGTTGTGGGCTAATGACCGGGCGCTCGGCGGACGCGCTGACCAGTTTCTAGACCAATGTCTTTGGACAGGCAGGTTAGGTGGAGTTCTCCCGTATGCACAAGCACACGCAATGAAGCATTTGGGCACATCATGGCTCTGTCCAGTCGACTTGTTCGGTCACTGGTGCCCCTCCATCTTTGGCGTATGAGATTTTCAACCGTAGGCGGAGTTTTGTGGGAAGAGGCTAATCGAGCAATTAGTCAAGCGAGACATGACAAAGATTTGGAGAGACTTACCCCCGTCGCTGCGATCACCTTCATGCCCTGAGTAGCCTCGTCACCAGGTCCCAGCGTGCTTTTGTTTATCGCTTGCAAGGTCAGCTTCTGACTTTTTGGGACTGCCGCCTGCAAGCCGACATTTGACAATTGCTCAAAAGCGGAGCTATTCTTAAACCTGGCAATGGCTTGTATTGCGGGACCACTTCTAGAGACATGAATCGCAAGGGACAGACCATTCTTGTTGTACACAGGGTGTGATTGTGGTCCAACAGGTGCAGGGCTGGCGGGTTTCGTAGTTCCGTTGCCGAACAGGTCCATGATGGCATCCGTGTTGGAAGGTGGTGCAGGACTCTTTGTTTGTGGCGGAGGACTTGAAACTGAGCTCCCACCTCCAAGGATATCTGCTAACAGGTCTGCTGTCTGTTGTTGACCGTTCAATGTAGCGCTAGTGTCGACAGCGGGCACGTCCGATCCGCCCATAAGATCGAGGAGCATGTCTGATTCTGTTGTTTTCGCAACTTTGACATTTGTCTTCGCTTTCAGGGTCTTTCTCTTGTCCTTCGCAGGCGTGGCGGACTGACCAAGAACTCGTTGTTCCTCTTTGATTTCCGGGGGCGGCATTTTCTCCAGGACACCTCTTCGAATCGAGTCGTACCCGAACATGTTGCTATATTCCACCGCTCTTTGCTGGATCTCAATGCTAAGGTCGGCAGTTCGGGAATTCATCAAGCGCCTTATCCGCTCAATTTGTGACTGGTCGGACATTCTTGTAGTCAGCTTCATTGCGGAAGTGATGATGTATTCAGTCACCACTTGATTCGCGTATGTCGAATTGAGGATTGTGGTGTACAAGTCGACAATATCGGTTTCTTTAACTTCCTTCACCAGTTCTTCTTCTTCATACGAGCCACCACGGAGGAGAGCGTCGCCATATTCGCCGATGACCCAGACAGCAGAAAGAGTCAGAGCCTCTTGTGTGATGTCCGATTTCAGAGCCGCGTATAGCTTCTGGACTGCATATGTTTGCTGATCGGGTGTGGTGGCAATGAGGCGAATGAAGGACGAGAGAATCTGCTCTTTGACAAAGTTTCCGGCCAGCTTGACAACTCGCAGCATAGTATCGATGTGCCAGCGCTTGTTTGGGGCAAATCGATCGGCAGCAATGCCAATCTGCGTTGTCATGACGGGTTTGAACTCGGTATCGGCGACTTCCAGAAAGGCCAAAAGTTCTCGTATGAGCACTCGTACATTGTCCTCTCGAATCAAGGTGAAACTGAGATCCAGTGCCCGCCGTCGGATGGAGATATCGGGATCCCTCAAGCACTCCAGAATCGTATTCCGGTGCCTTTGGACGGCATTCGGCTCGATGGCAACTACCTTGATCAAAGTGTTTAGTGCAACATACCGAATATTGTTGTCCTTGTTGGCCAAAAATTTCCCGAGGATGTTAACACCCAGAACCCTCAGCCCCGAGTCGGCTTCGATGTCTAGGATGGTAAGAACGGCCTCGTACAGTATAGCATTTCCAACATTCTTCGTGGACTCGGTATTGGTGGCCACTTGTGCGAGAATATCGTTGATCTGCTCGCTGGTGGCAGCATCTCCCCGCCCCAACACTCGAAAAAGCCGCAGGATTTTGACTTGTAAAAATGGGTCAGTGATGCCGGAGACATCATGCTCAGGAGTGTAGCCCGAGCTCGTCAGGCTTTTCAAAGTGCGGACCAAGTGTGGAACAACTGGCCGGAACATTTCAACCACACCTTCCTCTCCACCTTCTGCCTCATCTGCCTCGCACATGCTCGTTATCAGCGTCAACCCACAGAGGAGGACCCCGTGATTTCTATCTTGCAGCAACACCTTGGCCTTCTCCATGAAATGTTCTTGCAGATCTGGGACTTTTCGGCATATTCGCATGGCGCAGAGCGCAGCCTTTCGACGTATATAGGGGTTTGCGGTGGATATGAGGGTCTCGACTTCGGGGAATAAGTCTCTGGACATTTCAACGGAGGCAATGTTGCCCAAGGTACAGAGTGCTAGGCCCACGACATATTGATTTGAGTGATTGAGATCGCTGTGGATGGTCAGCAAGACGTTTTAGTAGGGGGTCGAAATGCGTGTGTACTTCTTCAGGGAATTCGTAACCAACGTGAGGACTTCTTGATTCTCGTCCAGCAACAGCATCGTGCCTAGATAGCCCAGGCGCTTGTCTGCGAATCTGGGAGAGGCCAGCAGTTTGAGGCACTCTATCTGGCCGAAATGGGTGCGTTCTCCCAGCGTAAAAAGGTATAACAGCTTGGCAACATTGTTCCTTCTACTTCAGGTCAGATACATCCCTGCCGACATAGCGATTGTAGTGAGCGACCTAATGTTGGAATCTCCGCTCTCTTCCCGAAAACTAGCCCTGATTGCGGCACTCTCCTTTTGAACGACGGCACGCTCGTCTGCGATGGTTTTGGAGGCTCGCACATTGCGGATGAATTGCTTGACTGAACACTTGTCAGTATGCCTCGAGCATCGCATGCGGGATACAGGGTGACTGACGGGAGGTCATGTTGGCTCACGCTGACCCAAAGTCGGGGTCGTCCAAGAATATTCACTCTTTCATGGGTCTCGGCACGGTTGTATAATCCTTTGGGCTGGCCCTAGAATTGGCTTGCGGGCGAGGATGACGGAGACACTAGGATGTCTGGGAGAATTGACAATACAGAGTTGGGACGTCAGGTCAAGAACCGCCTGAGGCATCTTGTAGAAGTGTCCTTCAATCGCAGCCAATTGATGCCCGTGTCACGCCAAGAGCCGTGGCACTAACGCCATGGCGACGGTAGACGCAGACACAGGTACTCGGTCCGCACAGAGTGTAAACCATCCACTCTTCATATCGACTCCTCACTGCAGGCACCAAAAGATGATGTTACAAAGCCTTCCATCAACATAGCTACACTTCGTCGAAACGCCCATAATGCCCTACGATGTCAAAGTATTCTCACGGTGGATGTGCCACCTGTCGAAAGGCCCATGTCAAATGTGATCAAAAGAACCCTGCTTGCTCCAGATGTATGCTTCAAGCATGGTGAACCTGGACAACAACAATCTGATTGAGCTTCAGGCGCCAACCGAGGCTGGCTCTGCCCTGGCTACCGACGACCGCTCCGATGGTCCCTGAAATACGAGAGAGTTGCAAGACCAAGTTCAGCTCCTTCGGGTGCCACAGATCCAAGGTCCAACTTCCTTCCAGAGAATTCTCACCAGCAAGAGATCTCTTCTTCCTTCCTTAGTGGCTCATGGCGTAATACTGGAATCCCACTCTTGAATGTAGACAGGACCTCAGGGTACAACGACGCAAGCGTCAGTTCACGATCAACACAGGATGCTCTCACGATACTATTTCCCAAGCACTCCCCGTCAGATAACGTCGTGAGTGCATCCGCATGCCCACGATCGTCGTCGATTTTCCAGGATTCCGTCTTACTCCTCGACTCGTACTCCGGAGTTCTATCCCGAGTTCTATCCATTTATGATGGCCGCTTCAGCCCGTTTCGTGCTGCGGCCCTTTCGGAGTGGAGGCGCTCGCCTCTCCTCTACTCTGCATTCAAGTATTTTGTCGGTATCTACCGATCAGGCAGCGATACTAACTGTCGACACTGTGTGGGTGTGAATGAAGCGCGCCTTGTCGTTCTCGGTGGATTGTCCTCCAGCCTTCTAACCATTAGCAGGTCTATTCCAGTTCGAAAGACAGAAGTCCTTTTCGTTGTGTGCATGTTTGGCCTTAGCAGTAGCTGGTACGATTGGAAGGATCTTGGGTTGGAACACTACTACGGTGCATCTGCACTGCTGTCCGAACTGCTCATAGAGAACCCCAAGGTTCCACTGAAGACGACCCAATTCTTCGCCGAATTCCTGGTGTACTGGTGGATGATGCTATCCTTTGCTTGCGACCCGGAGTTGCGCCAAATTCAAGACCCACCACCAATTCCTCAGCACATGCCAGAACCACGAATGCCTCATCCCTTGACGGGAATCTCTCCAGAATCTCAACTCCTTCTGGGGAAGGTTGGCCGCCTTGTCCTCTCGCAGCGTAGGACCGCCCTTCGACAAGCGACGACTACTGCAGGAGCGCTCAATTGCGGACTCGCTGGTAATGAGGAGCCTCGCAACCTTGAACATCAATTGGTCTCTTTGAAACTTCCCACAGCCGACATGGTTTTGGATCCGCAAGATCCTCATACTTCTGTCAATGACCTGGTCAACATCGCCCAAGCATATCAACTGTGCGGGCTTTTACTGCTTTATTGTGCTTATCCCAATTTGCTAGACTGCAAGCTGCCCCCTGAAACCTCGCATGCCGCGAGAACCTGGGTCTCGGAGACCCCGAGATCGATCGCGGAATATCTCATATCATTGGCATTTCATGTCCTCCGGGTGCTGGAGCAGAACTCGAAAAACTCAGGCACTCGGACCATCGAAGCGATATTGCTCTTGATTGTGTCCGGCGTGCTTTCGCAGAGGGCGGTTTGTCCTTCTGGATCTGAGGGCGAGATACAGTGCGACATATGTTACCAGCTGCCTGGAATCTCGCGGTCTCACGAGCACTCTAGTCTTCACGGCCAAATGACGGCGACGGAAGCTAGGGCATTGGTCGTCACGCGGTTTCAACGAATCCAAGACATCCTACCATTCAATACAATCTGGCGCATGAAGTTGTTAGTGTTAGAGATCTGGAGGCTGATGGACCAGGGATCAGATGTCTTTTGGGTAGATTTATTGGTCCAAAACAACTGGCAATTTGTGATGATTTGACCATGGCCATGGACACATCCGAGGTGCTCCCCATCGCTTGGCCCACAAATATCGGTCACGGATTAGTCCGTGATGGAAGAAGAATGGAAAGCTGGCGCTAAATGTCTGTACTGATGCCCTGTCTGATGGGGGTTTGGTCTGTCTTCCTTTTCTTGCTTGTCTCCAACGCCGTTGGTTTCCTGTCCCTCTGTGCATTCTTTCAGTCAAATTTTGCCTATAACACCTATAACAGCGACTCTCACAATGCACGTCCTGGTCGTGCTTTGTCATCCGAACCAGGAGTCCTTTACTCGCGCTGTCGCGGATCAAGTTATCAAAGGGGCAGAGAGCGCAGGTCATACAGTCAAGATCATTGATTTGTACCGAGAAGGCTTCAATCCGATCTTCACTTCACGCGACTGGGAACAATTTGAAGGTGTGCCAATGCCCGAGGATGTGCTTGAGCATCAGCGTTTCGTGGAAGAATCAGACGCCATTTTCCTCATTTTCCCTATCTGGTGGTACCAAATGCCTGCAATGATGAAGGGATGGCTGGACAGGGTTTGGTCCGCAGGCTGGTGCTACAAATGGGAGCGCAATCCTGAAGGCAGTTTATTGAGGCACCGGCCTTGTACAGTCCTTGCGCTCGCCGGCGCGACTTCCCAACAGCTCGATAGATGGGGCTATGACAAGCAAATTCATCATTTGTGGAGATATGGCATCTTCGGCTACTGCGGTTTCGAGCCACTCCGAATCACTATCTTCGATGATTGCTCGTACTCGGAGAACGGGAAGCACACTCAACATCTGAACGCGGCGTTTCGAGCAGGACGGGATATTGGTCATGATCCCGAGGCTCTTCCGGGAATCAAACCGTTTCTAGACCAGGGCCTCACTATTCGAGGAGACAAATATGTAGAGGAGTGATACTGACCCTGCTTCCAAATTGCCAGGGTGGAGTGAAAGGCCGGAAAACCACCACACGGGCCCAACACCTGGCCCTAGAGAGAAGCTAGAATATGGCACTGGCTATCTGCATGCTCCCCGTTGGGTTCCTCCTAGACCTCGACAATGGTGATTTCCGTTGCATACACCGCTGATACATTTTTGTTCTACGCCGCATGCGAGGCCAATGCAGGAGCCCCAAATACTCCGTCTAGGCAGGATAATCGCACCTCCTGTTATTGGTTGAATACTCCTACACCTTACTCAATCCGAAGCAAAATTGCGAACATCCTTGACAATGATTTACTCTGGACCACGACATAGCTCTAGCCGAGCGGCTTTGCGTGGAGATACTCGCCTACCATGCAAGCTGGTAGCAATTCATGCCTGGCGGCAGTAAGTCATTCTATGATGCGCTTGGATACTTAGAGATCCACCGTGAGTCCTTGCAGCACAGACGACCGTGAGGGATTCTACGTCTACATATTCCATGGATTCACAGCATCAATCTTGCTTGGACTTCGGAACCGGATTTTACAACTTTGTGGTGATTTCGCAGCTGACTACCAGAATCTCATGAGTGTTTCGAGATGACATGCACCAGTAATGGCGTGGGCACTCATGGCCCGATCAGCACCACCCTGCCAGCATCCTGGTATCGCGAAGAGGGCATGTACGAACTGGAGAAACGTGCGATCTTTTCCAAACAATGGCTCTGTGTCTCGCATTCTCTTCGATTCAGAGAGATTGGGGAGTTCGTGAATTTCGAGATTGCCGGCTACAAGTTCTTCGTTATCCGCGACCGACAAGATGAACTCAAGGGTTTCTTGAATATTTGTCGACACCGAGCGTATCCCGTGATCGAGAAACAAAGTGGCCAGGGCGGAAAGGTTAGTGTTCTCGCGTGCAAATATCATGGTAAGTTGGCAGTCATGGCACACAGCACTCAATCTCGGCCACGGCATTGCCGCTGATCGATGTCTATTAGGATGGTCTTATGGCTTTTCCGGCAACCTCGCAAAGGCTCCACGCTTTGAGACTGCAGAGAACTTTGACAAGTCTCAATACTCGCTGTATAGTGTCCATGTGCGGACTGACAGACTCGGCTTTGTCTGGGTCAATCTCGATGCTGCCAATCCACCAACCATCCCTTGGGAAGATCATTTCGAGAGAGTCGACGAACAGCCACGCCAGAAAGACTTCTCCATGGATGACTTCACATTTGACCACGCATGGGAGATGCAGGGGGAGTACAACTGGAAGGCCATGGTGGACAACTATAACGAGGTAATGGAAGCGTCCGCCTCAACCATTTCAAGCTGATGATATTGTCAGTGTTACCACTGCACAACTGCACATCCAGGCATTCTGGCCACCACGAAGCTCGACACTTACGATGTCAAGGGAATTAAAGGCTGGATAGAGCACTACTCAGAGCCATTGGACAGTGTTGAGCACAAGTACGGGGTGCAGCCCACCTACTTCTTCCCCAATGCTGCTATATTAATATCGTACGTGGTGTCGATGTGAAGTGGCACTGGCCCGACTTGCTGACAGAGTGACAGTGATGGAATAACATATCTCACGCGGTTCGCACCAATATCTGCAACATCACTAAAGCTGGAATATGAGGTCTATCGCCACAAAGACTGCTCCGATCAAGACTTTGACACCATGAACCCCTTCTTCAAACAGGTCGAAAAGGAAGATCTCGATCTCTGCAATGCCGTGCAGCGCAACTTGAATATGGACACGTATGTCAAGGGACCATTACACCCGCACAATGAAAAGGGTGTCATCTACTTTAAGAACCTTGTGAGGGACGTGCTATACAAGCATGTGAAGGAAGAGGAGCAAGCTGGGCGAAAGATCTGCCCTGCCCGAAGGGATGATGACAACGAGGAAATTGCGGCTGAAGAAGCATTCTGTCGCCTCGCCTGCGATGGCGTTGGAGCAAAGACAATTCCACAGTGGTAGAGGCCCCTGGAGGTCAATCTAGTGTCAGACTATGTAGAGCTGCTGGTCGGAACCGGAGCTGATATCTCTGCAATTCATCCATGCCAATATCCCAGCGATCCAGTAGGAAACTCACGGAGTAGATGTCTTGGGTCGCAGTTATCACGAGAGGGTCAACAACAAACACCACCTCAAAATCCAAGATGCCGCCGACAAAAGACCCAATCGGCGCGCCTTATCATCATGGACGCCGTGACTAGTGAGCCAAGTGAGCCTGACGTCGAAAGGACGTTGAGTTTGGGGCATGGTTGTGCTGATTACTCCGTTTCCGGCAGACATTAGGACAATCCATGGTCAGTCTGCGCATTCGGATTCAGGGAGCCCGAAGATCCAGTCTTGCACTTTAGCACCACGGCAGGTCCTTGGATTTTGAGCATCCGGAATCATGGATGCCTGCTTTTCTATCGTGTACATTGTTCTGCAGCATCTTTAGCATTTCGTTTTCTGTTTTTTTCCCTTCCTTTGGTATACCCCGCCAATGGCGCTTCCTCGTTCTACCAGTCATGAGCGAAACATCTTGCGTCCACGGCCGACCAGGGCGCTACCGGACGCCTTGCGAGCTGCTGGCCAGGGCCTGAATGGCTTTGCCGATGTCTCCTCGAGCATCTCCAGGCATGTTCCCTCCTTCCATCCTCCAAGACTGCGGTGCTGACGCTGAAGACTTAGTGGCCGCTCCACGCCAGTTCCTCAAGATGCACCGCCTTCGGTTCAATCCCTTTCCACGGCGAGAAAAGCCGCTCGTGCTCAGGCGAAGCACCGCTTGTTCTACACGATCGACTACGTGTCCCGGGTCTCCTACTTCGATGCGCGGAGCGAATACCGCGATTTCCGAGGCTTCTTCGTCCTCTTTTGGATCAGTCTGACCATCATGGTTATCACAACGTGCTTGCGGAACATCAAAGAGACGGGTCACCCTCTGCGGGTAGAGGTATATGCTCTGCTATCCCGGAATGTCATTTCTCTGGGTCTCAGCGATGCTGCCATGGTAGCAAGCACCGCGCTGAGTTTGCCCCTCCAAAAATTGGCACGAGGCACGAATGGCGTCTTGCGATGGCGACGAGCTGGAATCTGGATACAGAGCACGTTTCAAGCACTATGGCTAGCATTGTGGGTGAGCTGGCCGTTCTTGCTGGGCTGGACATGGACTGCGCAGGTGTTTTTCGCTCTCCACACCTTGACCTTTCTCATGAAGATGCATTCCTACGCCTTCTACAATGGCCATTTGAGCGAGACCGAGCGACGCCTACGTGCCCTCGACAAGCCAGAAACGGCAGACCTGGGCAGGGCCGTCAAATACCCCAGCTCTCCATCTCGCCTGCGCCAAATGGACTCAGAGAGTTCCGAGGAAGAGAAAGAAGATGAACAAGATCTGGCCCAGCTCCGGCAAGATTTGGCAACTGAGTTGACTTCTCCCCTTGGACAAGTCACTTACCCCCAAAACCTCACACTGTACAATTATGCAGACTACATCTTATGCCCGACTCTTTGTTACGAGCTCGAGTATCCAAGGACACCCAAAATCCGATGGGATGAGCTCTTCTACAAGACCCTTGCCGTCTTCGGCTGCATCTTTTTGATGATCACAATCAGCGAGGAATTCATCATGCCTGTGCTGGCCGATTCAGCTTCCCGGCTGCGTCTGACGACATCTCTGTCAGAAATGGCCTTGATATTGGCCGAGACCACGAGCATGATGCTGTTTCCGTTTATGATCACCTTCCTCCTAGTATTTCTAGTGATCTGGGAGTACATCTTGGGCGCTTTCGCAGAAATCACCTGCTTTGCCGATCGCCATTTCTACTCAGACTGGTGGAATTCCAGCGACTGGCTCGAGTTCAGCCGGGAGTGGAACATCCCTGTCTACCACTTCTTGCGCCGACACGTTTTCTTCTCGTCCAAGACGTACTTCTCGACTCCCGTGGCCATGACAATCACCTTTCTGGTCAGCGCCCTGGGCCATGAGCTGATCATGGGCTGCATCACCAAGAAACTGCGTGGGTACGGCTTCTTTGCAATGATGCTTCAACTGCCGATAGTAGCACTGCAGAGGAGCAAACTGGTTCGGGGCCGGTGGGTGCTCAATAACGCCGCTTTTTGGGGTAGCATGATTCTGGGCTTGAGCACGATGTGCAGCTTGTATGTCCTCGTTTGACGCGGGAGCTTCGTACATAGGATACATTCATCACATGTATAGAGTATAATAAGTCTGTGACAACAAGAACCCATAGTAACTTGACTCTCCGTCCTTGCTGGCAAAGAAGGAGTGAAAGAGTGAAAAAGCGTCATTGTGACATTGTGACATGTTGACAAGGTGACAAAGAGCGACTTCACATGCATCTTGGCGTGATTTGTGTGAGCGTCACTAGTCTTGGCGTAACTGATCTTGGCGTGATTCTGTAAACAACAGCCTTAAATATTTAAAAATCTCGCCGCTTGAAACTCTTCTTTCTTTAGAAACTTTGCCGACCCCAAATTCACCACAATCGTCTCCAGATACGCTCGTTTTCAGCAATCGATAGACGCTGCTTTAACAGACTCTCCTCTCCAAGATATCACTGCCTTATCCCAGAAGCATGTCGGCCCTACTTAAAGTGTAAGTCTCTCCCTCTGTTCTGTTCACATCGTATCCCTCCTTATGTCTCACCTGGCCTCTATCATAGAGGCGAGGTTGTCCTCAGCCCTGTTTATATTATATATATGATACTCTTGTCTTCTCCGATGCCTCACAAGCCCCCCGCCCCTGGTGTCTGCGCCTTTCCTGTCCAGTGTCCCGCCCACCTCATTCAGTGTGGTTGAAAAGTCACTTGGTTTGGAATTGCGCACCATGAGATGACAACAACGCTGGTCAAGAAAGATGTCGATGGTCGGTACTTCATGCTCTCCTTGGACCTTGGTGCAGTTCTTGCGAACTCAAGACTTCATCCTGTTTCACATCGCACGCCGTGGACAAGTCTTGCCTTGTTAACGTTGTCCCTACCCTGCACCGCCCTTGCAACGTGCACTCGACCACTTTGCTCTTCTGATCGAGAACTTCGCTAATGGTTTGCTCTTAACAGACCTTCGACCGCCGCCAAGTGGAAGTTCTATTTCATGGCGACCCGACCCGAGAACTTCTTTGTTCAGCAGGGTGACGAGCTCGAGTACCACTCCGACACCGTCACCAAGGCCGGAGCGCAGCCTATTCTCGTCGGAGGGCTGCCGTTGGTGGTGCCTCGACTGCGAGTGAGGCGCGATGGGAGCGGAAATGTAATCCGCCAAGCGCCGGAGCTTTGGATGTGGGAGGAACTGAGATCCAATGCTGATGGCAGTAGGTCATGGCATGAGCTGGGATTTTGCTCAGGCCCAAAGGACCTGGAAGAAAAGTTGTTGGATCGTGCCAGGGAGGAAGGGAACCAGGTCACAGGGCCGCCCGGTGCCTTGCAGGACGGTCGTGACTCGTGGGCCCGCTTTATCTTCAGCCGGCCAGGGGAGCCAGCCAGGCAGATGTCCGAGGTCCGCAAGGACTACTATGAGGAACAGAAGCGACTGCAGGGGGTGGAGTAGGCAGACCAACAGCGCCAGCCGCCGCCGCAGCAACAACAACGACAACCATGGCGTCGCCTCTCTACCCTTTCCCGCCCTCTCTCGCTACCCTTTCGGCTCGCATCACTCTCACCGTGGCATGATGGCGATGGCATTGCCGCGCTCCGGGGCTCTACTTGTCGGCGGTGTGTCTGTCTTCTCTACACTCTCTACTTGGTTCGGACGGTTATCGCATTCATCATCACCCAAGTCTGCGCCAGAAAGGCAAAGAAAGGGACATCACTCCCATCTTGACGGACTCTGCTGGTCGATAGGGACGAGGCATTGATGCCTGTGGGGACTGGGTGAAAGCCTACAAGGTAGTGTCGGAAATAGGCACATTCGATAGCTTGCTGAATCACAGCTGAAATGAAATTCATGAATCCAAACAAATCCTTTCACATGCCTGTCGTGTTGATTCACACAAGGAGACAAAAGGAAACAACAAAGAGTCTGGCTACACAAACTTGTCGTAAACGCTGAAGATCAATCGCCTCCTATATGTAGAAGCTAGCTGTGACGAGCGAGAACCAGCCTTTCCTGGCCTAGACTGTTCTCAGAGAGGGCACAACATCCACCATTTCAGAAGGATGGCACGCGCTGTCACACAACAACGGCTCAAGATACCCGAATATTTCGACATGACCCAATGCCCAAAATGCTCAAAATGCCCCAACTCCAAACAGTTGTATATCAACACAGATCATATCCCAGCTTTCTCTGATGATGCGCGACTTGGGCACGGCATATTGCCAATGCCATATACACGAAACAAACAAAAACCAAATCAACACCTCGCACTTACCCCAAGCAGCTCACATCACCACGCAACCACCACTCCGGGCGCGCCGTCGCCCTCCTCTTGGGGCCCGGCCAAGCGCAAACTCCTGGCCACTGCCCTCCTCGTCACCCGTCCCAGTATCTTGAGCTGCACCGTCTTCATCATCTCTGACACGGTACTCGGCATCACGAGCCCGCCGCCTCCGGCGTCTCGAGCTCCAGCCGTGACCGACAACCCCGACCTCTTCGCTTGCGACCATCCACTCTGCCCATTTCTGTTCCAAGCGTGCAGCTGCACCCCAACGGCCGGAGACGCAACGTTTGTAATGCTCCTCGACCGTTTGCTGCCAGCCATAGAACGCTTTGAGATGGATGATTTCCGTAGGGTAGAGTAGGGTCTGGATCTCAACGACCTTCCGGAATTCACGCTTGTCACCGAACTCATCCTCACCATCAATTGTCTGCACGACTGACTTCTTCCGGCCTTGCATGACGCGGCCATTTCCTTGCAGAATCTCGCGGACACCGGCCCAGGTGACATTCGCGCAATCAAACGCAACCAGCTCCAGGCCTTTCGTGGGTCGCTGAGACTTCTTGGTTGTACTGCCCCGTTTTCGAACTTGCTCAGAGGCCTCCATGAGCACCAAATCAGAGATTCTGGTGTTGTCCAAACACAGAGACTTGATGCGAGGGCAGGCCTTGAGGAGTGGCAACACCCCAATATCTCCTATCTGCTCACAGTATGAAATGCTCAGATGCTCCAACGTCTGTGCGGCCTTTGACTTTGAGAGATTGATCAGCATTGCATTTGTAAGAAGATCGACCTCTTCAACTTCCAAGTGGGACAAACGTTGTGTCGATTGTAGGAGGTCTTCGAAGGCATCATCGGTCAAGGTTGTGTTCTGGCACGTCCGGAGGCCCTCCAAGTATGGTACATTGTGGGCCAGAGCCTTCAAACCTCGATCAGTTAGCATTCGACACCGAGAGATATCCAAATGTCGTAGTCGCCGAGGAGGCACTAGGGGTCGGTCAGTCAGCACGTCCCGTTCAGGGTCGACGCCGTGGATCATGGTCTCCAGCGCTTCATCTGTCAAGCTGTCGCAGTGCTGGAGGACCAATCTCTCCAGCGAATTACGCTGGAACAGCTCGAGCATGAACTCGTTGTCGTTCAGGCCCCGAACCTCGCTGGCCCGCAGATCGGTGAGGTTTGGACACGATTGGATGACCTTCTTGAGACCTTTGGTGTCAATCTGGGAGCACCAGTCGATGTTCAACAGCTCGAGTTGAGGGCAATGGGTTGCAATGATTCTCATGGTTGCATTGTTGATGTTCTGCATGCTAGGCATGTTGATATGGAGCAATCTCGGATTTCGGAGGAGAAAGAAATGAATAGATGACCGTTCAATTTTGCACCCTTCGATGCTGAAGTTCTCCAGGTTCCGGCACTCTTGGTTTGTCATTCTTGTCCCCAGGCTGAGCCACTGGTCCCGCAGTTGCACGCATCCCCTGAGATTGAGGTTTTTGACAAAAGCGCCGGCCTTGAGCATGATCTTAATCAGGGCTTCCGAAGTGATCTGTTGGTAATATGTCTGACAGTCGAGGCTCGTCCATAATTGGCCATCGAAGCACATATCATGCCACTCCTTGGACACTGCAGACACCCTGATGATCTCCTTGGGGGATAGAAACCCTAAAATGTATACTCTTAACTCATATGGCAGATCTTTCCAAAAGTTGAAGTTGGGTCGTCGCGGGAACGGCTTCTCTGAGATTTCAGGAAGCGGAGTGGAGAGTGGTTTAGAGACACGGACATCGACTGGCACAGGAACGGTGGTTATCTCATTGGGGTCTAACAATCGGACGCGGGCATTTGTCTCGAAGTAGGACTGCTGGCTGCAGGGTGAACCGGGAGTCGTTGGCGCCGTAGAAAACCCATTGGAAAAGGTATAGGAAGCATGGGGTGATAATGAGTACGCCGAAGGTGGAGAGTTGAGAGAGACGCAGGAGATGGAAGCTTTCTGGCCAGACTTGTACACCTTCTCACTGGAACGATTTCTACCCAACTTGGGGAGGGATGGAGAAGAAGACATGCGCTGCAGGCCTTGTAGCAATCTGTGTCGACCTTTCAGCTTTACGGGCTGGTCAAAGGCCGTCTGTGCCTCCATGAGTGGACTCGCTGGAGTTATTGGCCTTGGAGAATCGAGTTGTCGAGGGTGAGGAGGAGAGGAGGACGAGATGAGAGTGTTGGGTATGGCTCGAGGACTGGACTGCTGCTGCTCCATGATGTAAGTGGTTGTAGGCTCGGGACACCAACGTCCAAAGAAGAAGCTGGAGTGCAGGATCAACTGCAAATGCTGCTGCGGCCGATGCTGTAGGACGGGCTGCCGATCAGATCAAGCAGGCCCAGCGAGGGAGAGGCAGCCCCTCACCACCCCCTGGTAAAGGAATTTCTGTTAAGCAGGAGAGTCGAGTTGACCAGCAACTGTTCTGGAGGAGAATCAAAGGATGTCGAGCCGAGGAACAGGTCAGTCCATTTGCAAGACTGAGCGACGACAGCGAGGTCAGGCGACTGTGCAATGTCGGGGTGAAGAGAGTGTCAACAAAGATGGAGATTGGAGCAGCATTGACAAGAAGATGAATTCAGGATTCTAAGAGGCCGAGCCGAGACAAGGAATACGCAATTGATGGTGGTGATGGGCACGGACATGCGAGCGCACCTGATAGTCTGCATGGATACCTCCCTAGTGGTAGCGAAGTGGGTGTCATCTTGTCCGGTGTAGGAGACAGGGTCCATCAAACGATAACGGGGCGGGGGGAAGTCAAGAATCAGGTGGGTTTAGTTTGACTACCGCTATCACCAGTCAGACTAGTGGGAAGTGGCAGTTGGGGGGCAAATACAAGTAAACAGGTACTGGCAACTCCGTACAGGTACCTTGTCTTGGGTGCTTGGGTACATAGTGTACCTAGTGAGCCACTGTTAGGTTGCCAAAATGTAGTACTGTACCCCGAGGCCAACCTAGGTACGGACGGGGAGTGACTGGTAGTGTCGGTGCCACCACTCACTCCTACTGTGACCTCCCGTGCCTACCTCGGTGAGTGGTGGGACATGGGGAAAAAGGGTCAGATTTGGCTTATCGGCGTTATCGATAGGCTGGCCACGCCCGTATCAGTGCCAAGGGTCCAGCTAAAGTAGCTAACGACATCCCCCCAATGAAAGCTGTCCAGGTACTTGCCCCTCCCCTTCCCTTCCCGTACCTGCGAACAAAGTAACTTCACCTTCCAAAACACCAAGCAGTGTCGTTTGTCACCAGACACGCACCCACCCTTTCGCCGTTGTCCATCTGACGACCCTGCAGGGCTCCGATCAAGAGAGCATACTACAGAGCAGTAGCCTATCGGTATCACTGAATACCGAAATCCCAGATGCATCCAAGGTAAGTGATCAACAAAGAGCGTCTCATAGCTTTTCCTTATCGTGGCCCTTTCAGCGTATCATCGCGTGCTCACAGCAAGTCAGCCCATATCCTGACATGGATTCTGCACCATTCAAGGGTATTCTTCTGACCATCAGATGCCGTTGCGCTATGTTCCCTCGCGCGACTCATGCAAGCCCCAACGGGGAGGCCAGCCTCTTGCACTCGACCACTGAACAAACGAACAAACCGAACCTCGACGACACCCGCTTTCCTCTCCCCCCGCAGAGATCTGCCGACAACACACTGGGCTGCTGTGCGTTGATGGAGACAGAGGCTGTGTTTTCGGCCTAAACACTAGGGCAGTCACTGCGGATCCTGTCCGCTTAACCGAAGAGGAACGGGTTTCCCCATCTCACTTCAGTGCGCCTTTGCCTCGTGGCCACCATCTCGCCATCCCCTTCTACTTGCCCGCATGCGGCGGACCTCGTCTCGACCGGGCCCCTCTTGTGCGTCGTTCCGCCTCTAGTTGGAGACATGCAGTCGATTTTGTCTTGCGAAAGCAAGGTCCAGGCCCTCTGCAGTATCTTCGGGACTCCGATTTTTCTTTGGTTAGCAGGCGCTGGTTGCAGGCCGACCCCTTCTCGAAAGGCATTTGGGAACGATGGCTGGTCTGCACACAGCAGGGGGTGGCGAACCCTGCGTGCCTACTCACCGTGGGCTGCAGGGGTACCTACAACCCCTGCGGTTGTGACCCTTTGCCAGTGTCTCCTCGCATTAAGACCGCTCAGTATCTCGGTCTCTCATCGTCACATGGGGATGTTGCCAACTGCTCATTGGGATAAAGTCGATTATGGTTGACCTGGGTTGTGCCTTGATTCTCACACTTCTGATACCATCTGTGACGACAGGTTCATTGTGAATACGCTGATCCGGGGCTCTTTTCCGAACCGAGGGCTTCAACCTTCTTCCCCTTTCCTGTTCCGACTTCGTCGTGAGAGGAGTAACTGAGGTCTGACTGACCGCACGGCAGTTCCCCAGACAGACAACCTTCCACTGCCCGCCCGCGTATTGCTCGGAGCAAAGCCGAACTTGGCATTTCTACGTGCTCTACCTGGTACACCAGTTAGGTAGCAGTGAACTTGCTGGGTTTTTACCCCAAACGGCCACAGCTGCAAAATGCGGACTCGGGGTTCAATGTCCTTTTGGGCCACCGCTTCCATCCCTCGTACCGACGCTACTGGCCAAGACACTTGAACTTGGAGAAGCCCCAGACTTTCGGCAGAGGCATGCCAAATACATACCTCCGTAGATTCTCCGCCATCTGGAGAGAGAATCTTCACTAGACCAGATCCCTGCAGTAGCACGTCCTTCCCCCTAGTCTTCTAAAACTCGGCTGAATATCGTCCCCAGAATCACCCGGCCTCTCTTATGAGCTTCTCGCAGACTCGCGTGAGAAATACGGAACTCCAGGCATTGGACGGACACTGAGATCTACGGACTATGTTTCCTCGACCCTGCGGAGGGCTCACTACGCATTGCGAGGTACAAGCAAACAGAGCGACTCAAGGGAATCTGAAGAATCTGATTCAAGGGCTCCACATCGCTTCTGAAACTCTAGACCTAGGAAAGGTACCATCCCGGCTACCGAGGGACAACTAGTCGGACCGTTCAGACTCAACGGTTGGACTGGGCTGCATAGTCCTGCCCAGCTAGGGATTGATTTTGGACCGTTGTTGCATCCAAGCGAGGCACGTTCTCGAGACCGTCGTATATCCAATGTGCGAACCATCACACCTGCACTTCATGCGGTAGCCTCGGGATTGGGTAATCAACCGAACTGAACCGTCCCTGTATAAAGACGCCGCCTCTGCTGCTTCAGTCGTCGCCATGTTTGGCTGTCTGCCACCACAACTTGCCGACGGGGAGCCCTCATCCATCTTCGCTGCGCGTCTGTTCAATTCCAATCTCAGATCTCAAAGCGTCCAAGACCTGACAGGCAACTTGTCGAAAGGGTTGTTGTCCGCCATTCGCAATGATAAGTCGCAAGCATTCCTTTTCCTCTGGGCCGTAACCTGTTCATCTAGCACATGTAGCACATAAAACACACCAAATATCAACCCAATCATTTCAATCATCATCTTCTTCCAGCCAAGGGTCATCAAGCACCTCTTCAATGGTGATACGTCTGTCCACATCTCGGTCCAACATCTTGCGAATGAGCTCTAGGCACTCTTCAGAAAATGGCAAAAAAGGCACCCGCAGCGGGTGATCGAGAATTTCGTCTGTCACAAAGTCAGTCTGCAGACAGCCCGATCCTGCCGTAACACTGCTTACCTAAATTGTAGAAAGGATCTTGCAAGGGATTAGTAACACGTCAATGAAGCAGAGGTAGGGTCGACTCACTTTCTTTATACGCGATGGTGTATAACAATATGCCCAGGGCCCAGACGTCTTGTTCCTTGCCGCCATAGGGCTTGCCCTGAAGCACTTCTGGAGCGGCATAGTCTGCATACGTTAGTGAGTCAAGCGCCACACCCATAGTTCTCTTGCTGCACTCACCTATAGTTCCCACAAACACGTCAAATGGTCCATTTTTGATGTACGCCGCGCTGCCAAAGTCAATCAATTTGATTCGCCCTTCGCCATCCAAAACAACATTCTCGTCTTTGATGTCTCGATGTACCACAAGAGCCTTGGTGTGGAGATGGTGGATGGCGTCCACCACCTGGCGAAAGATGCTCCGACTCTCATCCTCCGTCATGTTTGTCCTCAGCTCGATATAGTCGAACAGATCCATCCCCGGAATACCGTGGGGCAACATTTCAATGTAATAATTGATGTCATCCTCGAAGAAATCAATCATTTCCACGATATTGGGATGTCGGAGCCCATCTCGACGAAGATAGTCTAGGACGTGGATCTCCAGCGGAACGGTCCCCAATCTGCGATCTCTTGTCCATGTGTCGACCAGAATGCGCTTCTTGGTCACATACTTGAGAACCATCTTCCTCGACTGTCCTTTCTTATACCTCACAAGTTTAACCTGACCGTACGCTCCGGAGCCCATCTCTTCTAAAATTATAAAGTCATCAATAGTCTTTTTCTTGTGAGAGATATATGTCATGTGTGGAGGTGGATGTTCAAGCGGCTCATCCATGGTGACCGATTCCGTTTCATCGGATTGATCCGCCACAAGAGACAGTCGGGAGCTGTCTTGAGATCTATCCGAAAGCACGGGAGGCGGAGAAGGAAGCGTTGGTGGTGGCTCCGGCTGCAATGGTGGCGACAGAGAGCGTTCAGGCGCCACTGGATGGTGATCGCTCGGACCGACTCCCACGCCATGAATATTGCGTGAATAGATGATCCAAAGTGCGTAGACAAGCTCTGCCACTGCGACACCTGACTCCGCCCGAAGCTCGTCCTTTTCCTCGATCACTGCTTCGTCTGACATGGGGAAAACAGTTTCGCTGCGAATGACTCGCATCTGAATATCAACCATGATATCCGATCCATCGCGGTGTTTAGCAGGGACACCGCATGGCCGTAAGAATATGTGGGCAGGATTTTCTTTGCCTTCCCGGAGTGAGAGAATAGTTCGCGCCCGACGAAAGGTGTGTTCCGGTATGACAATTCCATCAACGAGATCGACCCCATCGTCCTGTTTCAAAATGCTCAAAACATCCTCGAAGCTGGGGATCACATTGGCGATATGCGAACCATCGAGTTTCGGATGACCGAACAGTGCCGCCGAGAATATGCTGTTCGAGCTCGTGATTTTCAATGTATCTGGGTCCACGACCATGACGCCAGCTATATGAGGCAGACTAGAGACCCGGAGTTGATCACCTGTAGGTGACACCTCCACTGTAGTCGGGACATGGATATGTTCAGCGGTTTCTGCTGCGAAATATCCTATGTAATGTTTGTCGTGGGAGTCCAATGCGTCCAAAGGGAACTTGGGAAGGAGAGCATTGAGGGGTGTGCCATCGAGATCACGTCGACCCCAAATGGCGTGTATCTCACCATGAGCACTTTTCACCTCGCCTGAACTGTCAATATCGAGGTATGCGACATCCTCGGTGATCTCTTCGATCACCCATATCAGCCCACCGCGTTTTTCCATTACCCAAAAACTGGCAGCACCCTTGCTGCCATCTCGTCTCTGAATGGGCACGATGTCTCCGCAAAGCAGGACGCCCCTAGATTTGGTTGACGGGTGGTTCTTAGGCTTGGGGCTGTAGTAGCCGCCAGAGCCATCGTCCGTCCTTGCTCTTTCTGAAGTTTTGTTAGCTCGAGAGGGAGCTTTACTAAGTAACCGAGCTGTAATACCACTTCTTGACCCTACCAATGAGAGACTAGTGGTCCTCGCTTCACTCTTTGGAGGAGGCGGGGACTTTGGTTCCGGAACATCCTCAGATCGGGACAGCCTCGTCTCCAACCAGTGCCTTCTTTCTTCCTGGATGATTCCAAGGATACTCAATGACCGAAGTTCGGCTCTGGTGACACCGAATATCAAGCAAGCCAGATCATTAGCTGCCAAAATCGTCCAGGGAGCGTCTGCAGTTGTGCGGAAAACAGCTTGGTGCGCTGGCGACCACTTGCTGCTGTGAGTATGAACGGACGAGGGATTCCCAGTAGTAGGCGTTGCAGGAACACCTGTGATTGAAGATGTATACACAGCGTTGTGCGCAACATTGTTGTCATCGGCTGAGTATGGTTGTGCGAGGGCTTCTATAAGCTTCTGCTGGAGAGATACAGGATGCAGATCGGTGTAGGTTCTCTTGAGGCCAGTCCGGCGTGGCGCGTCTATGGAATCTGATCTGGTGGGTGGTATCTGCATTTCAAGACCAGGCTCGTTCGGTGACACGTCCTCGTCTATAGAATATTTGCGTCCTTGCATTGCTTCCTCCGGATCAGGGCTCACAATCGCGTGCTCAGCATTCTCTAACTCCTGGCTGAAACTCTTTTCGAAAACATTGCGCCCGTCGAGCTGAGCCGGGCCGGTGAGTGGCCCAAGGCCGACCGCCTTCGCTCTACTGTTGCTTGTATCGATGGGAATGATATTGGCTTTTTTGAGAAGATCCATCATACCCTGAAGCTCCGGATCTCCACTAACTCGCGCTTGAGCGTGTGCTAGTGCTGGGTTTGCCGCCCACGATGAACGGTCTCTCACGAAATCGATCGACTTCTGGAGGATATTTTGTCTGCTGTGGAGGATTTCTTCCGACTGTTTGGCGAAAGAGAATGAGTGGAGGGACTCTGACGGGAAACGGTGGAGATCCTCGATCACAGGCGAAGATGGGCCGCTCATCATGTAACCAGTTGAGACGGACCTGCTGGATGAGCCAGATATTGGCGCAGTCTTGGAGTGATGAAGCACAGGAGCAACGAACTCGCCACCTTCCAAGATCAGAGTAGGCGTCCGTAGTGACGGCCCTGGTCGTCTGATCCGTCGAAGGCCAGATCTGCCCAAGCCATCATGGTCGAGACGAGCAGCCCTGGTTGTGTTTTGTCAAACCTGATATCTTCCATGTCCAATGTGCAAACCCACCTTTTCAGGTTGTTCATCTCTTGTGCAGTCCCCGCGTCAAAGGAAAAGCGTGTTCTCTGAGAGAATGCGGGTGCATCATGCTTGACAGGGTGCAGATTTCCGGTGCTCTTGTTCTTGGGAATTCGTAGTGACTGGTCTCCCCCCATGCCCGCCGAGGGTACGGCGAGGAGGGGGGAAAGAGGCGGGGTGGTATCTCCTTTCGCAAACATGTCAATACATGTCTAAACCAGGCGGGTTGCCCAAACAAATTGCGACTGTCGCCAGGATCCTCCCAGCAGAGCCTTGGGCTCAATGCATACCGTGAATATCCAATCCATTACGAGTCATGCTGATTATTGGCACCCTGATTCGTCGTCAGGCGGCCTAGCCGACCGATCCAATGCCTGTATCACAGTGCGAGCCTGGAGGGACGCATGTCTCTTCAAGCGTGGACAGTGGCAAGTTTGCAAGATCGAGCGAGGAAATCAAAGGTACAGGAGCGGTTTCCTGTATCTCCAAGATTTTGAGTTGAGAAACTTTTAGGTGGGAGCAAGGTCAGGACGGCAAGAACGGACAGCAACGGGGTCCAAGACCAGTCGGAGTTTGAAAGTGAGGTTGATAAGTCGTGGCGATCCCAGGACGGGAAATAAGAATCGTCGATCAAGAGGGTCATCGGCTATTCTGCAGGTTCGCGCGTTGAGAGGGGATTGTGGGAAAGGTCAGTTGTGATCAAGCTGTCCTGGCTGTGCAGTATTGTAGGCGCAGTTTGTGTGCAGTCAGAGGCGATTGGTCGACCCATTGGCCTAAGCAATATTATGGATTGCATGTGCCTGTGACAGGGGACCCGGTACTAGGGACCAACGACTAGAGGTCCCGCTTGAAAGGAAGCACGGAAGTCAAGGCTGGTGGGCTCGTCATAGGCGTGTTTGCCGAGAGATCTGGGCAGCCTCATGGGCAGCAGTGGTACCCGTGGCACCTACCATTTAACTACTCGTAGCGTCCACTACCTCCTGATCCACTGTGAAGAAAGTGTTGGAGCTCACGAGAGAACCTACACCTACATACATGGACCTACCTAGGTAGAGAAACCCTGACCGAAAAGTTCTGAGAGTCAGCCAGATGCCTTCATTCCTACTCATAAATATGTAACTATGTACGTGCTTTGCATGGTACATGGGTATATCTCGACAGCCGGATCATTCAGCCGGCCATCCCTCCGTATATATATAGTGGCATTCAATTGTAAATGCTGACAACCTCAGTTGCTATTCGCGAGGACCTCTGGGTAACGGCGTGGTGGGCAGGCGTTACTCCCTGTTATCCCTGAGAATCGCAATTACATATATGTACCTCTCGAGATCCATCCATTATGGACTTGGAGTCTCTGACTGTCCCTCAAAGACGTAAAAAAACCCAACGATCATAGAAACTGCCAGCTCGTGTCTGATGGGCAGCTCCCCTTACAATGCATAAAACAACCCGTATATCCTCGAACGCATCGCTTGTATGCTTATGTTACACAATACCTCGTAGTCGATCGTATCTTGCGTTAGCGTTCACCCCTTCGATTCAGCCTTGTCCTTGGATCTTAGTCAAGGTGAAACCGTCATCCTCACTCCCCGAATCTCTATGCTCCTGCTGCGCTTTGGTCTCAGCCGTCCTCTTCTTGGGTCTAGTTCTGGACTCGCTTTCCCTTCTATGTTCTGGTAAGTCGGCAACTGAACTGACAAAACTGGATCGGTGACGATTTTCACCAAGCATAAACGAGAACGAGGAATCCATGAGCGATGGCCGTGACGACGCCTGGCTTGTGACAATAGCGCCACCTTTTCCGCTAAGGACAGCTTGGGCTGGATCTGTGGTTTGTGGCTCTGCTTCCTTATCTTCTTTCGTCGGATCTTCGTTGCCCTGTTCGTGACGGCTATCTTTGTCTGACTCGGTGACAGACGGATCGGCTGTTTGAGCTGGGTTCTTTGTATCCTGAAACTTTTGTTCCTTAGGTATCGGTATGTCTGAATTGGAGAGATAGACTGAGACAAATTGGATCTTGGCGAGGCAGATATTTAGGTCGTGTTCTGACTCCCTAGCTGCTTCTGGGACTGTCAACTTGATCGCCCTCAACGACGCCAAAGCATCATCGAGCATCTGGCTCAGTACCAGATTCCTCTCCTGAAGCGTTTCCACCTTCTGCTCCAAATTCCGGAACAACTCTCCATCATCCCCGTCTGGTCTTTTCAGGCTCGGGGCAACCAGTGGAGGCGTATCAAGACTCGAATGTCGAGGGTGCGATGTTTGGTAGTTGTTCATATTGCGTCGGACTTCACCAACGGCGCTTCTAACGGCTTTCGAAACATCCCACCCTTCCGTTCGTCTGTGCAGATTGCCAGTAACTTCGCGGAATAGCCCTTCGAGCTGCCGCTGTGGAGAGGCGAATCGCCCAGGAGATGTCGTTGGTGACGGCCGGTGTTGACCGACTCTGTTGGGCCTGAGAGCTGATTGACTACGACTATTCGGAACTTCAATTCTCTTCGGCGATTTGCCAGAATATCGTTGGATGACTATCGCCCCAGCCTCGCTGTCCCGATTTTTGTCCAAAAAGACGGCATCTCTGACAAGGGAGCGGGGGTCCTCCGCGGAATTGGGCAGAGTATAATGGGTTAGTGCGGTAATGGCGGCGGTGTAGTCTGCATTGATCAGTGACCAGCGGGATCTTAATAGCATTGCTACGCAGGTCAAATCGACGATATCTGATCGCAAATTCTCGGCAAAGAGGACATCCCATACTCGGAGGACGTCCTTGAACTCGAACTCCCGCCCAAAGAGCAGTCGAATCCAGCGGCTGCATCCTGTCAGACATGATACCTAACGCCATGAAGAAAACAACTCACATTGAATAGATCTGAGGGAGAATGCCGAGCACATGCAAGTGGAGAGCCAGTTCTGGATCGATGGCGCTCAGGATGTCGTCGTGGATTCTTTTGCTCCTTGCAATTATGGGGGACGAGTCCCGGTTCTCACCAACCTCGTAGAATGCTTTCGCAGTCTGCATGAGGGCGCAGAAGAGGCTGAACGAGTCGTGCTCCACGAATTTGCCGTCCAACACTTCTATCATGAAGTCCATTCCTTCCGCCTTCTTATCACTCTCCGGGACAGAGCTTAAATCCACGGCGTCTTGGTTGACAACCCAGATGATAGGTGCCAATAGTTCATGCATGCCTTGCCGATAGCCAATATCCGGATTCAACTTTGCGTAAATGAAGAGGATGTCGAGCAACCTCTTCTGAGTACTGGGTTCACGGAAAAAGTAGTTCTCCTGCATGCATCGGGTAACATCCTGGAATATCTCCTCTCTGCTGATCTCGTCCTGCCGTAAAGTTGACCAGGGAGACTTTGCTTCGTCAGACGTCAGACTCGTGAGGTCTTTCCGAAAGGTGCAGCAACTTACACTTTCATCATCTGCAAGGGGATCTGCAGACGAGTGAAGGTCATTCGGGTGCTCTATAAAGCGCAAGAAGTGGTCTCGAAGAGAGACATATGCGGACCGCGATTCCGCTAACTTCTTAGACCATGAACCCTGGCTCAACGGTCCGTAAAGGAGGAAAGACTGGAGCATTGGTGTTGGCAAACCATCTCTAAAGAGTTTTCATCAACCACTAACCTTCCAAGAGACAGATCGCAGCCCATCTTCACATGGATCAAAGCCTTCGCCGTCCCTTACAGCCTGTCTCAAGTCGACACCGATCGAGGTACTGAACAGCGACGTCCATCGACGCCTATAGTGGGGTGAGTAGGTGGTTGATGCCAAAGACAGAATACTTACTGTATATCTGCAAATGTTCGCATGACCACCAGTCATGTCCAACAGGGACGGAGCCTGTCAAGGAGAGAGGGAAGAATCAAAAGCAGAGTAGCACTAACGACGTGGTACTTTGGAAAGTCATGAGTTCGGGTGTTGCTTTGCGTGAGCGATGGTGCAGATGCTTGGCAACCCTGCCGCTTTAACAACCCCTCCACCCCCTCTCAGCTCACGAGACCCTTGTTGTGGGGTGAAAAGGCCGGGCCAAGCACAAGGCTATTGATAGGTTTACGATTCTCCTATTCCTGCTATCTTCGGTCATCTCACTGTGTGCTGGCTACATCTTGTGTTGCTGCCACTGACAAATGACTCACCAGTGACCGGCGCTGATCTATCATGCGGTCAGCCAACAATGTCTGCCGACCTGTACGCAGCGTTTTTGGTAGAGGAAACGACATCGAAGCCGGAACAGACAAATGACAAACGAGCAAATGTAACCAACAATCCATCCCCACCTCGTATCACAGAATCTGTCCATGGAATCCAGCGACAGAATGTATCTTCACCACTTTGGCAGCGAGATACTGGTGGAAGCGATATCCTCTTCGATGCAGAACAACCTGACGTAGGAGACGAATTTGGAGACTTTGAGACGGCAGGGGACTCCACGACCGATCTGAACAAGACTGGACAGGCTGATTCCTTGAGGCATGAGGGAGTTATGTCTACCAAGGCCATTGGTCCAGAACCTTTAATTTTGGACCTTCCAGATACCATTGGGTTGCTTGATAATCCATCACATCCGGAAACCAAAGTTTCGCAGACCTTAGGTGCTCAGCGTACTCTCAGTGGCACAGAACCAACAGAAATTGGGAAACAACCTTCGTGGGACGATGATTGGGGCGACTTTGAAGAGACCGAGTCTCAGCCGCTACCACCTTTGACCACGGAAGTGAAGGCCCAGCCTTCCGATGATGACTGGGAGCCTATCGAGGATAATGTGCCTCACTCAATGCAGCAGACTATATACCCACAGCCACCTACATCGAGAAAAGATAATGCCTGTGAGACCGAGACTCAATCCCGTGATCAAACATTGACATACGAACGGCCGAGCAATGTCCCACCGCCATCCTCGCTTCTACAGTTGCTCTCGTCAGTCTTTGGCTCGATACACGAGAGTAATGCCGATAGTGTGTTGTCAAAATCCGAATTGGCATCGAAGGTGCTGCTCATCTTTCGAGTTTCTAGCCGCATAGTCGCGGGCAGGACGCTACGATGGAAGCGGGACACCGTCTTAGCCCAGAGTGTGAGGATAGGTCAATCAGGAAAGAGTGGTGGAATGAAACTAGCAGCAGTAAACAAAAGTGAAACGACTAAGGAAGAACGAGAGACTGAAGAAATGATTCGCGATTGGTCAAGCTACCTCCATGAATTCAACAGCATCCTCGCTCAAGCTGAAGTTCCCCCATGCCGGATGAGATTGTCATCTACCCCTCCCATCAAGAGGTTGGGAACGACTCATCTTCCTGACATGTCAAAGCCATGCGCCCTTTGCGCATTGAAACGTACAGAAAGATTGAAGGACGTTGATGCCGACGTGGATGACCTTTTCGGTGAGTTTTGGGTTGAACACTGGGGCCACAAGGATTGCTTCGACTTCTGGTATTCGTACAAGGATATGCTCAAACACCGTTGAGCCCGAACCTCGTCCTGATAGTGTGCTGGAAACGACTCTTGCCTCGACAGACTTCGGGAATTCTCTCTTGGTGTCAAACTGGGGATCTATTTCCCGCAGCAATCGTCCTTATCCCAGATCTGGCAGGGCCCGGGTCCAGCAGGGCACGGTTCGTCAATTTCATACTTGGCAAATTCTGCCTTCATCTCATGTTGTGTCCAGCGGAAAGCCTTGCACCCGTCACAGTCCAGATTCGGCATATCTATGTCTCCGCACTGGCAAAGACTGTATGCCCGATGGGTCTTGCTGGAGTCCATTGTCCTATGGCAGTCGAAACAAGTGCGAATGGAAATGCCGCTCAAGGGGTCTTCTCGCCGCTCTCTCTTGCTGCCGTGGTACTCCATGCCCTGATCAATGGTGAATTCAGACCGGGCGCACACTTGCGACTCGTTTGACGACCAGGTGGTAGGCGATTCGAAATTGATTGCTGGACGGTAGAGGAGACAGTGGTGGCAGAAGAGATAATTTTGAGGCATCCATGACGCGAGCCTCGACATCAATGTCATATGGGTCTCGCTATCCCCGGGACATGTCCATCGAGGCTGTTTGATGAACGGCGCAGCATGTGTAGCCATGGCCTTGGACGTGAGGGCGAGGCTGATCATATTCGCTTTACAGGAGATATTTTTGAAGATGCCGGTCAGGATACAAGGTGGAAGACATTCGAAGGTTGATAGTGACTTGGGCCTTGAAGTGGCTTTATGAGACTAGCTTGATATCAGATCAGAGTCTCATTGCACGGGAGTGGATGAAACAGACCGTTTGTGGAAACCAAACCTCACCCAAATCGATCTTGACGTCCTGATGCCTCAATTCCTGCCTATGGTTCGATGAAGGAACTGAGAGGGTGACCTGGCGCTTCATGTTGTTCCGCCCGAATGGTTCATTTCTTGGAAATGGACAGAACCAACAGTCTCCATCAGGGAGAGACCACACCATAGTTTCTGGTGAGAGTACGTCGCACACATTGCGAGACAGCAACCAAGCCATGCTGGCGGAATTCTTAACAGATGTAGAATCTTACAACATCTAGAAGCGTCTTCTCTGTGGAAGTCAAAAGATATTCCATGAACAGGGTTGGTTTCAGGACAGTGAGAGTGGAATGTTGGCCGGACAATGACAAGAAAGTGAAAAAGTTCTGGCAATTGCATTTCCCATTTCCTCACTGCCTGGACGGCAGGCAGGTTCTCTGGCTTTCACTTGACATGTGCATTCACCTCCCTCACATCACTGACTACTGCCATACCATCAAGCAATGAATCTAGTGAACTACATCATTGTATTGAGACAACGACCACGACATCTTATGCTAAAAGTTGTGCTCCTAAAGACGACCACCTGGAGAAGAGAACACGAACAAGCTGTCAAAAGTGACATTGCACCCATTGACGACACAAAAGATACCAGTCCTTTTGTGAACCTCCGCATATCCATGTCTGAAAACTCCTTTCTGTGTAGCCTCGTACTTCTCTATAGCTCCCGGAATGCAATAACACACCCTGCCTGGTGCCTATGGCAATATGTGGCTCGGTGGCGTGGGTGGCTGCTCGAACATTTCCCACCGAAGTTCAGCCGCTATCGATAAATGGAAAAATGGTCAAGCTTGACACCAAGTCACGAGTGCCGGCTCTCTTGAATGATTGTAGAGAGAGTATTCCTTGCATCGTTTTGTGTCAAATGTGACTTATTATTGGGTAAGTCTACTAACTCAAGAAGACACATGCTTGATGCTGCGCCCGCATTTTTTTACCGAAAGGACTTCTGAGTACGAGGTATTTGTAGTCGACGATCACAACACTTACCCACTCTAGGTGGGGTGGACACGAATGGGTGGTAGTGATGAACTCTAGCGGGTGTCGGCTTCTAACTGCAGCATCGACGCCCATCCACCATCACTGCATGTGCCTTTTGTTGTGCAACTTATTCTCCTAGAATACCAGTCTGAACTATACAGAGATATCTATCAAAGCCTGCATCACCGCGGTACGGTGCTGGATTCATTGGTTACACGGTTTATGCCCGCGGGACAGTCACGAGCCAATCTCGGTCGGTGAACCCCTGCGTGTCCAACCCTCCCCTCCCACTCGTCTCTCTAGGCCTCCTCCTGACGACGCCCACTTGACCATTCCCTCCGTCGAACACGAGCACTACCATCGACCCGTTGATCTCGAACTACAACGAGAGTGTTAAGAGCAACCCCCAAACCAAGGGGGTGGCGGGAAGACTTCTAAATACTATTCTGCGAACCGAAGAGGGAGACTGCAACCTGGTGGCGGAGACTTGCGATCTCTGGCCTCAACCACATCGAAGTTGTAGCCAGAGAGACAGGTTCTGAGCAAAATGGGTCTTGCGTATAACGTCTACCTCAACTCTGCTAAAATATTTGGCTGCAAGGTATGTCCTCCGTCCCCTCGAGGCCCCGTTGTCTTGCTCCTGCTAACGGGAATCTGCCAATGCCCCCAGAACTGCAAGACACACCTCGCTGACTTCGACGACATAATTTCGCGCAACTTCCGGGGCCAGCATGGGAAGGCCTTTCTGTTCTCGACGGTCGTCAATATCAAGCAGGCCGAGGCTATGGAACGCAATATGACCACCGGAAGACATATCGTGAGAGATATCAAGTGCAAACAGTGTGATGAGACAGTGGGTTGGAAATACGACAAGGCATACGAGGCGGCAGAAAAGTACAAGGAGGGCAAATTCATACTGGAAAGTGAACTGCTTTGCACGGTGACTTGAAAGAAGCAACAGACCATCGGGTACATGGAGCATCTTGGGGAAGGGTCAGGAGTTCTTTGACATTACAAGTATGTGCCGTTGGTGGCACCATTGGAGTTGGCCATCTTGTCGCTTTGAACATGGGAAGGACCAGTTCGGGTCTTTTGGGTTTGGTATAAAGGATATTGACTAAAGCGATGAACGAGCGATACCGCTATGCTTCTCCGCGATGGCCCATGCATATGTGGGACGCAGTCTGCGTGATCGGGCAATCCCGCCGACTTCCCACCTTGTTTATTCTCGATGCCAGAGTTCATCACTAGGCAATTCCTAAGCAGCGATCTTGTTAAGAGCTCAAGCTCATATTAATTCCGCCGGAACTCGATTCCCGCCTGTATTGAGAGATAGTTAGATCCTCGTGCTGCTGAAGGAGGTGCGCATTCGGAAACCCTTTCCAACCCCTTCATTGGACACGTGTGTCCTAAGGCTGCGGACAAGTTCTCATCATTGGCCGGTCTTTCCCTATCTCAAGTATTTACCCAGCCATGCTCTCTACCCAGACGTTACAATTATCGGAGTCGCCACCATATGAAATGGTCGTGGAAAGCCAGGTGTTACCACCGATGGCAAGATCCACAGAACGGCCGAATGTCCGTTTGGGGCGTTCGCCCATTTTCGGGCCATCCACATTTCCGTGGGATACGCCCTGTGAGGATGGATTGGATATGAACCTAGATGATAGTCAGACATACATATAAAGTATACGTCCACTGGAGCACCTCTGACTTCAGGGTCCAGAACATACAAAGTCTTTGCACCCCGCAACAGCTCGCCCTACCAACCGAGCCAAACATTTCTACAGATTATTAAACACAGAGACTAGACCAAAGGACAGCACATCATGGCCGCAAAGGAGACAATGAAGGCTGTTGTCTTCAAGGGTAAGCTGCAAGTAGCAGTTGAAGAAAGGCCGATCCCGAAGATCCAAGATCCCAAAGACATCATTGTCAAAGTCAGATACACTGCGCTTTGTGGCAGGTATGCATCCAAATTCCCACCGTCCTTACATGCACTGACGCTCGAAAAGTGAGCTCCATGTCTTTCGAGGCCATCAGCCGTCTGGGACCGGTTTCATCATGGGCCACGAGTTTACAGGAGAGGTTGTTGAGACGGGGTCGGAAGTAAAATCGGTCAAAAAGGGCGATAAGATCGTCACACCCTTCACCGCTAGCTGTGGAGAATGCTTTTACTGCAAGGGAGGTTTCTCATCACGCTGCGAAAAGAGCCAACTGTTTGGATCAGCAACCCTCGATGGCGGGCAAGCGGAATACTGTCGAATCCCGCTAGCAGATAGCACGGTCGTCAAGGCACCGGCAAGTATTCAGGAGAACAAGCTTGTGCTGATGGCCGATATCTTCCCGACTGGGTATTTTGCCTCTGCAAATGCATTTCGGGGACTGGACCAGGAGGTAATATCACAGAGCGTCGTGCTTCTCATTGGGTGTGGACCAGTTGGACTTTGTTCGCTTGTTTGCGCCCTCGAGTACAAACCCAAGGCAGTCCTAGGCATCGACGGTGTCGATGCTCGCTTGGAACAGGCAAGAAAGCTCGGCGCCGAACCATGGAACTACCAGAAGGACATGGACGGGTTGAAGAAGCGAGTGCTGGAACTTTCAGACGGAAGGGGAGCAGACACTGCAATCGAGCTGGTTGGTCAAAGCAGTGCGTTAGCCATGGCCTTTGATCTTCTGAGGCCATGGGGCAACATTTCTAGCATTGGTGTCCACAACGGAGAGATTCCATGGACAGGCAATCAAGCATATGGGAAGAACTTGAGAATTCAGATGGGCAGATGTCCGGTCAGAAGTCTATTTCAAGACGCCTTGGACATGCTTGTGAAGAAGCAGGATCAGCTGGATTTCATGACCGATAATATCAAGCCTCTCTCGGAAGCTGTCAAGTGGTACGACGAGTTCAACAATATGAGGGTTCAAAAGGTGGTTTTTGAGGCAGACAAATGAGCGGCCAGGAAGACTTGCCTGGTTTCCGTCACTAGAAAGGCGGGATTGAAGAGATATTGCATTCCTGGCGGATGGTTCTGGCTAATGCAGACTGGATCTCAACCCTTTGAACCTCCTAGGAGTTCCCATGTTTCCCGAGATCAAAAAGATTCACGTACACTTAGTACTACGTATTGACATCCTGGCTGCATGTCTCTTAGTGGGTCAAAGACGTTTTCCCGGCGCATGTGATGTTCACTGTGATTTTTGAAGCCGAATGACAGTACCAAGTATTAATGTCATGGTCAACTTCATATTGGTCGTTGGTAGACCAAGCAAGATAGTGTAGGCTACCAGGTATGCTCGACGGTCAGGCACTCTCTGTGGGGGTTGTGTTGAGGCTCAGGTCGGTTTGGTTGAATCTGAGAGAGGTGGAGTGATGAGCGTGAAAATAGGCTGTGATGCTTGGTATCAGGAGTTCGAGGTAAATGCCCCAAATGGCTAGTGGTACGTATCTGCAATGCCTGATGGTTGAGTAGCTATTTCGTAGTGTTTTCATTGAGATGGAGGGAAGGTACTAGTTATGACGTACCAAGTACGAGGTATAACTAAACCCCTCGTTGTTTGGCCTTGAAGCCAACTGAGCACCTGAGGGCCAAGCCGTCCGGGCCTGTTGTAATTAGGGAGACCCAAAGGCCAAAGGCGGAGAGGCTGGGAGCAGGAGCGAGGAATGGCAAGTACTAAGTACTAAGTACCTACCTAGTTGCTGTTGCCGTGCCAGTGACTCGCTGACCTATGAGAGAGAAGCCCTCACACTGCTCTTCACTGCCACTGCACATTCGCCGCTTCAAGGGGTTGTGCTTCGTCGCCTCCAGCTTTTTCCGCTACTATTTCGTTTGTTTCTCAAAACCTGCTGCACCCTCAAACACCAACACTACTACCCACATCTCGAATCACCTTTACTTCGCACCTCATCCTCGCCCTCTTCTCTACCTCATCCCTCCCATCCTCACACCTCATCGTATTCCTCAACTCCTCCCCCTCCATTCTCCCTCCATCCCAGCCGTGCCCGCAAGCTTTGGACCTCCTTGCTCGCACCTTGTTGATCTGCAGTTGCACCCCCACTCGCAGCCGAGCCTCGAGTAAATTCGCTATTATCTTCAACTTCGACACTCCTCTCGACAACCTCCCAATAGACGTCACAATGGCCTCTACCGAGCCTGTTGCATCTGCAAACCACATTGATGAGCCTGGTGTTGCCGATTCTTTGTCCCAGCTTAATGTTGGAGATCCGCAGAACGATACTCCGAAGACCGAAGAGGAATATGCGCAATCCCAGTTGACTCTACGTGCCATTGTATCCACCAAGGAAGCTGGTGTCATTATCGGCAAGGCGGGGAAAAACGTTGCTGATTTGCGAGAAGAAACTGGTGTCAAAGCTGGCGTCAGCAAAGTTGTCCAAGGTGTTCACGATCGCGTCTTAACAGTCACGGGTCCGCTATCGGGCATCGCAAAGGCGTATTCGCTCGTGGCCAAGGGCCTTCTTGAAGGCGCTCCACAGATGGGCATGGGGGGCGTCATTCAGAATAACGGCACGCATCGTAAGCAGTCTCTTCAATGCCTACTCGAGCTTCGCTAACTCTTCCCTCAGCCATTCGTCTTCTCATTTCCCATAACCAAATGGGCACCATTATTGGCCGACAAGGTTTGAAGATCAAGCATATCCAAGACGTCTCAGGAGTTCGTATGGTTGCCCAGAAAGAGATGCTACCACAATCGACCGAGCGCATAGTCGAAGTCCAAGGCACCCCCGAGGGCATCGATAAAGCTGTCTGGGAAATCGGCAAATGCTTGGTGGATGATTGGCAGCGTGGCACCGGGACGGTTCTCTACAATCCGGCGGTTCGGGTTCAAGTTGGGTCTGGTCCTCTTCCTCCTGCTGTTGGCACCGGGGGAATGTCAAGCGGCAACTTTGGTGGCCCTCGGTCCTACAATCGCACTGGTAACGGCGCGGACTTCAGTGAGACGCGTACGTACAATCGCAGTGCCGCTGATGCGCCACGAAGCGGCGGTATTCCCATGGTCACGGAGGACGGAGAAGAAGTTCAGACCCAGAATATCAGCATCCCCGCCGATATGGTCGGCTGTATCATTGGAAGAGGAGGAGCAAAGATCAGCGAGATTCGCAAGAGTTCTGGAGCCCGCATTTCCATTGCCAAAGCACCACACGACGACACCGGCGAGCGGATGTTCACCATCATGGGAAGCGCCAGTGCCAACGAGCGTGCCTTGTACCTCCTTTACGAAAACCTGGAGGCGGAGAAGGGACGCAGACAGCAGGTCTCCTCCGAATAAGACGCTGATGCTGCGGCGTCCTGGCTCTTTGTCCCCAACAGCACCTCTCCCCCCACGCTCCTTGAAATCCCGCGTCCAACTATGTCCCGCCTCCAGATTCGACGAAACGACAGTTCGACTAAAAAGCATACGGCCTTGTTTTTTTCTTTCTTCGGCGTCGGATAGATGGTGTCTTGCGCAAAGCGACATTGACGAAGCTATGATACCTTACCTCTCGCCTGGGGCGCGAGAGACTTTTTTTTGACGAATGATGACATGATCTCGAGCTTGGACGTGACGAGCTCCATCCGTCGATCCTTGTTTAATGTTCTCCAACTACCCAACACCAATGCAAATCGATTCCCGACTCACAACTGAAAACAACCGTTTCCCCTACCCCTGATCCTCAAAATTACGCCTCAACATCACAGCCATATCCTCGAGGCTGGATTCTCCGAAGCGAAGCAAACGATACGAGTAGCCCCCGGGTCGGGAAATAGCGGCGGAAGAGATGCCCTTCAAAATGGGGGTGTCGATGGCTTATCTAGAGGATATGACCAATTCAGAACCCAGGAATCACCTGGCTGATGCAGGAGATGGATGTTTGTCGAGCACCTACATAACACAACTCATGCCAGTCGAAAAGAATGAGCGTATCAAACCAGAGGACGCAAAGGCCTCGCTACTTCGAATGAATCCAACAAAGAAAACTTTTCTTGCAAACCTCGCTTAATTAGAGACTTTTTAGTTTGTAATATCTTGTTGGATAACCTCCATCCCAAATGCACCCACCTGTCAGTACCACCGACGCCAAATGTTGTTGATTTGCTCAAGGTGAGTGACTCGTAGATTGGTCACCGCATGTTCACAGCCTCTGACAGGCGGGGATGAGACAAGTCAGCCCCAGAGGGGCGGTATGTGGGAATCAACAGCAGTTCCTCGCACCATAGGCTAACCAGGGCTCAAATGAGGTTGTGTCAAAGTTCCTGCTGATGCCCGGACGCCGCAGCTGCCACTACTGCTGCATCTTTCTGCCCCAGGCGCTTCAGAACCCCTGGTGTTTAAACTGTCTCGATGGCCAATCCTGTGACACGGGTTGGAGTACCTCGTAATGGGGTCCGGAACAGGCCTGCGAGTAGGTACAGTAGTGATGGCCGCCGTGCTGGCAGGGGTGGCAGGGATCGAGGGTAGGTAAGGGACCTGGTTCCCACAACGCCCGCTGCAGGCTGTCAGATGGGAGGCCAGTCAATGCTCCGTACATGCCCTGAGGGGACAGCTGAAAAGAGAGTCGTAATGTTGGAGATGAGTGAATGCATGACTGGGTCTTGAGGGTGGAGAGACACTTTCCTCACAGACTGTCGCAGCCAAAGGCTGACCTTGCGCTTTGGCCATTTGTATTGTGGACTTTGGAATTACCGTGGGCGTGTGGTAAACAGCAAACAAGAGGTGATAATAGTTGACTCAACAGGTTGCTCGAAGCCCAGCTCTCTGCCGCGCTGGTCCTGTGCATCTCGTTCCCTAGTGTTTCAGGTAGCCGCCCGTTGCAGATCAACAATCCACCATCGCCAGACCCGGTTGACTTGGCCCTTGTCCGGCAAACCACGCTTGACGTCTACCCGTCGTCCTCGTGGCCTCAAGGGTCTGGCTCTGCTAGGCGTGGGCAGTCAGCAAAATCAAATGCACATCCATTACCTTGTACTCTTTCAGCCCTTCAGGCGCATGATTACTTCCATGCAACAATAACCCTCCATTTCCAATACCACCAGCCACCTGCCACCCAGACGTTGCCTTGCTTTGCCTTGCCTGACCGAAGCGTGCAGCCCGAGAGACCATATAACTCCCGCTCGTGTGTCCCTATCGAAGAGGTACTCGGATTACAAGGCACAATCTGGACCCTGCGGCTGCGTCTGAACCTCGACTGCACCGTCGTGCAACGGGCCAAAGAACACAACAAATTTGCCTCCTACCCGCTGCAGAATTCCGCCACCATAACTTCAACAACCCCTCTTACCACCGAGTCCTCGAGTTAGGCTGGACCTGCTTATTAGGAGGGGAAAGCGCTACAAAATCCTGGAATCCTGACGATACCTTCAACTGCTCTGCCGTCTTCCGCAGAGCATCACCCTTCCATCCTCCCCTGAGCACATCCGATAACGAAGAATGTCTTCTCCGGTGCCGCTTCTGCGGCCGCCTGTCCCTGGTGCACGAAGCTCAAGCGGTAGCCGGACTCCTCGTTTGACATTGGGAATCCCCCCTTCACCCAACCAACGACCAGTGACCGGAGAAGGAGAGCCTGCTGCCGAAGTCCCCCGCTTCAGCCTCGCTGCAGCTGGATCAAAAGGACCACCAAAACTATCTCTCGCTACACCGATGGGAAGTCTCGGCTCAGTGCAAGAAGGAGGGACCAATCTAAGACCACAGATACACCCTTTAAATATATCCGCGGTGACAGGAAATGAAGCCATCAGCAGGCCGAGGGGGGATAGTTTCCACGCTGCCAGTGTTCCCGGCTCTGCTTCGTCGTCCACCTACTCGGCTCTTTCGTTCGCCATGCATGGCAGGCAAGGTGGGACACCTGACCCATCCTCTGCGATAAGTTCGATCTACTCAGAGGCTAGCATTGGCGGGACTTCAATGGAAAGAGAATCAAGTATGGGAGGATTGTCAGTGGACTTTGAGAAACTTGCCATCGAGAAAGGAAGACCGCTCGATGTGGAAGACCTGGACGACGAAGGCTGGGGCGCGGCGAGCGAACAGAAGAAAATCATAGAACTGGGTTCTTTGGGTGAAGGTGCCGGTGGTGCGGTCACACGGTGTATGTTGGAAGGCGGCAAGACAATTTTCGCGCTCAAGGTATGTTTGCAGCCCCGAAGACTTGGATTGAGGGCTCTATCACAAATATTGATACCTCGCCCAGATCATCACCACCAGCCCCGACCCAGACGTCAAAAAGCAGATCCTTCGTGAACTCAAATTCAACAAGAATTGCACGTCCGAGTATATTTGCCAATATTATGGCGCTTTCATGGACAAATCCTCGAGCACGATATCGATAGCAATGGAGTTCTGTGAGGGTGGCAGCCTGGATAGTGTATACCGTGAAGTCAAGAAACTGGGTGGAAGAACAGGGGAGAAAGTACTGGGAAAGATCGCAGAAGGAGTATTACATGGTCTCACATACCTCAACAGTAGGAAGATCATACACAGAGGTAAGCCTTTCGAATGAGGCCCATGGACTATTTCTAAAGACTTACTGACGCGATGCGACATAGATATCAAGCCCTCTAATATCCTTCTCTGCCGCAATGGCCAGGTGAAGCTCTGCGACTTTGGTGTTTCCGGCGAATTCGGCACAAAAGGTGATGCCAATACCTTTATAGGTACCTCTTATTACATGGCTCCCGAGAGGATACAGGGGCAATCCTATACCATCACCTCCGACGTGTGGTCTTTGGGTGTGACTCTCCTGGAAGTCGCTCAGCATCGCTTCCCTTTTCCAGCCGATGGCACAGAGATGCAGCCTCGTGCTGGCTTGATTGACCTGCTCACGTATATTGTTGCCCAGCCAATACCGAAATTAAAAGACGAACCCGAGAACGGTATCAAATGGAGCGACATGTTCAAGTACTTTATCGAGTGCTGTTTGGAGAAGGAGCCGCCCAGGCGAGCCACACCATGGCGGATGCTCGAGCATCCGTGGATGGTCGAGATGAAAGCTAAGAAGGTCAGCATGAGCTCCTTCTTGAAACAGGTGTGGGACTGGAAAGATTGAGTGAATTGAGGGTGATTCCGAGCCCATGATTGTGGAACCCTTGAGATTTTGATCCGGACATGACTACGAGGAAGCGCTTCTTGGATTTTGAGATACAGGACCCTTGGAGGAAAATATGACCCTATTAATGCTGGAATGAAGGAAAGCAAGGACTGCTGATGGGCAGAGCCCAAAGTCTCTGAGACAACCATTTGTCTTGGGGTGGCCTGGCTTAGGGACAAATAGCAGCATCCCAGAATGCCACCGAGGCCAGCTTCGAGAAGGAGGGGCCCTTAGGCTTCGTGGGTGTGAAACCAAGCCTTTGGCAGGACGGGATGACAACTGCGTCGGCGACCAAGTCGGACTCGTGGCGGTCCCATTGCTAGAGGACGTGTGGCTCTGCAATCCGAGCAACCGCGAACCTCTGTAAAGCATGAATCGTTATACTGCTGGACAGGAGAATAATGAGGACAGAGAGGTCAACGCTTGCAGAGAACGAAATAATATTACGTTAAACACCCAAGAAGCGGCTCTGATCTAGCAGGAGGAGTAGTACCTTGAACCCAACTCGACCCACGGAGTATTCGTGCCGATGATAGCACGTTCAAAGCTTCGCCTTGTCTGCAATCAACGTATATGCTTTGGGGTAGCTTTCCAGCCGGTCCTTCTGCATGTCACCAATATTCCGCATGCCGGCCGTGAGCATGGAGATGTCGAATTCGGCGAGCAGACACTTCATGATGTGGCGGACGCCCTCTTCGCCCATGATGCTGTTGTTCCGAACTGTGAGTATGGCATTCTGTAGCTCGCATGGATCATGCAGTGGGATCAAGCGTCGACGCACCTCAGCCCATAGATCCACATCCGACCAACCCAGACAAACTTTGCGCCCAAGCACAAGGCCTTGATAACATCCGAGGCCCCTCTCACGCCCGAGTCGAACATGACGGTGAGTTTCTCGCCGATGCCAGCGTTGATGATGTTCTCGAGAGCATCGAGGCTGGCGATGGCGCCATCGACCTGGCGGCCCGCGTGGTTAGAAACAACGATGCCGTCCACCCCCAAGTCCACGCAGTGTTGGGCATCGGCGACGGATTGGATGCTGGGGAAACGATAAAGATGTCAGAGATTTAACAGCATTGGTCGACGTGATGAGACATCAACTGTGCGGACTCACCCTTTAATGCAAAAGGGCTTGCCCCCACTCAACTCCTTCCACGTCTTCATCAACCACGGTATCTTCTCCCAGCTGAACGCCCGTCCATGCCAAACGCTATCGATCCACATTGCACCAGCCTCCTCAGGTTGCTTCTTCGGATCGACCCCAGCCTCTTTCATGCGTTGTTGAAACACGGGGTCCGCGAGTCCGAGATCCGCTCCAATGCCGCGGTAGAAAGCATAGTTAGAGGTTGCGACGTCGTCATGCCGCCAGCCGAGCTGCCATGTGTCGGTCGTCAGGATACACGCTGTAAACCCATTGTCAACTGCTCTCTTCAGGAGAGAGATCCCCAACTCGTCGTCGTGCGGGAGATATAGTTGGAAGAAGCGCACAGGAGAATCGTTGTCCGCGCCTTGGACATTGACCGCGTCGGGCATTTGGCAACCGGCGTCGTTGGAAGCAGCAACATCTTCGATCGTACTTGACCCGGCAGTGCTGAGTGCATAGGGCAAGCGAAGCTGGCCAGCGACTTTGGCAACAGGAAGCTCGCCCTTGGGGTGGTAGATCTTGTTGATGCCAATGGGGGCAAATCCGATTGGGGCAGAGACCTTGTGGCCAAATAACGTAGTGGTAGTGTCTCGCTCGTTGACATCCACGAGCTGGTGTGGAATCAGCCGGTGGCGGAAAAATGCCTGGCGGTTCGCCAAATGAGTCCAGCTGTTACCAGCATTGCTCTGAGCATACAAACGTCCATTGACCGAGAGAGACTCTTCAGCACGGGCTTCGAGTTTATCTGGCCGTGTATTGAAAGGGGTGACTTTGCCTTCATTCAGTGCCCAAAAGGAGTTGCGCTGTTCCTGTTGCCAGTGAGGAGTGCTGCGGTGATAGAGCTTGGGGATTTGAGGGTCACTCATATTGGAACGGCCAATACCTCTAGATTTGTAAGACGTAGGGTTAAGCAAACAGAAAGAGAAACTCAATGAGACTCCACTGATTAAAGAACAGAACTATTCGCAGGATTCGTCGAGGTGCTGCGCTTGCTCTGGACGTTAGCTGTCAGGAGGAGAACCTCAACTGACCGTTGAGGTATTTGTATGTCGAATAACCACAATATCAGCCTCGTCATCGTCAGCTTTAGACAGTAGTCCATGGCATTATTGTGGTTGACGGTGTGCTTTCCGGTAGATTAAGCACGATCGTCACCACTACGCAAAGCAGGGGAGAATGACGTTTGGGATGGGACGGTATATGTAAGTGATGGACCTGAGATGGAAATAATGGAGATGGAGGTGGAGATGGAGGTGGAGGTGCAGATCAAAGCTTGTCGTGCCTGTTCAACGGCTGCGCTACTGACTACTACCACTACCGAGAACTATTGCACTGAACCCTTTCTCGCGTTCATCGGCCGCCACACCGGCGCCTTCACCGGGTAACTATCTAAGGAGGACTTCACACCCTTGGCCTTCACCTGCAAAGACACAAGGCTGGTGATCTGCGAGGGCCCAGCAAAGAATTGCGCAGCTGACACCATTGTCCCACTTCTTCCATCACTTCGCGCGCTCCGAGCAAACATGGAGGAGGCAATAATCTGCTGTTTGACAAGAGTTGGAATATCGTCGACACATCTCCCTCCACAAACCGACCTCGCACTGGCTTCACAACTCTCCCGGCCCGTCGTCTCATCGGACATTCACCCTTACTACTTGGTGGTACCCTGTTCTGTCCACCATTCACCAAAGGCGTCCTGTGCGTCTTTGAGTGCATCAAAACCCAACAGGTCTTCTTGATATCGACTATCTATCCATTTCCACTTTGTCTGACAATGGTCCCAGTCGATACTCGCCAGGGTCGCATCCCGCTCCTCCTGCTCAGGGCCGTCGTGGAGGTGGAAGTATTTTCTGTTGGTCACCGCCCCGAGCACGTTGATCGTGGTCCGCGACTTTCGCAGCTTCTCATACAGCTTCAGGACGGCTGAGATGTGATCTTCCGAACCCGGTGCTGTCTGACTACTGGTTAACTTACCAGTAACTTGTCCCAGCAGGAATCCAAGCACTGCCCCATCCTCCACCGCCATTGCTGCCCCTTGTGCTTGATATGGCAGAGTTGGGTGGCACGCATCACCCAGCAATGCAATGTGACCCTGCACTCAATGTTAGCAGCCGACCCCTTTCAGGCCGATGTCTAATAATACTCACCCGTGTCCATTTCTCAAGCTCTTGGTGATGACAAAGCTTCCACTTCAACACCGAGGAAATGCATGAGATCAGTTTCATTAGGCTACAGAGGTCAGCAGGTGATCGTGGCCATCTTCTGCCACAGCTTACATTTCATCCCACCCTTCAAATGTCATTCTCATTTCGTCGAGGTCTCCTTTCACAGTTCTGACACCAGTGGGAAGATTGTCCGGTCGAAGAAGCACAAGGTTGAATTCGGCGCCTCCACGCACAGGATAGAAGACACAATGCCGATCAGGTCCCATCCACAACGTCACTGTCTTTTTGGAACACAGGTCTTCGACCCGCGGATCCTTCAGTTCCAGCAATTGCTGCCGGGAGAAAGTCGCCCGATACGCCAGATCACCGGTTTCAACTGGTGGCGAGAGGTGGCCCAGAATAGCGTCGCGCGTGGATGACCAGAGCCCTGCAAGCGTCAAGACAAGCCACAGTTACAAATATGGCTGGCAGTCATTCACCATCAGCTCCAATGATGACATCGCCCTGTATCACCTCCCCGGTCGACAGCGTTGCCTCTGTTCGGTCAAAGTCGAGGCCTGTCACGTTGGCGTCCAGCCTGATCTCCGTCCCAAGCTTTTTTGTTTCTTCGAGCAAGATAGCATGGTAGTCCTGTCGATGGATGACCCTGTCTACAATCAGCAAACCCTTTGGCTGCTGGAATCATACTAACATCCACGGTGCGCCCATCTGCTTGATAAAGTGCTCACCCACGGGTCTTGAAGCCAGGAGCTGCCCATCCCGGTACCTCCTCATGTCATGCCATTCGAGCTGAATAGCAGGCTTTTCGAACAACGGCAAGAGTCCGTAGCTTCGCAATATCTTGGCTGCATTGGGGGGAACTTGAATGCCAGCACCAACCTTCGAACACCGTCAGTATTGTCTCACCCAGCTCGACTTCTGCGATCCAATCCACCTACGGCGGTGATTGCTGGTGCCTTTTCCAGGACCAAGACGCTCAACCCTTGAAGTCGGCAGGAGATGCTGCATGATAGGCCCCCCAGGCCAGCTCCGACTATGATGACTCTGAAAGGAGATGCTGTCTCCATCTTTTTCAGACCAGCTCTTCGAATCCCACTGCACAGATCGGTGGTCGTCAATCTGTATATCAGAACTTGAGCGATGACCTGACTGGCATTCTAGTCACTACTTAAAAGTACCCTTTTCCTTTTAAGGATGGAGCTCTCTGGAGTAACCATGTTCTTGCCATCGCCTGGGCACGGTGTTCAGGCGTTTGTGGGTTATGCCGGGGTGGAAGCCAGTCTTCCGCTGGTGTACCGGGCATTTCAATTCTGCAACAAGCTCCGGCAGGAGGTCCGCGGGGCATGGATTGATATTCGCATCAAAGCGACAATAACTGCCGAATTCAAGTTTGTTTGGCAAGTTCAAACCCCGTGGGGCACCCAAGCAGTCTTGTTCACCCATGGACCCAATCACGAAGGTTGGCGAGTCTCGACCTGGCATCGCCGGCTCAGGCAAGCTGTTCATTGGCTTTTATACATTAGTTGCGGCTTCACAAGCCTTGTTCACCAGCACAAAGACAAAATCGTTGATCCTGCTTAGCCCTCGGCTGTGCTACTGAGGATTCGCACCCCGCGGACTGGAAGGTACAAGCACCTGCAACCGAATTCTCTCCTTCCCAGAGACGAGTGAGTGGCCATATCGATTTTGGAACGCGTTACTACGATAGTAAGCTTACGGCATCCCTTTTTGTGAGTCCCGGCGACCGGGCACTTCACACAAAGGAGGCATAAGATCCGAGGTGTTGGACTCCAATGCGCCCAACAATCGACGCTTTCTAGTCCGGGATTCGCGTGGTTGGTCGGCCCAACTCTAGTGCCTACAGAGGTGAACGTGGAGAAGAAACAGTTGCCTGGCTCCAAAAATGCCCTAATTCGTCTGTGCGCCGATTGTCCCAGGCACGGCCTTTCATAACGCCTTTGGGTATACCGACCCACGTGACGATGACCGTCATGTATGCACAACGTCCAATGCATTATATTGGCAAGGGCTCCGATGAAGACATCTTGGGGCCAGTCAAAAGATGAAGCAGAGGGATACGCATCTGTCAGCCTCGTGGGGAGACACTTCGTTTCAGTCTGGCACAACGTGGCGTAGCCTCGACGGACCAGGTAAGTTTTCTTGCCCTGGATCAGTCCACTGATTATAGAGATTGATTCTTGAGGACTACAAGGTACGAAGTACATAGATCCCAACTGTGTCTCACAGCTCCCCAATACCTGGAATTTTGTCCTTGCCTGCCCAGTACTTCTGATGCTATGAATCGTTGGTCTCTGGGTTTCATGCTTTCCGCGGCAGCTCCATATTGATGATGATGGTCTTGGCTTGCAGATATCCCTTCAGACCTTCATACCCGCTCTCCCTTCCTTGTCCTGATTGTTTGTATCCACCAAAAGGCGTCTGTGGAGTTGTCTTGTATGCCTGGTTAATTCCCACGTTTCCAGCCTCAATCTTGGACGCTACCCGCAGGGCTCGAGCAATATCGGAGGTGAAGATAGAGGCTACTGCAAGTTAGCACATATTCGACTTAGTCAGGGAGAGATGTCACCCACATCCAAGACCGTAAGTGGTATCGTTGGCGAGAGCGATAGCATCCTCCTCCGTCTTAAAGGTCTTGACGGCAATGACAGGTCCAAAGATCTCATCGGTGAAGACACGACTCCGGACATCAGGATTGAGAAGTACGGTAGGTTTCACGAATGTGCCCTTGTCGCCCAATCTCTCTCCTCCAGTCAGGACCTCGATACCCTCGGCCTTCCCGTCGTTAAGGAATCCCATGACGCGTTCGAATTGCTTCTTGTCGGCCAATGGCCCATATGCGGTCTCGGCCAGAGATGGATCTCCCATTTTCTTGGCAGCATCTTCGAAGGCCTTTTTGATGCCTTCGATGAACTTTGGCGCAATACCTTCTTGCACCAAGACTCTTGACGAGGCAAAGCATACCTGTCCAGAGTTCCGCAGAAAGCCCGTTGAGTTGTGCAGGAGGGCATTGTCCAGGTCGGCATCGTCGAAGATCAGAGCGGGAGACTTGCCTCCCAATTCCAGAGAGACATGCTTCATATTGGATTTGGCAGCGGCAATCTGGACTGCACGTCCACCGGCGGCGGAGCCAGTGAAAGCAATCTTGGCGATGCTCATATGAGACGCCAGTATGGCACCCACGGGGGCGGCACCTATGACGATGTTGATCACGCCAGGAGGGAATCCGGCTTCTTTGATCAATTCACCGTAGAGGGCTGCGCCCAGTGGCGACTTCTCCGAAGGCTTGAAGACGAAGGTGTTTCCAGCAGCGAGAGCAGCGGCCATTTTCCAGGCAGCAAGGGCGTGAGTGCCGTTCCAAGCAGCAATGCCGGCACAAACTCCTAGGGGTTCATAGGCGACGATCTTATAAGAGCCATCACCTTCAGGAGGGTAGCTTTCACCGGCGATCTTGCCGGCGAAGCCAGCATAGTAACGCCAAACCGCTGCCGGGCCATTGACAAAACCTTTAGCGAGAGTGATGGGTTGACCCATACATATCGACTCGAGTTTTCCAAGGCGTTCGGCATTGGCGTCGAGAAGATCAGCAAACTTGAGCATGATGGCACCTCGCTTTGCACCGGGCGTGGAGGACCAGCCGGGGAAAGCAGCTTTGGCAGCAGCGACAGCCTTGTCGACATCAGCCTCGGAAGCCACTTGGACTTTATCGGTGACTAGGGTGTCATCGTTGGGGTTGTAGATGGACAGGGTCTCTCCGGACGAGGAGGGAACGTACTGAATGGGATTACAGCCGAGTTAGCACCGAATTCGAAGGGAGAAGAGGATGACAGTGCGGAGGGACTTTACCTCGCCATTGATGAAGAGATTGGTTTGGTATGACATATTGTCTGCTTGCCTGGTGATGGTGTTGTCGTTAAGGGTGATGGCGGTCAAACTGACTCTTGTGGGTTCGATGAGAAATTGTCAGTGAGAGAAGAGAGTCAGTCTGTCTCGATCAGCGTCTGATATATGACAAAGTTACCCATACGGAGGTAGTGAATTGAGGATGCTATACCCGTACAGAGCCGTGGTGGTGGTGGGTTTGTTTGCTTTACCCCGCACCTGCGCACCAACCAGGCCATGAGGAAATCTCCAGCATGCGCAAGTTCCGAGGAAGATGGAAAAGTTGGGTGGCAGAAGTGGTGGTTTAACCCTCACCATCTCCAATAATTCTACAAAGTTCATACAATCATTTCTTATTTCCGACACGAAAGTAAAGCAGATCGATCAGGATCATGTCATGATTCTCGGTACTAAGCTGCTCTTCTCCGTCCAGCCATCATCAAGCTAAGGGCTAACGAGCAATCTAGGTGCCTGGCAGCCTGGCCATTCCTGATTTGTGCGGTTGGTCGATGAGGCCTCTCATTGCTCGCCTTTGATGCACGTTGTCCTCCCCCTTGTCGCTGTCAGCCAATCCAATCGACATGTACAAGCCTGGTCCCGGTCATCTCCTTCGTCTCGAAGGAGACTGCAACATCGTACTCAACGGACAACTCTATCCTCACGAAAAGCGCAGAAGGCTACCAATGATGCTGCGGTAAGCGTCCACTACCAGAAGAACGCATGCAAGAGTCGGCGGCCTGTGGAGCTCCAGGAAGCAGCGACAACATGACCCTGTTCCCTCCATCATGCAACCCTCACAACAGTCTGTTCCCATCTTAACGGGCCTCATCACCGACCTCTTGACCTCCTTCAACACTCTCACATCCCAGCTCTATCAGAACGTCATGTTTGCGCGACTTCGCGACGTATTGCTGCTCGGCCCAGTGGCCCATCAGGTCATAGCCCAGACCAACTGCTCTTCCTTGTCTACGAGCGCTGTGGCCTTGACGTGGCATGCTCCAAATGCTACTAATATCAACAATTTAACCTTTGTCGTCAATGGTACGGGGATCAATGGATTCATCTTCAATTCTTCCATAACCCCAGCTTCGACTGCCTATAGCACGTACAACTGGTGTAATATGCCGCATACCCGACGTCAAGAGTACCCCCGCGTCGACCCGGAATACACATTGGAATATGTCGAGCTTGTAAGTGCGGCTGGGGCGTTGGGCCATCTGACCAAAGCTTTTTTCCGTGGAAGCTGACGCCCTCGCAGATTCATCGTCACCACAAGCGCACCCCTTATGCGTCCAATACCTTCCCCCGTGAATCCTATGCATGGAATTGCGACGACGAGGCGTTGTTCTTTTATGGCGCCCCGGAACCGGATAGCTCTTCTGCTCAGGTCCACTGGCAAGTCTACACCTCTCCGTCAAATCCTTTGGCACCCGAGGGGTTCAATGGAACTTGTCAATTTCCGCAAATCTCGGGCGCCGGACTCAACGACTCTCGTCAACATGGTCGCGATCTTTTCGGGGTGTATCATGACCTGCTCGGCTTTCTACCTTCATCCTATAACTCGTCCCGGGTCAAGTACCGAGTCACGAACAACGTCATCACCTCGCAAGTTGCGGGTCAGGTCATCGAGGGCGAGTATTCGGGGCGCCAGAATGTCCCCGTTTCTGTACTCATTCAACCCGATAGTATCGACAGCCTGGAACCAGCCTACACATGCTCTGCGGCCAGTACCCTCTATTCCTCTTACGGCGTGGGAAGTGACGCCGCTAACTGGACGCTGCACCTGAACGACTCCGGGTCACTATTTGCAAAGCTTGATTCGGTGAGTGGCGTCAACAGCAGCGATCCCGCCTGGCACAACTGGTTCGACCACTACTTTGACAACCTCTCGGCTCGCTTGTGCCACCAAAAGCCCCTGCCGTGCCAGATTGGCAACTCGTCGAATTGCATTACCGAGGCGGACGCCGATGCAGTCTTCCGGAGAGGCCAATACGAGTACTCGTTTATTTACCGAGATAGTCCGTCGTCGCTGCCCGCATCCACCGCGAGCTACGGCATCTATGTGGCCGAGCTTGCACAGAACATCCGCGACGCGATCAACGGCACATCTTCCGTCATCTACATGCACAACGTTGCTCACGATGGGTCTGTGTCGCGCCTGCTCAGCATTCTACAGGTCGATGTCATGGTCTGGCCAGGCATGGGCTCCGAGGTCGTGTTTGAACTGTACTCCAAGCAAGGGTGTTACTACCTACGCGTGCTATGGGGTGGACAGGTGCTCCGGAGCTCGAATCCGAGTCTCGGCCTTATGGATTTGATACCGGTTCAAAACTTCCTGTCATACATAGATGGGTTAGTCGGATCTGGTGCGCGTCTGGTGCCCGATCTGTGCGCGGGCTCATAAGCTCGAGTATAGACGTCGGTCAGATCTCTATAGAAGTCGGGAACTGGATAGATAGTTGAACGTCGGTCGAAAGGACGTGCGAATCGTGAACTCATATACTCAAGGCATACGATCAACATGGCAATGATACTCCAAGAGCATATGAAGCATTGACTGCTCTGGGATCGCTGAGGATGGTTGCTTGAAATTACTCACTCGTTGAATCTCCTTTCTACCTTGCCAGCTCTTTACCATGATGCCAGGTTAGCCGCGTCGACTACACACAAAGGTTGTTCCTTTTCTGAACGACGTCCCTTCTCGCGGTTGTAACCCGGACATTACGCGTATGCAATGCAATGCGGCAATTACGGCCGCAGCAATCGGTTTGGATGCCATTATGCTTCTTGTCCCACTAATTATAACTCTCAGGCAAACTGAAAGGAACTTTTCCAGTGGAAGGGTGCAAAAGACTATGGAAGATAGATGTCATGATTTACTTCACAAGCAAACCTAACGCCCTCTTTTCGCAAAATCTTTAGAACTGTCGTACAAACAACCAGACACACTCTCTCAAGGACGTATGGAAAACAAGATATCCTTTCCACAAAAAAAAGTAAACTGTGTGCATATGCTCTTCCCCCCCAACAAATGAAAGAATAAGTCCATCATACCTCATGTCTAGTAGACGGCCTGAGCCTGTCCGTAGCCCTGGTCGTAGCCTTCCATTCCCTCTTCCTCTTCCTCGTCGCCTTCCGGATACTCTTCGTAGTGTTCGTTGTCTGCATCCATGCTGGTCATGGCTTCATGCTCGGGATCGTAGTGATCGGACTCGTCCATGCCCATGGCACCGCCCTGGGAAGGATGCATCGAGCCCTGAGACCCTTGCATCGCCATGGAAGTCCCTTGCAACCCCATGGCAGCGCCGCCAGCACCTCCTTGGCTGGGATCGTGCGGCCATTGTTCTGCGCTGCCGTCGTCCTCGGGGTCATACTGCGATGGGTCGTCGTAATCTTCATGCTGCGGGTGGTAGGGCTGTTGTCCGGTATACTGAGGCTGTCCGCCATGCTGCGGTTGTCCAGGATATTGAGGCTGCCCGCCGAGCTGCGGTTGTCCAGGATATTGAGGCTGTCCGCCATGCTGCTGCGGTCCAGCGTGTGCTGCCATGCCCTGTCCATACATTTGCCCGTGTGTTGGGTCGTTGTAGCAATCTCCAAAGCCCTGCAGATTGAGTGATATCGTGGGGTTGAAAGTCGGGTTGAACTCATCGTTAACGTGGGTGTTCCCGTTGGAGAGAGGACCGACACTGGTGTTTCCGTTCTCGAGGGGGCCGACGCTGGCGTCTCCCCCATCAGCGTCAGCTTCGCCGCCTTGAGCGTCGCCACCTGAGACTGGCCCAATAGCCGTGTTTCCCCCGTTGCTCTGGCTTGTGATGCCGCTGACCGAGTTTCCCGAAGCGCCACCGGCTACCGTGTGTTAGAATATCTCTGTGCAAGCCGGACCAATCTTTACATCAAGGCAATAGAACGTACCTGTCACGGGTCCATTGGTATTCCCGGCCGCACTGCCGCCCTGTCCTCCGGCCGCATTGCCACCAGTTCCCGAGCCTCCTTGTCCTCCCGCACCTCCCGCACCTCCAGATCCTCCAGATCCTCCCGCTCCGCCGCTGGCAGTGTTTGTGTTTGAGCTTGACGCGTCGGCGCTGGCATTGGCATCTGAAGAACTACTGCCGCCGCCACCGCTGAACAAACCGCCGAGGATAGCGCCGAGAGGGGCCATTCTTTCGTGATGTGATTTCGATCTGTACTATGTGAGAGGGAGAGCCGAAGAGTGATCTTATCAGAGCTTCTATGAAAGGTCTGGGGTGGCTTTGGTGAGCTCTTGAGGAGGATGTGTCTCTGGTGTTTTATTTGTGTTGAAATGTCTGATTGAGTAGTGAGGACGGGGAAGAGGAAAAGGATTCTGTGAATCCTTATATCCAGACCGTTTTCTAAATTCGGACCGTAGTCTGAGCAGATGACTTTCCTGGTTTTTCCTGGTCTCTGTCTGACTTCCGCTCCCCCTCTCGCTCAGTCTCTGGAGAACCGTGGGCCCAGCCAGAAACGTAGTCATCATGGCCTTTCCACGTGCCTGCGAATGGAAAAGCGGCAACTAATTTTAGCTTTGGATGTGATAATAGCTCTCTTTTTTGCTTCTTTCTTCTTCATCTTCTTCCCTGTACGAAGTACGGGACGAGTATTGGTAGGATGGTGGAGAGAGGATCCCAAAGCCACAATGCTCACCCCAGTATTGCGCCTCGCCTCAAACCAACGTTGGACCAGATCTGAGGCATAGCGCTCCGGATTAAGCGAGAAGAGGAGGATGGATGGGAACCTACGCGGTACACTCCCTGTTCAGCCCCCGCCGCCGGGTCCCGAAAAAATACCACCACTCATCACATCACTAGTGGCCCGTATTTGATTTGTTCAGGCGGGGATCCTCAGTAATAGTGGCATAATACTATTGTGGGTCGTCAAAGATACCGAACGAGTATGAATCCACATCGCCCACCGTTGGCTTGTCCCGATTGTATGCTGGCTATGCTACTATCTATTCTGAGGTGAGGGAGGGCGGATTTGTCTCTGGGCGTTTCTATTTTTCGCTCTTGTATTTTGTATTCGTAAATGATGGGCTTACTTTTCTTGGAGTTTGTAGAGTAGAGTGTCACTGACCAAAGGAGGCTGTGGGATGCATTCTAATCCCAGTATTCGACTTGGACACAGTTGGCGACTAGCCCTAGGCGCGACACGACAACCTTGTAAAGGCCCTATTTCTGACGCATGCCGGAACGCATATCGCAGGAAGTCACCATCCCGACCTACTTCTGTGCCCTTACGTGAACAACTCCCACATCTCAGAACCATGTCAAACTCCAAACTCCGGCGTAAGAATGTCCCCTTGTCCCCGGTACAAGGAGCCCCGACTTTTGCTAACGTACGTGCATGGGCAGGATGAAATGTACAGTGCTTCCACGGGAATTTCAACAAAATGAGCAATGCCCGACGAGGATTGGCGTGGTGAAATTCAAGAATACGCGCGCCTGCTAGACGCCGTTGCCAGCGGCGACAGATCTCGCGTCGTCAAACACTTGACCGACTACATCCTCGGCGGCAAAAAGGAGGGGAACCCATCCTCGCAGGCCGGCGACGACGACCAAGACCATGACCATGGCGACGACCACAAGACGCAGGGAGAACATGAACAATACCCGGAGCAGGAAGAGGACAATGGCTACGAATACTACGAGGAGGACGTGTATAACGAGTCGTATGCCGCGGGAACAGAATATGCGGATCATGAAGGAAACTACACAGGGGAAGAGAACAAAGAACATGAATATGAAGAAGACCAATATGAATACGGCAATGGCTATGATGATGAGTATCCTGCTGAGTACGATCCCTCGACCGCAGCAGAGAACTACTATGAAGAGCCCTACATGTCTGGGGCATACAATGAGCCAAACAATGGCGACGAGGCGTATGAGGGAGACGAGTACGGCGAATACAATGGGGATGACCCGTCTAGCTATGGCAACGAGACATATGCAATGGGCGAGGCCGAGAACACCAATGCCGGCAGCTATCCAAGGGGAGCCTACAACGGTCCCAACAGCAACAACTACGGGAATCACCAATATACCGATAGCCAAGAGTACGGCGATGAGTATTACGGTCAGGAATACAACGACTGGGATCCAGGTGCAGAGAACTATCACTATCACCAAGGCACAGACGGAGCAGGAGGTGAGTGGAATGATGAAGAGCCGGATTACGGACTTGTCTCAGATGACCAAAACCAGGAGGTCGTCGATGAAGTCGCTCTTTACGACCTGGACGATGAATACCTCGACGAGGACCCGGACCATCCACATGACGATTATGCAGATCTGGACGAGCATGATTATCTGGATGAGCATGACTATTGGGAAGAGCATGATGGCGCCGATTTGGACCATTATGCAGATCTGGAAGAGCACGACCATCTGCAAGAACATGAAGAGCATCAAGAGCGTCAAGATCCGGAAAAGAGTAAACCTCTGGAAGACCTTGCATATCCGGATGACGACGACCAGCTCCCAAATTACGAAGAACAAACCCAACTGCGCCATCACCCCGAAGACAACCTCTTTTTCCTCCCCCCACCACCAAACGACGCGCTCCCCGGATACTCTGAGATCCCACGCTACGCCGCCAACCAAAGCCCCAAGATACAGTACGTGCCATACCGGCCGCCTCCTACGAGTCTGGGTGAGGAGCCAACAGAGAACAACGGGAAAAGCGGAGGAGCTGGGATTCCCTCCATCAGACGTGCGGGTACAACTACATTCAACCCCCGAACTAGTGCTGATCGAGTCGGGTCTGGGAAGGAAGACGAAGACGAGGAGGAATGGGAAGACGAGACCTGCGAAGACGAGGACGAGAGCCTGCCACCGCCGCCGCCACTTTCTCCCAGGCACCCTGACATCCAGTTTAACCCCTTGAGTCAGCAGTACAAAGGGGGATTGCCTGCAGAGCAGAAACCAGATCCTTTCCTATACATTCCCACCATTGGATCTGGCCAGGCTAGCGCCTTTTGGGAGCGGTAGAAGGGTTGGAGCGTGTTTCAACCGTGTACTTGTATAGGAAGGTGAACCAATTTAGCGTCTGTTTGTTTTGCGCAGTTCAAAGCACGTCTTTTCTGAGAAAATATCGAGAATGGTATTGTTTGACATGAAATAATAGATCCTTCTAGATCAACTGATTACGATTAGTCGGTTTGGGGGGCCCGGGGTGGTAATGTCATCCTTCAACGCTTTGCACACATGCTGAGCGTCCGCTGGTGTCCGCTGGGAAGAAACGACCATCCATCCCAAGACGCTTTTGGCTAGTATGATTGCCAAACAAGATGGTTACAGAGTGGAGCAAGGTCTATACCATTCGCGGGACGGGCAGCTGTCAGAGGATCCACTGCCATGTAACACACCTGACTTTGACTGGCAGACTGGCAGACTGGTTACAGGTCAGCATTATTCCGAGCGTGTCTGGTAATTATATAGTGGATCCTTGAAATAGAATGTAATGACCCGGCCAATCCACCCTCTTCTAATTCCCCTCCTTTGGCCAAGTATCAGCTGCGGGTCCTCGGCGACACGAGGATAAGCTAAGCTACACATCTCTTGGGCTATACTGCCCTCCCCCTCCCCCCTTCCTCCTGCTTGGCTTATGGGTCGAGGCGAAGTCAAAAGCTTATACTCTATTCTTAAGCCGAGTTTGTGTCAGGACCCCGAGTGGTTTTTACCCGACCTGGTTGTGGATGCCCGTCCCAGCCAATATCACCAGTATCACAAATGTCACTAATATTGGGTATGTCCATCTGCGGTGCCAGGTGCCCGAGGCTTAGCAGGTGCACCAAGCAAGCCACGCTGCATACTGGTGTCCTTCGTGAACCCATTGGCTATTCACTTTGCCTCAACTGGCTTAGGGGAGTCTGTATGTCTGTCGGGCCGAGAGCCACCGCCCTTTGCCAGTAGAAATAGATCACATTCGATCCAAGTCAGAGAGCCGTGGGAAGGGTGCTTTGCTTTGCATAATAGTCACTCTTTTCTTTATCAAACCACAATCTCAGGGCCAACACACATTCTTTTCGTATAGATACGTCATTGAAGAAGGTACATTTTCTATCCATATCCAACAGGACGTTTTACTTTTCTTTGCACAAGCCAAGTCTAGAGACGAGTCTAGATCTGACTTCCGTCGCCATGGACTACGGCTACTACCACCACGACTACGACTACGATTACGACGACTACAATGACTACAGTCATGATGGATGGGGTCATGGCTATGGAGGGGACTACGACTACGATGAGTACTGGGAGGACGACTACTGGTATCAAGAGGAAGAATCACCGGAGTACTACCACAACCACTACAATGAGGGCCAGGAGTACATGCATGGGGGGGATCGCAGCTACGATGCTTCCGAAAATCACTATGGAAGCCAATATGACGCATCGTATGAGAACAACTACCATCATGGCTACTCTCAGGGCAACAACAACTACCAGTCCGACCATCATCATCATCATCATCATCATCAACAACAACAACAACAGCAATACTATGGGAGCAACTCCTGGTAAGGTGAGGCAATGTCGCCGTGTTTGATCCATTGTATCCTAATGATGGCTACCAGGAGGGACTCGGAATCATCACATCATTCCAGCAGCCACGTCGACCACCATCACTCGTCGACGAGGACCATCACCCACACATTCCCTCTCCCTCCCACACCTCCGTTACTTCCCATCCCACCGCTGTCTCCCCCAACCCCAAATATTGCCGTTCTTCCAGTGCTTCGCACAGGCACACCGTTGATTCCCGCGGGCTTCCCATTCGAGTCGCGGGCCATGGGCATCAACCGCAACCAGAGCCTGAGCGTGAAGCCCATCGATTCCGAACACACCAAGTCTGCCCTGACGCCGACTCCGACAGAGTCCTTCTTCCACAATCTTTTCTGGAAAACCCCCGGCAAACCTAGAGACCGCACGAGACCGACCACGCCCGTTATTGTCCCGCCTGCTGGCTCGCGCTCCATACCTCGCAGTCCCAGTCTGACCGCCAACATCAGCCTCAACAGATCTCCTTCAGCCGCCGGGAACTCGCCCATAGCTGGGTACGATGCGATGAGAGGAAGGGGTATAGGATTTTTAGCTCCATCTCCTGAACGAGCGTGATGAACACGAAGTCAGGACCGAGGGAAAGGAACGGGTTGTCAAATGTATTTTGTGTCTACTGGTGTTCTATGTCTATGCGGGAGGAAACTAAACATTATATTTCATCATGATGGAGAAAATGCACCATGTCGTCTGTAACATGCCCGCGGAGGAGAACACTCATTTTTGTAAACCTTGGTATCAAAACTATTTCTTTGGATCTATGCGGAACTCTGTTTGATGATTGAATGAATACCATACCATGTAGACCATCGAAGCTGGCGTAGGACAAGAAGTCGAACATCTGGTTAGGGAGGCTTTCATATTAGTCCTTGAAGATAGTTCAAATGCTACTCATACTGATTCTGATTCACCTTCTTCATTCTGTGCCATACGCGAGACTCGATATCAACAGAAGACAACGGCCATGCCAAGCGCCGTTATTGCAACTCCAAATGTCTACAAACCCCCTGCAAACCAGTTAGAGCTGCCGATAGGCTGGGCGGAAAATACTCTCCAGGCCACAAAAGGTAAGTACCGGAGTGAATGTGGCGCAAGCCATGGAGGGTTGGCTCCATTGCGGCCAACTGATTTAGAAGCCGCAACTATAGTAAGGTATCCTGACTGGCCAGAGAGGGGTCAGCTTAAATAAGGCATCTCACCATACCTACTGATTACAGGTGGCGCCAGTAGGAGCATGTATTTTTGGGCAAAGCGGGGGACAAGACTAATGCTTCATGTGGCAACGCGGCAAAAGGACTTCGGCCCCTCGATCGGCACAACGATTGACTAACGGAGACTTACTGACTGACTGGCCCAGTGGATGTTGGATACAAGCTGTACTTACTCGTACAAGGGACCGGGGATTGACTAGACCGCACATCCGTCTCAAGGCTGTACACTTGTCATAGTCTCTCTTCTAACCCCCCGCCATCTACACAGCCCATAACCCATAGCTCTTTGGGGGCAATACAGCATTGACCGTGTCTCTCTTAAGTTTAATCGTGGTCGGGGTTCTCACTTTTGCCCATTCTTTTCGCATTTGCTCACACTCTCTTGCAGCACCTACCAGTCACTCTTTACGAGTCCTTTTTTCTTTTCTCGGCGTTTTCCTTGAACACGGTAAACACGCTCTTTACACAATCCGGAGAAAGAAGCCAGTCCACCATCTGTATTCCCACCCTGTCCCGTTCACAAACTTGTTATACCACTCGCTTTTGTGCCGGGCTGGGCAAAAGGCCAGGGTAGACCATGAGAGTCTCCCCGTTGTTGACGCTGCTTTCGGCGCTCGCTGCCACGGGCTTGACTTTCGTATGTCTGCTGGCCGGGTACACCACCACCACACTTGCCGATATTGATATGTTTAATGTAAGTTGTTGCATCATGCTGTCCAATCTCTCTCCGATAAGTTAGCTGACCTCTCAATCAATCCAGCTCAACATATCACAAATAGCACATACCAAATTCAACAACGGCACCGGCAACGGATGCAATTGCGTCGAGTTCGTTGACGGCGTCCTCACGGTAAACGGGACCGCCGTCGTCAACGGGACCCTCAATGTGGGGTATGCTGAACTGGATGTCTTCGAATACTACTCGGTCTATGTCATCAACTACTGCGAGGGCAGCTACCTGCCGTCGTACCAGGACAACGATGCGAACGCCGTCATCACTCGGTGCGAGAAGCCGTCATTGACGCGGCATTTCGACCTCGTTGATATCCTGGAGAAAGCCATGAAGGACCTCGGCAGCGCCCTCGGGGAGGATATTTCGTTCGACGACCTGGACTGGCCTAACGGCATCACCAGTGCATTTGTCTATGCACAGTCTGCGGGGTCGGCCATGGTCGTGTTCTTTATCATTGGGCTTGCCTGCCTAATCCTTGCGTCCCTGGCGGCACTGTGGTGCTTGTTCACAACCAACAGAACGGCCGTCAAGTTCCTCCTCATTACCTCTGTGGTAGGTTTCCCTAGTGATGATGTCCTCTGGCTGTCTTCGCAGACACAATGCTGACAGGACCAATGCAGCTTGCTTTACTGAGTCTGACAATCTGTGCCGGCATCACGACGGCTATAATCACCATTGTCGTCAACGGCGTCAACGCCAACGGCGAGGACATTGGTGTCTCGGCCAAACAAGGCAACGCCTTTCTAGCCCTGGTGTGGATCGCGGTCGCCCTGCTCCTCATCTCGACCTTGACGTCAAGCATCACCCTCTGCGTCGGGCCTAGCCGGCGAACTCACACTCGACTGCGAGAGCCCGAAGCATACGACATGCCGCCCGTCATGTTCAAGCGGAGGAAGGCCCCGTACTACATGAGCCCTCCCGATTCGAGTTACTGGGACAGCTTCTCGTCCCGACGGATGCTGGTGGATCCACGCGACCGCGACCGTGATCGCGAGGATGACTATTATGGCTATGGCGAAGAATTTAGATAAAAAAAAAAAAATTTAATGTTTAGTTATGGCGGCGGGTTGGGAAAGGAGCGGGGGGAACCAAGGTTGGAGTTTATTTTTGTCTGATTTCGTTTTTGAAACTGGGGTATTGGCCGATCACAGCTTGGCTACCTACTCGGTACTGGTGACTAGACTCCCCGAGAGGAATGAAGGGCGCTTTGCCCGTATCAGAAGAAGAACGACCTATAAACATCTCTATCTTGGAGGGGTTTTTGCCATGCTCTTTTGTTTTTTCCTTTCCAATGAGTCAGTGACCGAATGAGTAACATGACTCCCAAACTGCAGGAGGAAGAATGCGTTCGTCATGAGGCTCGAGCATCGTGAAGTGGTATGAACGTTCGTCAGATGATGCGGCGGAGTTAGGCGCCCGACAGAAAATGTCCAAGATATGGCAGCGACCTGACGGGGCCATACATGGGATGGTCCGCAACGCTGAAACAGGCGAGACCGACGCCCTGCGGACACCAGGTGGGTGGGCTCCGACCGGGACTGCCACCGAGCCCTATAGGATGAAAGTTTAGTTAAAGGTGGCAAAGAAAATAGGGCGTAAGATCGGGCCGTGGGCCGTTAGTGAGTTACAACAAGAAAAAAAAAAACGAGAAGAAAAACCTGCTTTTTGCTTTCCACAGATGCAGTACCCATCCATAACCGACCCAGTACGAGTAAGTCGGTCTGATGTGAAAATAGGCATTGATGTGGCAAGCCTTATCTGGGGGCAGCAGGCCAGGGGTCTGGGATCAAGAACTTTTGGGGGAATCGGAGGTTATGGTAGGGCGGCGTATGGGTGCATGTGGCCCTCCCACCCCCTCCGTACATGGTAGGTTGATCGACAGGTCCTCCGAAAAGGGCAAGTCCCCACAGTTAATCACGATTGAGTTTGGCCTCCGGGAGAATAATGGTATAACCTTCCAGACATGGATTAGCGCGTAATCAATATACAGAATGCCTCTACCGGACTAGGTATAAGCGCCGTCTCTGGTTCTTTTTTGATTACAATTTGTCTTAGCTCTTATTTGGTCCCTACCCAACCTAGATTAAGCACTACGCTATATCTCTCGGCGGCGGGGGGGTGGTCAACGTAAGTCACGAGGCAACGAAGGCTTGATAGGACGTGCATCCCTCGATCCCTCGAAACCACACACACACACTATTAGCGGCGGGCCGATTTCCACCCCGTTTGGGGCTTTGCACTGAGGACAGACCTGGTGTTGGTGCCACCACCCAACCAACAGCGTTCATGATGGCTCTCCATCGTCAATACTCGTACCTCGTACTTGGTTCGTTCGGCCAGTCAGTAAGCGACAAACAAGCCCCCCCCCCCCCCCCCCCCCGGGCAGGGAGCCTCCTGTCCACATCTGACAAGCTTCCAAAATTCTCAGTGAGATTCTAGATGGTTCAGTGGATGATTGGTATGTTTGGACTGATGGCCGTGTCTTTATCCGAACCTAACCGTCGCGGCCAGCTGATCGGCGTTGGCAGGAACAAAAAGTCTCCATTGGGAGCTAGTTCCCCGATCTATTCCCAAGGAGGCTCGGATCAATTCGGAAGCGATCGAACCACAGCTCTCTACATACTCGGAGCATCAGGAATACACAGATCCCAATGCCCTTCAATGACAGCGCCTCCTGGGCCACCGTCAGTCAGACTTACAGGGAGTGGGGAGTATCAGCCGGTAGGCTTGAGAGGGTAATGGGCTGGAGAAATGAACAAAGTAGAGCCACACTCCGTGTGGAAGGCAGTTACAAGATGCTCCATTTACCGGAGCTTGCGATTCGCGCAATGACCTGGTGTGTGCTAGACAAAACCTTCGAGACCGAAACTGCTGCCAGTGTAAGTTCACCATGTCGTTCGTTTCATGCAAATCAGTAAAGTTGAAAGCACACCAAACACTTACTGTGCTTAGTAGATGGGCAGTAGATGGGCAGGGTGTTTTGACCCCAATGGTGAAACAAACCAGACACGAGGCTCAGATGCACTGGGGAAAAAAGAAACAAGCTTAGCTTGACTGGAATATACCGTCTGTTACGGAATTCGTATAAGCTTCGGTTCCTTGTAGAAGCTGATCTAATATACCTTGCACATTTTCCCTCTGTGTGTTTTGCCACCCCCTGGTCGCCGTTCGGAGCCACTTTGCCATGAATATACCCCGTTGCCGCCGCTGTCGCCGCCAAAAACAAAGATAAGATACACCCCCAAAATAAGTTTGGCCCACATTGGTATAGCTGCGGTAATCGTATTACATGCCTCGCCCTCGGCCCATAGCGCCGCCTCTGCCCCGCATTCCCATGGCCCCTCCACGAGCGCCGCCCCTCATACCGCCTCGTGCGCCCATGGGTCCGCCAGCCCCTCCAGCACCGTTGGTCGAGTTGGGATTGGGAACCTGCGGAGCCAGACCAGCTGGGTTGATCGCCATAGGTTCCGCATCCTTGAGGAGCGACGCTCTCTCGATTGTGCTGCCATTCGCCTGGAACTGGCTGCCGCCCGTCGTGCCGGCCGTGTCGCCGGGGTTGACCTTGATCTTGACGGCGCTGATTTCGACGTGTGTCTGGACGATGCCAATCAGGAAGCCGATGGTCCAGATGACCGCTAGCCAGTGTAGTGCGAGGGCTGCACTGCCCTTGGTCACCTGGAAGATGCCGGGGGCTTGCTCGTTGTGGCTCGTGGCGAGCTGGACCGCCGCAAACATCTGCGAGTTCGACACTGCCGCAGCGAAGGCGAAGATGGCCGAGAGTCCGATCAGCACAATCATGACGATCCGCAGGATGTCGAGTCGTCGGTTGCGTTGTGATTGTCTCCATGACGATGCTGGGCCGACCCAAGGCTTGTTCAGGGCGCCGTAAAAGGCAAACATGATGACTCCGAGTGCCAGGAACATGCCAGGGATGGCAGGGAAGACGATGAAAACATCGTTCTGCAGGGATGCCGCCACCTCAAACAAGACCGAGTTGAGCGTCTGGTTAGCAGGTAGCGATTCAAAGTCGTAGATGTTGTTGGTCCCGATGGACAGGTACCGGATACTGGATGCGTGGTCTTTGCCGACGGTGATGGCGCAGTGCTCCGGGCCACTTGAGAGCGAACAGCACATTGCTACCGAACATGGTGAGTCACCAGGCCCTTCTCGTTCTTTGCGTCAAAGGGAGCCACAAACCTGTATACCCGATGCGTAACCGGGTTGTTGCCAGTCCATCAACGGAGTTGAACTGTAAAAGATAGTATCCTGACGTCCCACTCCCCGAGCCTTGGGCTCCAGGTACGTCGCCCAGGATGACAAGAGCTTTGCGCAGAAGTCAGTATCCTGTTCGGTTCATGATGGGGAAGGTACAGTCAAATGGTATGTATGCTTACCTTGGAACAGAATCGCCAGAGCGCCCAGCAGATATACAAAAAGGCGAAGCCAAACACTATCTAACGCAACGCATTAGCATATCATTCACCATGACACAGCGAGGCCCTGTGACTTTACCGGCTATGTGCTTCTTCCAATACTGCGACATCCCCGAGCCCATCGAGCCCATCCCCTGGCTCATACTTGATACTGCGTTCATATTGAGGGAATGTGTGGGAGACTAGGAAAACAGCGAAAAAGGAGAGTCGGAGTCGCCAAAACAGGGCCCAAGGAAACGCAGACAAGGACTGACACACACGCCAAAAGCAATTGTTTTAACGAGTGGAATTCTGATAGATAGTATTGAAAAGGACAGTGGAATGGGAGGAAGTTTCTTTATTTCTTGGTTCTGCCAGGATGGCTCCGACCTGTATATGGATGTGCTCTATGTATACGGTGGGGGAGAGGGGAGGGGAGTCGGGATCGGGCACCGGAGGCTGAGTTCAACCAATTTTAGTACACGAAATGGCCCTAGGTACTCGGTAGAGAGCTTTGAATAGCTTCCTGGCCTGTCTCTGCAAAGGGTGATTATCTTTCTCAGACTGAAATCGTAAAGTAGAGGGGAAACCGGTACGGGACGCCTCTCCACGTACTAACTTAAGCAGTGCTGTGCCTCGTCTCTGGCCACTGAACAAAAAAAGCCCCCGAGGCTCAGAGAGGTTGCATGGATGGTCGATCCACCCAGGGCTGGTTGGCGTGCCCCCTCCTCTCCCTTGTCATTACAGTCTATTACACGATTGGCTAATTGAAACCCTGCCTCTATATCGGGAAGGTTGCTTAGATCATGGCTTCTTCTCCCACTCGGGAGCTGAAGAGGACAGTCAGATGCACTGCCAACCATTCTATGCATGAAAGCTCCACCCTTTCCTGCACACCAGCTCGCCGAAGGACGACAGTCATGGTGTCCGGGTACCACATTTCCACACCAAATCATCTTACATCTTCCCACATCAGACGCCCTCCGGCGACACTATGGCGTTCATATCTACGTTCCCGGTAACATTCAGTGTAATATCTGACAGAGTGGGGTGCTACCCACGATTCCCAATCTGCAGACGGCGTTCCATTGGATCTGAGCTGTGTTGAAGCCGGAGGCAATGTCTTTCAGCCTGCCCGGATATTGGAGACTCGCTCTTTACTGGAGACTCGCAATACAACGCATTGGACTCCAGAGTAATAGTAGCCCTACGACTCGATCCTTGCGAGTCTGTGACAGCTGACATGGTCTCGGATTACATTGAATCCTTCCAATAAATACCATCTGACTATGACATTGACAGAACATATACATGCCTTCTAGGACGTTGCAAAGGTGAAAAGCTGTAAAGATTGAGATATCGGGACTGCCAGCCTTGTCAATAGTAGTCATTAAGCCAAGACTGACAGACATCCCAGAGATCTGATGGTTGGTGGGAAGAAAAGAAAAGGTAGAGGAACTGAGGCTCTGGATATGGATAAATGAATGAGTATAAGCACTGCCAATTTTACAACCAAAACACGACAAAACACCCGCAAAAAGTACCAGTAACCCGCTTACTCTATGCTGAATCAAGCAACCATTTCCCTGCAGTAGCAGCAGCGGCAGCAGCAGCAGCAGCGACCCCTGCTCTCCACCATCATTCAATATCACACTGTCCACCAACTTCTCCCGACACTTCCGTAACCAAGATACAACTGAATTACATATGTTGAGAGCCACCGTGATGCTGCTGCTGTTGCTCGTCATGGCAGTCATCATGGCCCTGGTGTTCGTGTTGCTGTTGCCCATGTGGTTGTTCGTGCTGCTGTTGTTCTTCTTGGTGGTGTGGTTGTTGTTGTTCTTGGTGTTGGTGAGCATGATCATCGGATGGTGGAGGGCAGTGGCAGCCGTCACCACCTGGTTGCTGCTTATGAGGATCATCGTGGTTGCTGCTGTCATGCTGCTGTGTCTGAGGGTCGTGGTGGTTGCTGTTATCATGCTGCTGTTGATGGCAGTCATCGTTATGACCCGATCCCGTTTCATGGTGACTTGGGTCTTGCTCACCATGCTGGTTTTGGTCATGGCCATAGTGACCCCCATGCTGGCTCGGGTCGTGCCCATCTTGATGCTCGTGGTCATCATGATGGCTCCCATGCTGGCTCGGGTCGTGCTCATCTTGATGCTCGTGTTGATTCCAGTGACCGTGAGGGTCGCTCTCATCCTGTCCATCGTGATGATTCCAGTGACCGTTGGGGTCTTCCTCGTTATGGCCGTGGTGATTTTCATCGTCGTATTGACCATGCTCATTCTGGTCGTGGCCATCGTGACCGTGGTGATGCCAGCTTTGGTCACCATGTTCATCACCCTGGTCTTCGTGCCCATCTAAAAGCAAAGTTGTTAGACGAAAATACTCATCACCGACAGACTCCTCGGGACAACTCACAATGGTTCATCGAGTCATCATTGTCGCCAGGATGGCCCCAGTGGTGGTGGTGTTTACCCTCATGATCCTGGCCATCTTCGCCACACTGATCGTCCCCTTCCTCTTGGCATCCGTCGTCGTCATGACCATAGTGACCATCGTCTTCCTCGCCATTGTGGCCAAGACCCAAACCATCTTGAAAGGCATCGGCAATTTCGTGAACACCATGAACGACATCTTGGAAGCCGTCCTCGGCAAGGCCGATGATGTGGTCAAGACCCATGATGTGTGGAGTATTTGGTAATTACAGAGGACTGATATGAAATTGAAAATGGGAAAAGCAAAGACTAGCCGAAACAACTGATTGGCGAAGATTGGAAGAGGGGAAGTGATGTAGTTTGATATAAACGACCTGGTTCTGCTCAGTTGCCAAGGAGAGCCTCGGTGTCTTTATATCGTCTACTTTTTGATTGCTGAACCGTGTTGCAAAAAATAGTAACCCGGCCGCAAGAGTTACTAAAGAGACTTCAGCTGAGTAGAAGCATGATCTCTGTTTACCACCAATCTATAGCAGGATTGGGGCCGTGCTGCTGCGATGGTCGCATCCAAAGGGGGTAATATTTTTTTTTTCAGGCCGAGGCGAAAGTCGAGGGGCGCAGGGGGGCCGGCGGGTAGGGAAAAAATGGAATCAAAGCCCCCTTTGATATCCATCTACTCCGATCTGGCCAGGCCGGAGACCCGAACATATTGTTGGCCGATTATTACAGTAGATGCGGATTACGAAGAAGGCGGCAAGAGCATTGTCATCCTGCCATAGCGTCTACATGGGAGTAAATTGTGGCGGTATAAGCACTATGTGCAGAGTAGATGTCAGGTCGGGTTAAAGCTCTCTCCCACTTGGCTCCATACTGGAACCTGGGAGTAGATAAAGGAGCCAGAGGGGCTAGCTGAGTGGAGTACTGTGTACTGTAACTTTGTACGAGGAGGCGGCACATAGTATTCACAGAAGGTGTCCACAGTGAGCCAAGGCCACCAATAATGTGTCTTTAACGTGTACAAAACAGGTATAGTTTGCTGGGGGCATAATACTCCCCGATCCCCAGGCACGAAAATAGCCCATATCGAATAATTACTTACATTAACTATTTCTGATACCCACCCGTACATGGCGATCTGCTTACCTTGTACATTATCCACGAAAGCCTTGTAACCACTAAGGTCTCAAACACGACCACACACTCAACCCGGACCAATTCCCTAATACATACTTTGACGGTGACTTAAAGACCTTTGGCCCTCGTTTATAATCGCGGGCCAACTTAGGAGATGCCACACAGCTCGGTGCTCGCTTGACTTAAATAGGCCCAACCCTGGTCCGGACGGAGACTGCGCCTCCAAGAGCTCTACGTCGGTGAGCCTGGGGAGCTGGCCGGCCACAGGAGAAGACCACGTGTACGCCTGCAACACGAAGGAAATGAGTCGAGCGCAGGGATGGCTTGGGAATATGTATATAATTGATTTTATATGACTTTGGACCCTGATGGGGGAAGAGAAAAGCTACCTTCCACAGAGACCTTCAGATCACATCTTGTCTTCTCTCCTGTCCCCATCTCCCCAAATTAAGCTACTACAATGCCCAAAGGATTGCACCTGAACTTTGGCGGCGCAAAGCCTGCTCCAAAAGCAGCTCCCAAGCCCGCCACGAGTTCTACTCCTCATTCAACCTCAACTCCACCGAAGCCCACACCTCCCACACCTCCCCCGAAGCCTACACCTCCCTCGGCGCCAGCAGCACCGCCGCCAGCAGCACCACCACCACCGGCAGCAGCACCACCGCCGCCAGCACCACCGACGACTACGACTACACCAACACCACCGGTAGCGGCAGCACCACCACCAACACCACCACCAGCGAGTCTACCGACTGGCGGACCTGGCCTAGAAAAACCACCACCAGGGGCACCAGGAGCGCCAGTAGAACCGCCAGCCGGCATCCCTGGACCGTCGAGCACACCGTCTCAACCTCCCCAAGCACCATCCGGAGGACCAGGTGAGCCTCCTCATACGCCGTCGGGGTTACCAGGTCAAACTACCCATCCACAGTCAGGAGCACCAGGTCAATTTCCTGGAAACCAGCCACAGAATGATCCGGGGTTCGGTGTACCAGGGTTTCCGCAAGACGGCGGCTTTGGCCAGCAACAACCCCCTCGCTCGGGGGGACCCAGCTGGCTAAATCCTCTGGCGGAAGGTGCCGGGCAAGCCCTTCCATATGTCGTTCCGCAAGTCGCTGGGCAATTTCTCCAGCCACACTCGTCGACCCCTGCGGACCCTGCTTACGGGGGTATTCCCCCGGACTATGGCACCGGGACAGGCACAGGCATGGAAGGTACAGGTATGGAAGGTACAGGTGTGGACGACACATATCAAGACGAGACGGAACAATATCCGGATGACACAGAATTATACCCCGAGGATACAACCTACAGCACGACTCAGAATCCAGAAGCAGGTGCCCCCACGTACGGGGGCACCACAGCAGGCGTAGCCGGCACGGAAGACGACGACCCCGAAGCTGATCAAGATGACCTCGAATACGGCGATGTCGACGATACTGGCGCTTCTACTACCACCGGCAACCAAGCCGCGCCTATGAGTCAAGGTACTGCAGCAGCAGCAGGAGGAGGAGGATTAGGAGGAGCTCCTCACGCCATGTCACACATGGCGGCTCCCGGCGTGGCAGGAGGCATTGCCCAACCCGGCCAAGGTCAAGGGGAAGAATACGACGATGACGATGAACTGTACGACGACACCAACGAGGATGACTACTATGAGGGAGACGACTATGATTATGAAGAAGGGGAACCCGAGGACGACGGCCAAGGCGGAGCTGGCGGTGTTGGCGCTTCCAACGCTTACCACCCCGTCGCTCCACGGGTCGGGGTCGTCATGCATTGAGAGTTGTGCTCGGTAGGATGTGTCTAGTTCCTTGGTCTTGGTCACCTGGAACATTTCGAAACCCATTTTCTTCTCTGTCCGCTGGGAGTAAGGATCGTAGGGAGGGGGGGTTAGCGTTGGATTTTCTAGAGCAAGGCAGATATATGACCCAGATATCTTTTTCTGACATGTCCCTAGAAGAGATAGTCAATGCAGGATTTCCTTTTTTTTCTTTCCCTCAACCTTGTGATTCTCTGTCTTTGTCCAAGGTGTGTTTCGTCTTTGCAATTCTGCCCTCGTAGAGAAGCAAGGCCGGGCGTTTCTTACTTCAAGATAATGATTTGCCCTCACAACTTAGCACCTGAAATGGTAGAATGCCATGTACTGTCGTGTGAGACGACACAACATGAAGGTCGGTTCGCGCGTCGGTTGTACAGTCCCCCAAGACTGTCAATTTGGGATGAGATGGGCTGGAGTCGCCGTATCTTTCATGATTTTCCTTACCACCATCTCCTACCACTATGACCCTCGTCTGTGAAGAAAGGACATTCACGGGTCTATTGGCGTAGAGCTCGTGATGCTCGTCAACGATGGCTCATATGGCGCTGACTTGACTGCCTCATCGGCTTCTCTGTATGCATCGTAGCCGTAGAGCCAGGGCTGGGCCTCTGGACACGTCCTAGATCAAATCAATCAGTGCCATCCCGAAGGTAAGGCCCCGGTAGCTGGGGTGAAGGAGTTTTCGCTTACCATCGACTAGGGAACTTGCCAGATATTTCCTTGCCTAGTTGCGACTCGAATACCTTGTCGCGTTCTCGCTGTTCAGGACCGTCGGGCATATGGAACGCCTCTCTCTGAAGAAATGTCTCGCGGGCGATCTTCTCGCTGCGCGGCTTGCGAAGACGTTCGTACAGGGTGATCGCCCACAGCAACTGCTCCCTAGTCTTCACATACGATAGCAGTCTTCCGAGGACACCGCCGTCTTCGATCGACGAGTTGGCTCCCTGCGCGAGATAGGGCAGCATCGGGTGGCAGGAATCGCCCAGCAAGACGAAATTCTTGTCCTTGTTGGTCCACGACTCCAACTCCTGCCGATGCATCAGTTTCCACTTGTCGACCTGTTCGACCTGCTCTAGGAAACGGAGGAGGATGGGATCCCAGCGAGAGAACAGAGCCCGCATCTCGTCCACCGAGCCCGTCGCTCGTGAGAGGCCCTGAGGGAGGTCATCCGGGCACAGCAGAACTACATTGTACATGGTGCCGCTTCTGATCGAGTATGCCACGGCGTGGGAGTGAGGGCCGATCCAAAAATGGACCTGTGGGTTGGCAATCCATTCCTTCAATTCGGGGTCTTTGATCTTGTCGAGGTGGAGGACGATCCTATAAGCCAAATCACCCGTCGGTAGTGGTTGGTCCGCAGTCTTCAACATGCTTTCTCTACATTTAGACCATAAGCCGTCGGCTCCGACAACCAGGTCACTGTGGACTTCTTGGCCAGATCTGAAGGTCACCTTTGGGCCTGATGCCGTGCACTCAACCGACAACACTCGACAGTCGAGATGCACCTTCACCCCCAGCGACACGGCCTTGTCATACAGGATCTTCTGCAAATCAACTCGGTGGATGTCAAAGAAAGGGAGGCCGTATCGTTGCTGAAGGATCTTGTCGAAATCTCTTTGCTCCGCCAGAACCTTGCCATCCCTGTACCTATGCACAGCTAGAACTGTCGGCACCGCAGCGACGGCTCTGACGGAATCTTCCAAACCCCATTCTCCAAACAACTTTGAGGCGTTGGGCGTGATTTGCAGTCCTGCACCAATCTCGGCGAGTTCTTTGGCCGCCTCAAAGACGGCGACGGTGTGTCCTGCAAGAGAACAGGAGATGGCGGCGGCCAGGCCGGCCAGACCGGCCCCCACGATCGTGATATTCAACACATCTGTTCGACCGTGAGCGTCGGTGTGTTCAGATGTGGGGTCATTCCGCGTAGCCGTTGCCATGTATATATATATATAAGACACAGTTGTATGGATCGACCGCCTTGCCTGATCTCCTCTTCTCATAGATTGTCAGCGCCAGCTGTTCTTGGAAACAGTATCGCGCACATACGCAACGGTGCTGCACGGGGACAGGGAAATATCGGGATTGTGGATGGCAAGTAAGTGACCGTGTAAGTGGTTGGTGGGTTCACTCGGTAGTTGGGCTTCACATTCTACCGGTTCCATCTACCGATTGGAGGAAGAGCCATCAGGTGAAGACAACATCACGCAGACGTCAAACGGACACCAGCCAGCTTCATACGCCCATCATTCACTCGGCAAACACTGAGGCCACAATGAATAATCTACCACAGCTCGGTACAGCAATTGCTCAAGTCTTGTTGCCCACCTACCAGCTCTACACGCCGTTGTTGCAGAGACAAGCCAACATCATCAACTCAACACCGCGCCAGACGTTCCGGTATGGAGAGCATCCGCGTCAACAGTTGGATCTCTACACTCCCGCCGAGACAACGCCTTCCAAAGTGGGCAATTCTGTCTTGATATTCCTGTACGGTGGAGGGTTCGTCCGAGGCGACAAGATCAATCAGACCTTCCCCGACGGTTTGGTATATGCCAACGTGGGCCATTTCTTCACCCAAAACCTGGGAATCAAAGTCGTCATTCCGGATTACAGACTCATCTCCCACGATGCCACCTTCCCTTCGGGGGGTGAGGACTTGGAGCTGGTCATTGACTGGATCAAGGGGAATATAGACCATGACCCATCACATCCCACGACCCTTTTTATCATGGTTAACTCGGCGGGAGGTGTTCACTTGGCAACCTATCTCTTCGCTTCTGAATTTCGAGGACACCGACAGAAAGTACTCACAGGAGATACTCTAGGCGTGAAGCTGGGAGGTGTCATCTTCCTCTCGGCTCCCTTCCACTTTGATCGGGCGATTGCAGAGAGGGCGAAGACTCTTCAGGCGTACTTCGGGGACGATGTCTCCAACCGTTCCCCTCTAGGGCTGTTAAGAGCTTGCAAGGGAGACGGCTCTATCAATGATCTGAAAGGGATCCCGGTCATGGTGCTATATGGAGGACTAGATCCGGAAGACGAGATACTCGCCTCCAAGAACGATTTCGTCAAGGAATGGATCGGCACGGACGCTGTGGCCAACGACTTGACAGTCCTCAAGATGGAAGGCCACAACCACATCAGCCCCGTCTTGGGGCTGGGGACCGGAATCTTTAATGAAGAAGCTTGGGGTCGGCAGGTGGTCGAGTTCATCATCGCAGCCGCTGGCAAGCAAAAATAGTCGCCTGTCAAGTCCCGCTCGTGGCAGCTGAGACAGAATGTGCATCCCGGTTAAAACCAATCTCTGCAGAAACAGATGTATGGACTAGGTGTATCAACTCGGTGGGGGCAACGGAAGGCAAAAGGTAAGCAGGAGGAACAGCGTGGAAAAGGAGTCTGTTGGAGGAATTACCCCGATGCATCAAGGCTGGGTATCTTGTTTGTATCTGTACAATAATCTATGGTGTGAACCGACATGTCTTTGTTGTTCCCATGTAGCCTCCTTGTCCATATTCCACATCCTCTGTCTAAGAGGTGGAAGCCATCTCCATTATATCGTCTCTGGTACGTTTGTGCACCTGGTCCGCACATTGGCGTCGGACCCCATCATATCCAAGCATAAAAAGTCGTATACTGTCAAACACATCGTTGTAGAATCGGAATCTGCATGTCCATCATACTGTACATCGCCGTTAATTCATCGCTGCCGGCGCTCTCTCAGTGCTATTGTGAAGTCGGTACCACCAGCATTTCTCGGCTACCAGGCCTCTGCAAGCGGTCGATACCAAGATGTTCCTTGCCATCCCGACCGACGAAGATTCCGAAGGCGTACTTCATCCCGGCGTCGTGTGCCAGGCGGCGGACAGCACGCCTTGAACGACGGCCTTTCTCTTCCAGCACCGTGTCACCAGTCAGTGACGCTGGAGCAGTGTTTGGGCCTGTCAATGTCTCCGCCAATTCAGCTTTTGTCCCGATATTTTGCAGGGCGACGTCGCCGAGCAGTGGACTCGCATAGAGCCAACTCAATAGTGCCGCAATGGTGTCGATACTGTGAGGGAGATATCGCTTCCGAGTTGGCCAGATTATTAGGTATGAGAGTGAATAGATGGTGACCAGCACGCATAATGCAATGTAACCGGGCATGCTGGCGACCATCCTGACTTGATTGTCCGCGGAGAAGAACACTGCAGTGAACGCTCCACCAGCCAGCACCGGGATAGACAGCGAGAGTATTGAGATGAACGTAATATATGCGACTTTATAATCGCGATTGACCAAGGCCCGAATAATGACACGGATATGTCCATAGGAAGGGTATGCGAGCAGTAGAGAGTTTCGTGCCGTAGCACCATTAGGTTGAGAGAGGTTGCGGAATGGCTGGACCGCTCTGAAGTACATGTCAATCGGTTGCCAAGCGAGAAACAGCACCATGCCGAGAAAAGCTGGCAGGAAACTGTAGAGGAAGTTGGCTGGTGAAAAGCCACTGGCATCCGTCAAAGATGGAAGCAGAGGCCGGAAGCCATCTTCGACTGCTTTGTTCACAAAGCTCACGACCAAAAAGGCGATGACCATCAGGATGGCTGCCACAATCCAGGCCAAGACAAATGAATCACGGAGATACCAGGGCGTCCACCGGTATCGCACAAAAGGCGAATGGATATTGCGTGAGAACGCGGAACCATAAGAATACCGTTGAGCTTCAACATCACCTTGCTCAATCAAGCCATGGACAGCTTTTGAATTTTTGGGCAGAAATGAGAGGCGTTTGACGGGCGCATACTCCTCTCCCACGCCATGAAATACTTCCGGTCGTTCGGATGTGGTGAAGAAACCCAGACGAAGATTTCTCGGTGGGATTTGGCCGTTTGGCTGTGGTGATATCTCGGTTTGCTCAAAGTCGGAACCCACGTTCGACCTCCGGAACAAACAGATCAGATCGGCGAGCGAGCAGGGGTCCCAGAGTAAGTTGGAATTCCGCCGTCGAAAGCGAAAAGCGCAATACAAGAGTCCAAAGCCAAGAAGGACGTACAGCGCCACGAGGGTCCAGCCGACCCCTCTGACCGCGGTCCATCGGAAACGTGCTGGCCCGTCATCTGTAATCCACTGTGTCTGGAAGACACACGCGAGGAGCGGTACAGTAAAGCTCGTTATCCAGAAGATCAGGAATGTGATACCCAGCAAGGGCTCCCCATTGCGGAAGAAAGTGAGGTCCGGCAGAAGATAGTTTGCTGGCAGGATTCGCATGTTTTGCAAAGCCCAGTGGTTGCGGCGACCTGAGCCCATGCCGTAATAAGGCAGAGATCTGTACACTGCGGCTTCAATCACAAAAAGCCACAGGATCAAGAGAATGCCAACTAGTTGTGGCAGATACTGGAAGACAAAGTAACGCGGTGTCGTGTTTCCGTCATAGTCGAAGAGTGCGTGATTCGTGCCTGCGAAGACCAGACTGAATATTAGGGCGGCGATCATTAAAAGGCATAGAAAGAAGAATAGACCAAGAATTGGAAGTCGTAGAGGTAATGGTACAAAGCCAAGTCGTCGACGAAGGTCTTTCGAAAGATCAACTGGGATAAGGACTTCTTGGAGGCTTGTTTGTGAGGGCGGACGGGGCGAGGCAGGCTGCGGGGGCGGAGTTGGTGGAGGAGAGGGTGTCGGCGCACGAGGGCTTTCGTCGAACTCAGGCTTGATGGAAGGTGTGGGAAGAGGCGCATCCGGAGCAGGAAATGTGCTATCTCTGCCTCGGCCGGTGACATCCTCATCTCTTGTCAATTGCTCAATGGCGAATCGGATATACGGTGTATCATCGACCCCAGGAGTCGGAGGGCTCATCTCATCGAAACTGGATAGCAGCCGCACCGTTGTCTGTGCGCCTACGGGTTGGTGGTGTCGAATATTTAGAGGAGCCGGCTGGATTGCGCCGGGTCTTGAAGGAAGTGTCATCTCGGAGTCGACAGGGTTGTGCTGTACTTGTAGCGGAGTAGAAATCCGTGAGGGAGGCGTTTCATAGCTTGCTTTGGAATCGTCCGACTTTTGACTGGCGACTTCGGAGGCATAGTCTGAAAAGTATTCGTTGGTGGCGGAGGAGGACTTGAGAGAGTCGGACTTGATATATTGAGGCGTGGTTCGTTTGACTGATTGGAGGTGAGCGTCTGGATCAGTGACCAAGTTCATTACTTTGGGAGCGGGCAGTAAGCAAAAGATGCGCAAACCCAAAAACGAGCGGTAAAACTCAAGAGACGCACGTTAACAACGGTGGAAGAAAGCAGGGACGTAAGTTTAATGAGGAGACCGGAGAATTAAGAAAGCGTTGAAGGTGAGGCTGGGATTGAGCTTGTTGTACTCATAGATGATGGTGAGGTGGTTGGTGGGTGTGGGCAGAAGCCGCTGAAGATCCCCAGCCTCCCGCAACAGAATTGAGCAACCAGAGTGAAACACATCATGACAGTGGAAGCAAGACCTGAACTAGGCGAGACATTGACATATATTCATTCGAGCCAGCAAATGGTATGTACGGTGCCAGCCGTGGGAAGCGAGTGCTGCTTTGGATGCCCAAAGACTTGACTTGATGATAGCCAGTCTGAGAGTTTTCGACGCAGTTTATCTGCCTTGCCCGTTGAGGCCGTTTGCCAAGAACCAGTCACAGTGCTCCACTCCAACTTCGGATCGGGAAAAAGGGTAATTCCGCTGAGCTGGCCTGGCGCCTTGGTATTGCCTTGGCACTTTAAAACCTGCTTTCCGGAAGTTTGAGTGCGTTGTGCCAGCCTTGCCGTTGTTTTGGGACAAGCTCAGCCTCGTGGATATGGAGCATCCCATTCCCCGAGAACGAGTCTTGGAAAAGTAACGATGTCAACTCACACATCTCGTCTTTAGAAAGAATCGTCGGCAACGCTACTGGTATCTGAAATGATCTTCCCAACGTTGATTGGAAGGTGCCATTGCCTCGGATTCGTTCAAGAGAGCTCCTTCTTGGTCTAAGGAGTGGCAGTGATTACTTCTGTAGCCAGCACTTCGTGAACAGGTAGGTGCGTGCAGTGAAGGTCTAACAGCTATACAAGGTCTGGCAGTTCCATTTCAACCTTGGCTTCTTAGTGAGCTCCGTCGCGCATTTCTACCTCTGCATCGTCCTATCTTTTCTCCATCCCTTGCTGCCCTTCCCATACTATCATTCTTTATCCTTTCCGCCTCTCTCCTTTTCGAAGACTGTGATAAGCTTGTGACGCCGGCCGCCAAAATGATGAAAGCAGCTCTTCTCACCATGTTGTGGCTCTCTGTGCTGTCAGCGTCGGCCCCGACAAGGATTGACAGTGCTCCTGGTGTTCTACGAAGCCGCATATTTAATATTCTCGACCAACTATGCTCGTCCGAACGCTGCCCCTTTGGAGAAGCAACCTTCGATTTGTCGTCATTCTCTTGTTCATGCTCAGTATTGTCCGGGTCTCCTGTGAGTTCAGACTCTAATGACGCTTGATTGTGTATCATTTGCTGATTGACTTTCGTTCAGTTCCCCTCTCCCTGTGGTACTTTGGAATGTGAAAATGGCAAAGAAACGTTCTATTCTGTAATAACAGATTCGTGTTACTGCGGCACAATGGAAGACTGGTACTCCAAAGCCGATGAAGCCTATAATTCAATTTCAGAAAGACATGAACGATCGGTGAATGACCTGCGCCGCCGCCAAACACAAACAAGTCCAGCACCAGCAATCGATACTGCGGTCCCCACATTCATTCCTCCACCCAACCAGGACATTACTCCAGAACTGATTCAGGAATCTTTGAGTGTCCAACCTCAGAATACGGCAATAGTTAGCTCCATGATCCCTTATCTTCTAGACGGCGTCATCCAAGTCTACCTGCAATTAGATGGCCCAGTACCAAGCACACTTGTGGTCAACTGCAGCACTTCCTTACCATGTGGCATGATTGGGCTTGTCGACCCTCAACCTAACCTTGACTTGGTCCCCTTGGTGGTCAATCAAAACCAAGGACAGCCTCAGACGGTGGTTGCTGATTGTCAATGCATCGCTATCAACATGTACGATCCAAACATTGCTACTTACTGGATCCAGAAACTCAGTGATGGAAGCATCTATTCAGTTCTTGGAAACAACGTGGTTGCAGACATCGACAAGATGAACACGACTCAGAGCACAGCGTTGACTCTGACCGCTGTGTCTCAGGGCGCCGGTAAACGGAGTTTTGACGCCAACATTGCATATGTTCAACCCCAGAGACGACAGATCTGGAGCGTTCGATGCGACCGAGCTTGCCCCTTTTACCACATGAATAAGATCAGGGGCACCGATGGATATTGCGGCTGCATGTTCAACGATGTAGGCAAAACACTGGACGCTCGGGCATTGGTTGAGCCAGACCTATACAATGCAAAGATGACTGCGGAGGCTTGTGCCGCCATGACTTGCTTCGATCAAGGAGGCAATCCGACTCCAGCTCTTTTTCACCCTTTCCAGCTGACTTGTTGGTGTGTCACCCAACCGTATATCGAATCCAATCCGAACGCTTGGCTTCCCCCTTCGGGCACGACGTCGTCTTGAAAGGGTCAATTGTCGGAGGCACAGCAAGGGTTCGACAGGGTGTCACGAATCGAAATATTGTGCCACTCGCGAAGCGGCAGTTAATTTGGATGTAAAATGGGAGGCAATTACGAGTATCCGATTGATGATGACAACTTTCTGTGTGGGTTCAGCTATTGACCATCAAGAAGCGAAATGACCGAGAGGCTTGCACACTTTGAAGCGCTGTGCACCGGCGAGACTGGTGAAAGGAGTACCTGATGTCAATAACCAACCCAAGAGTGATCAGATCGATTGAGCATGGCCCATGGACAGTGTGAGAATGTGTATCAACGGAACGAAATTGGATCGAAAGCGTTGGAAACGGTGGCTCTGCATTCTCAAAAGCATGGCCGCGTATTCGGTCCAGGAGTTTCACAATGATGACTGGCGAATCTTTGCCAGAGCTTTATCGGGACCATGATACAACTCGCCCATCGCGCCTTCGCTTGCTATGAAAACTGCTTTAACATGATTTATGAACCCAAGACTGAAAAGAACTTGACCTGGCAATAAAAGAAGTTTTGGTCTCTCGCATCATTTCACCTTCCGCTCCTTGTTTTCAGCTTCTCCCCCTTTGCCTTTTGGAAGCCGTGCTTTTATCCAGGTTGTCAAATTTAAGCTGAGGACATTAGAAGATTTCCTCGCTCTTCCTCGCACACCCAATGGTCGTCTCATCCCTTAAGAGACTTGTGGGCTATTTGAGTAGCCCCTCCGGCTTCTTCGAAGCTCGTTCTCCAGATATTCCCCCGGTAGGGTTTAAAGAAGCTGAAATAAATCGGGTCCTGCGCCACGAAGCGCATCGAATCTATTAGCCCATTGAGATGGCTTCGACCTTCGGTATGTGCATTCATTAAATCCATATTGTACTGTGTGTTGTACATCGAGCGTAAGACTGTGAAGCCACCCATTGATTAAAGTGTCTGGAGAACTTTTTTTCGTTTTTGTGGATCCGATATAAGGTCGTGGATGTTGTGTAAAATTAGCAACAGGTTCAAGGGATACCCAAGGACGTCCAGAAAAGTCTGGACAGCCCGGATTTATCTGTCACCTTTTCGTGTTCGACGGCACAAGTTTTCATTTCTCTTCACCGTCTATTGGAGGCACTTCCGGTGCCATTTCCATTTCCAGCCCCTGTTCCCGCGGTTCCAGTGCCGGGTCCCAGATCACCAGGGAAGACACCAGAGCCACTAACGTAGCTTGTCCGACTTGGACTTGTTCTCGCGGTCTGTTCCTCGATGATGTCGCTCAGCCTGGTCGGATGGTGGTGGCTGCGAGTTTGTACGCTCTCCCAGCTTGTCATGGCCTGAGTTACTGCGGGCGGAACATCTATTTCGTAGGCTTGTCCTTCGTAAGGTGATGATGTGGCATCCAATGTCCGGCCTTGGGGGATGGGTGGCAGGGCAGTTGTTGTAGTACGTGGAAGTCCTGAGGTTGTGGTAGGCGGCTGTTGTGATGGCTGTAGTTGGCGATACTGCGCAGCGTACATTCTCTCACGTTCGATGTCCGCGGCATGATCGTCGTCGTCGTCCTCTGACATCTCTTCCGGTATTTCACCTTCTTCTTCACTAATCTCCCCTGTCAAACCTGAGGTGCCTGCTCCGATTGGCTGACGATAAGGGATGCGACGGCCTTGCGAGTCTCGGGTGTAGCTGCCATCGGGATTGATGTGGTATTCTTCCTCGGATGGCGCCAATGATGCGTTGGAGGGGATGTAAGACTGTTCTGTCCCTCCAGTACCCTGGCGGACTGGCGCGGGCAAAGCGCCCGACATTTGAGCATCGCTGGTGGCAACGGGATAGTACCTTGATTCTCCAGGCATGCGCGCAGGTGACTGTCCTCCGATGGCAGCGGCTCGCGCAGCAGCAATTGCAGCACCACTTGTTGGAGGCTGTGTGGGCTGGGGGCTGGTATAGAATTGCGTATCTGGCTCATGACGCTGTTGTCCCTGTTGTTCGCGCTGCCGAGATGATTCTGTGAACGGGTCGGTCATGGTAGAGGAGTTGCCAGTGTCCGGACGATATGTGAACTGTCGACCTTCTTCACCAGGCGAGTCGAGAGACGTTGTTGTTGTTTGACGAGAGGCAGGACGTTGTTGAGGTTGCTGGCCAGACATGGTTGTTGGCCCTGCACCACCTGTTGGCCCATCTCTAGTTTGTGGACGTTGCGCTGTGCTCGTCTGCCTACTCGGCAGACCTTGCATCGGCACGACTTGGACACCGCCAATAAGGGTGGGTTCTCCGCTCCGTAAAGCACTGGTTCTCTCACGTTCCTCCTGCTCCCTTCGACCCAGTTCTTCCCAGGCGCGGCGAGCTTCTTCCTTGCTGATTTGTAGTTCGCGGCGCATCTCCTTTACTAGCTCTTCTGCTCTTGTCTTTTCTGCACGTACCTGTTCGATCGAGGTGGAACTGAGTGTTCGAGCTTCTTTCTCAGCCCGCAGTTGACGCTCGAGCTCGGCTTGTCGTTCTTGAGCTTGTTCGTGCTCGTGCCGAGTTTCGAAGAACCAGCGCTGGAACTTGCGCTCGGACGACGCTCGAAGGCGTTGCAGTTCGACCACCGCGTGAAACAGGTTTGCGCCTGCCCGAGACAAGTCGTCGATCTGTCGAGCCATTTGCCGGTCAAGGGGCTTCCCGGCCAATTCATCGGCATTGTTTTCCATGCGATGGATGAAAGATGACACGATGCCTTCCCATCGGGCAGAAAGATCTTCCCAGCGTTCGAATGCATTGGGGAAGCGGCTTCGGGCCGCTGTGGAAGGCTGAGCAACAGGCTGTTGAACGGGCTGAGAGCCAAACGGGGGAACAGCCTGCGTTCGAGATTGTGGCTGCGGTGGTTGGGTGGGCCGTGGTATCTGTTCCGGCGGTTTGGCTGTTGCAGTGGCAGGAATGCTGAGTTGTTCATAGGCTTCAGTGCGATTTCGCTGCGTGGACGCAGAAACCCTCGGTTCTCTCGCCGTAGTTTCAGGGGCTCTACCAGTTGTCCTAGAGGCACTCGGTTGGGTGGGCTGTATGTTCTCCTGCCGCCGTGTCGTGGGACCAGCAGGTTGAGGGACAGCTCCACCTATGTTGTAGGTTTGAGGAGGCTGAGCGCTGGGCCTCGTAGTCGTTCTTCGTGTGGTATCCTCCCCAACGCCAACAACCTGTTCTTCTTGTAGTCTTCTGGCATCCTCCTCTTGACGTAGCCTGGCCGCCGCCTCCTCGGCTCTACGAGCTTCCCGTGCCCGGCGCTCTCGCATGACATCCGTCGGAGTGCGATATCGCGGAGGTTCGGTGGGTGTCGGACCAGTGCCAGCTGCTGCGGCCGCACGGGTTGCTCCGCCATTCTGAGTTCGACTTGATACAGCAGCGGTGCCGGGCGCAGTGCCCCTTATCAAATCTGACATTCGAGCCTCTTCTTCGAGTGTATCAGCAGTTAATGGCTGCGCGTGAACACCATCACCTCTCCTGATGGCTTCCAGGGCAAAGAGGATAGCGTCGTGGGTATGTCGAGAGATTTGGAGCGTTCTCCGAGGCCGATAGGAGTCGTCCGAGACCAGTTGCTGGAAAAAGCTAGGGGTGGTAGAGCCGGACTCGTCAAAGTAGACTGGCGGTGTCGCAGAGAGGGCTTGGGACCTTCTCGCACGCAGGGGGAACTGTGCAGTTGCCCGTCGCTCTTGTAACCTTGGGGTTCTCCGAAGCGATCGGGCACCGCTAGATTGCGTGGAATGAGGACGTCTCTGCGAGATGGGGGTAGGTATTTGTTGCTGGCGTTGGGGTACGGGGGTTCGTTCCGGGTCGTAGAACTCGTAAAGGTCGTCAAAGGCGGAGTGTCTGGGGGGCGACACTTCGACAGCTGGTTGCTGGGTGAGCGAGGGATCCTGGGACAATTTGGGGACTGCGCCTGACGCGCAAGGACGATGGGGTTTGTGTTATAGACTCTGAACGTGGTAGGGTAAAGGCTAAACAGGGTTGGAGCCAGACAAGACGTGAGAGGGTGTGAGCAGTAACTGTAACGGAGGCATTGACGTGGTGAGGTGGAAGAAGTGCGCGTGGTTGTGCTGGTGGCTGGTCAATTTCTAAAATCATGGAGGTTGGGCCTTCAGCGTCCAGCGTAGAGTCGCGTGTCCACCAGTGCGGCCAAGTCGCGTCTCCAAATTGGTGAGTGAATTGAGGCAATTTACTACTCGGTAGAGACATCAAAGGAATGTCGTTGCGGGTTCTTCAAGCAGCGAATTTCGTTCGACTGTGTGGTGTTGAAGACCGGCAGATCTCTAGGTGGCGGTTGCGCCGAACTCGACGGGCGCAGCTATGAGCGCGGTCTGTGACTTTCAGCTTCCAATTTCGCATGAGCGATGTCTTAGAGCTTGATGGCAAGCATTTCAGCATTCAAACTGGTAATTGAGAATGTGTCGGTGATCGCAAGCATCTGGCGGGTCGCAAGAGTTCAACTGCAGACTGCGGGAGAACAAACGGCGGACTGCGGATCGCTACCGGCAGTCCGAGCCCAGATGTCTGGATTGGACACTTGAAGAGCAGCCTGGAACTATCCTCGACAACGTGCTTGCCATGGTCCCGTATTTTTTCTTGTTTGGGCACCCAACGGGTTGTGGGAAAGTCAGTAGAGTGAGGCCGTGGTGCGATATTGGAGAGGCTGGGCGCAAGCTCGCAAAAGCGTCGAGGCCCAGATGTGGAGCGATGAGCTGGCAGCATCGTCATCCCAGCACCTGCGATCTTCGGCCACCGCCATCTGCATCTCTCAGCCCCTGGTCCGACGAGCCACAGTTTCACTTGCATCGTCACCGCCCGAACGCCTTCGTTGCCGGCCGCTCATCTCCCGACAGCCCTCCTCGAGTCTCAAGAAGCAAGTCCTGTAGGAGAAAAGACACTGAAGTCAAGAGCTTGGAGAACAAACAATGCTGGATGGATCCGAAGACCTCGTTTCTCTGCCCCACCACCCTTCTCAGGAAATCATCCAGGAACCAGGGCGTGCCAGGGGACAGAAAAGGTTCTGCTTGACCTGTCACCTCCTTGTGCTCTTTTCAGACGCGGATTGGCTCAGCATCCCATGTCTCTGGACGAATCGCCACACCTGCAGACGAGACACCTGCAAGCCTTCCTGCGTCCCTCTTTCGCTGTGCCCTAGCAGAAGCTAAAGCCACAGTACCAAGATGATTGATGGCGTTTGCTTCCCGGATATCTGTCGCCACCACTGAGGCTGAGAGCCTTACGTCTCCTGTTTCCCTGTTGATCATCTATGCTTTTGATCTGCGAAGCTTGAACTACCAAATCGTCTGCGGTGAGAGCTGACTTATCTTTGTACCGGCGTCGTCCAGTTATCTCCCTGGTGGCTGTAGGGTTACTTCTCGTCAACCATGACTGTCTGCGAATGCCAATGCCAATGCCAGATGTCAAACGCGTCAGTATAAACTATTTTTGCGCCCCATTCTTACCCCGTTAAGATTGATATGGGACGCATGAGGGTGTGGTGCTAGTCCCTCTCGAGGAAAGCAGGTAGGAAACATGTCCTTCGCCAGATCGGTCGTATTGGTAAGGGCCTGTTCACCAACTGATCTTCTCCTGCATGTTTGCTATTGATAAACAGCAAATTGGTCAAGATTTGGAGCAAGCGGTCGGAATCCTGTCAAGAGCAAATCACCACCTTGCTGTCCAACTTTCCCTTGGAAAGCTCGAATTCACATATTTGGTGTTGCTGTCCAGCCAGGGAATGATGCAGTGGAGTCTCTATTGTCCCGACTGTGCGGAACGGAATTCGTGCCTAGATTGATGAAGCTGTCCCCCTTGCCCTCAACTGGTCCTCAACTGGTCCTCGACTGCTGCCCGGTCCTCAGTCTGGATTATTAATATCGAAAACATGGACGTTTTGCATCATTGAGCATATCATTGAACAGGTGGCTTGCCTCCAACGAGAAGCAGATGACACAAACCTAGATCGTACTACACCGTAATGCAACATCGAGATGTCCCCCTTGTTGGCCCTACGGGCGCTGTGCGTGACGACACTGCAAATACCTTTCCAGTACACATGAGCAGAGCATTGGCCAGGGCCTCGGACGAATTATACATGAAAGGCAGTTCGCCTTCAGTGCTCCAGGCCCATCCCTCCGATTCCAGTTCGAAATCCAGAGCCACGGTCCGGGCTGCTGTCGAGAGTTTGGAGACGCTTCTGCGTGGTATATCGCCAAAGAAAGAACAGCTCTTCTCCTACCCACGCACCACATTGAGGTCCCACCCTTGTTCAGACTGACTGTGCCCAGATCCCGAGAGACCACGATCTCCATGGCGTGCATGGTAATGTGACAGCCTGCAATATCAAGATCCAGGCTGCTTCTCCTTCAAACTGCAGTTTGAGCTCCCTTTGGTCAGCGCAGACACCAGTCCAGCCAGAATCTTACACGAAATCCTTTGATCCGCGGATGTACTGGCCTATTTCTCATATATTCCTCCTTCGGTCCAACCCGACATCTTTAGCTGAACCTCAGCTACTTCTATCCATTGTGTCAGAAGATTGATTCGGAAGCTCAAGCTCTTTATATGTTCTCAATGTGACAGCGTGGATCTTTTCAAGGAATGCTCTACACCTCCCACTACATACAACACGAAATCCGAAACATGCCTCTGCCATTGGCAACATGCGAACCCCATACTAATCCACATTACTCCTATGGAAAGGGTGACTCTGATGGCCTCCCTTCCTGCTCCCAGCCATATGACTTGGCGGATCCTTGTGGTTTTCATCCACTGCTCCTACACCGTGTGCCGTCTGCATCCCTCTACCCCGAGGAGATGTTGGAGCAGTGGTCCTCAAATCTTGTCCAACCGTCCGTGGTACACTCAGATGCAAACGATGACAATATCTACACCAAGAACAGTCCTCAATGCCCTTCTGCGCCCTCGAACAATACGTATGGTAACGGAACCTCTCACCGAGCTCTTCTCCGTCCCACAAGTCTGCTTCCACCAGCACCGAGATTCACTCGACCTTTGTCAGATACCGGCAAGGTTGAATGTCGATTAATATCAACCGGGTCATCCATATGTCATGATACCAACACAAACTCGACCTCGACCGTGGAGAGCGAAGCGTTGAAGCGATTGACCGCACAGATTGGAGATGTCTCACTAGAACAGGACACCCTCTCAACTCCCCCAACAAGCCCGATCACTCCAGTCCCGTCCTTGACAACTTCATGTCAATCTCGCTCGTCGTTTGCCATCTCTGATAGCTCTCCCTGCACAGCGGTCGACTCTTCGCGAAACTACTTTGAGAGTCTTCTGCCGCAGGATTCTGACAATGCCATGGTATCTTCCAAGGGAACTTACGAGACCAGCATCGGCTCTCGCGCCCATGGCATCAAATCGCCACTATCCAGTCCTCTTCTGTATCAAGAGGATCCGCTCTGTCGGGCACTTCAGCCCACAAATCTGTCAAGCGGTTCGAATCTTGGGCTACCGCGACATATCCTGCATTCTGAATTGGGGGCTACAACCAGCAATTTGCCTCAAGCGTTTGAAAGACAGAAGGAAGTGTCTTATATCGATTGGGACGACGAGGACGACCACAGGAACTACCGTTCACCGCTCATGCGTATTAAGAAAAGCTTCACGGATCTTCGTGCCGCCGAACGCTTCATCGCGGAAGCCAATGTACAAGTTCGCAGGAGAAACATTCGGACTTGGCGTCAAATGACAACAAATGGTCTTTCCGACTTGCAGCACGATGAAACACGTGAAGCAAATCGGCAGTACCGTCACAATCGTCCAAGTGTCAACATGTTGAGCAAAGACGAGAGCGGTCTCGCACCGCTGTCATCAAAGCTACGTAAACGCCCCAGCACGAATTTGTCCCCCCAAGGTGAACCCAGAATAACATCCCGAGCGATGACGCTAGAGCGAAACCTTGTCAAAGGGATTGACGGCACCAGATGTGAAGATAACAATACATTGTCGGTACTGCCGCGCGACACCGGTGTACTCGCACCTCCAACACCGCCGTCAATAGGGAAGAGGAAACGGGCCAACACAACGACGTCAGAGCAGTCGGGGGAAGTGCAGAAGAAGAAACCAAAACTCGGTGTTGTGGGAAAGCTGGTGTCGCGACTTCTCGGAGCCAAAAAGGGGCGGTCGTCTACTTTCTCTGATATGAATAGATGAAAGTCACCTGGCATTTTTATATGGTTGAATGATTACGGCTGGACGAGCAGGTATGGACCAACTGAGGGTTTCTTCCCTGGGGTGGTGATGTATGATGTATGATGTATGTAGGACATGGTAGCATCGGCATCGTCCAGAATATCTACCCAGAGAAAGGGAGCAGGAGCAAAGAGACGTACCTCTACCTATTCCTATCGAGAAAGATAGCGCTGCGCCCATTCTGTAGGTCATCGTCTTACCCCTCTGTTTCTTACTAGGTAGCCTTGTCCACATCCCTAATTCGACCCATCTCAGGCATGAGAGGGGTTCAGAGGTGTATCGGTAGGCAGGCAGGTCCCGTAGTCACTCACCTGACCAGCTTTCCTCGTCCTGCACTACATAATCTGCTGTTCGGGAGAGGCATCGACACTCTTGCGTGGATAGCCCCGGGCACGGATGCTTTCAACAGAGTGCCACAGCCCTTTTCGATAATGTTTAGCATGTTCATCCCTTGCCGCGGATTTTCGGTCACGCTATCATGTAGCCGTGCCCGAACCCGAGTCCGAGCCCGAGCATAAACGTGAGCATGAGCGTCCATAAACAGTCCCAGTGCAAGCTTGCACTGACTAGCAGACGTGACCACTCGTATCTCATCCTCTCAAAGAAACCATAGGGATGGAAAGGGGGAGTCATGTTCGAGAACCACCACGAGTACACGTGGTGGTTTCGTCGTCCCAGAGATCTCGATTTCAGAAGAGAATGAAACCCCTTGCATACGACGCATCGGTTACATAGAATGGCATGGGTGGATATCTCTCGACTGTTTTTGTCTGGACTCTGGACTTATGTAGGAGCATCCGTGCCCCATGACCTGCTTGCACCTTTCTCGCCCGAACTAGCTGGACTCGATCGATCCGGTCATTCATGTCTCCAGAAAAGAACAAGGGGGAGAGATCTCAACCAGATTTTCTGTTGCGCATTTTCGCGCGCTGAGGCCACGACGAGGTCCGGGATCGGGGAATTGAGAGGAAGGGAGTCTGCGGATGCGGCAAAGGGCGCGTGGTCTGTTGACATCATGTGCGCGCCTCTGTATTGGCCTGTATCCTCTGTGTGTGTGTGTGTGTGTGTGTGTGTGTGTTCGAATGATGAGGCCATCTAGTCCTCAACTCTCGAGGAGCACTGTGATCATGAGCTTTGCACAGACATGTGTTTGCGCAGAGGTCAAGGACTCGTGAGCACGAGACCACCGACTGCCATGGAGAATAGCGCATGCGGTACTCGGTACATACCTAGTCATGGTCCTGGAAGAGAGGTGAGTTGGCCTTGACAGGGGGGAGATGACATGCCTGGATGGGATGGATCACCCACAGAGGACCTCGCATAAGTGGGAGTGAAATTGAAGTTGAAGTTGTTTGGTCTGAGCGCAGTCATACTCGGAAGTAGTTCAGAGGAGAAATGGTCCCAGAAGTTCTTCTCTCCCCACGTCCTTTTCCTTCTCTCTCCTTTCCTCTCCATACCTTGTTGTGCTTGTGCTTGTACCGGTGCTGGTGTCACTCCACTCCACTCCACTCTCACGGCGAATCTACAGTATCTACCTACTCGTACTGGTGGTCGTATCTGAGCACTGAATACCTCGTACCGAGTAGGTGAGTACATAGGTACCTCGTATGGCACAGGGGAAAGAGGCTTGGGATCCGTTAATTTCACCAGACCACCTGGCCATCCACACCAAACTTGGTGACCATGCAGGCTGCAGTCCCTAGGTGGAGTGGAAATATGGAGTACCTGATGATCTGTGATCTCTGTCCTAGTACTTACAGGTAGGTACGGCATTTCGCCGTCGAGGCCTCCAGCGAGTCATTCAGGACTCGGCAGTCGGTACCAAGGTACGGAGAAGATATTAGTCCCTTCCTCGTGCCAACTCACAGGTAGGCGGGTAGGTAGGTAGATGAGAAGAAAAGAAAGCGAAATCAACTCTACACGTAGTCCTCGTACTATATTACCACCTGGAGCTACTACTTGTACTTGGAGGTACTTGTAGTGCCAAGTGCGGAGTATATACTTTCAACAGGCCCAAAACTACTCGTTTCGCGCGAAGGCTTGGGTGCGAGATCGTTTCTTGACTACCAAGCAGCCAAGTCGTTCGTTGGTCAGCGTTTCCTCCCCAAGCCATTGATCGAGCCAAGCAAAAAAAAATCAAGCTTTGCCGGGTGCCGTTGAGCCTTGAATATCCCATTTTCCCCTGGAGTAGGTACAGGGTAAAAAGGAAACGTCCCCCGATGGTGATTGATGTACCAACGACAAAGAAATGGCACTCCTCATACAACTCGCAGATTCTCTGAAATGATGTCCCGAGTTCCGAGTACTACCCGTGCTCGTACCCCAACCTTGCAGGCTTGTGGATGTGATTGCGATGATGATTGGTATTTGGTATGGGATTGAGACGACTTGTCGAGTCGGGGTTGAGACGAGGTGTGGTTTGTTTCGTTTATCGCGAATCACAGAGGATCATCTAGGTACTCACCTACCACCCACCCGACCCAGTACTTACTAACTTATAGTGAGTAGAGTACTATGCAGGTACCGAGTAGGAAGGGATCGAGTACTACTTACGGACTAACATGTCCCCGGTACCTACCCTCCTACCTATCTATCCAAGATAAGTAAAGTCGCTGCTCGAGCCAGTAGTTCATTCCCCCGTCGCAAGTTCGACTCACAACGTTCAACCCGCACCACCGCTCGCTCGGGGGGCCGAAGCGTCCCCCTAACAAAATTACTTTGCGATCCTTCAGACATTCGGGAGATGACTTAATACTTGTTTGTGCCTTTGAGCTTGCCGAGTAGTAATTCGAAGACTATTTGACTTGGGGGCTCCAGACTTCCCATTTCTCCCCTCTCTCCGCTGGCCCCCCGATTTGTAGTCTCCAGCCAGCAGGTTGGGCTAGTCACAAATACTTGTACGAGGTACCTGTCCCAGACGTCGATCTTGGGCCGCCAGAATCCACAACCACACCCACAACCCGCCTTATGTAGAGAACGATTACTTTCTTGTACAATTACTGCTCGTAGGTACAACTGAACTGAGTAGAGGGATCGCGCGAGAATAGGAGATAATTGCAGCGGGAAACCCCATCGTCAGCATTGTAGCATCACATCTCAAACAACTGAGCTACTAGTCCGTATACTCGGCTCTCCCCTCCTCATTCCCCGGAAGTCGGCAATCAATCAGGCACTCGTGCAGGTTATAAGCGAAATAACCCTGCACCCCGACTCCCGCTGACTACTACTAGTAGAGGCACTTCAAGTCAAAAGCCATTAAAATTACCACTTCTATTGCAGGTCAAGTGTCAAAACGTCCAAATAATGATATCGCGTAACGTTTCACAAATGTCCAATATAGGTATGCCTCGGGGTCTCGTGTGTCCACTGTCCACCGCCCACCCCCTATTTTGATGTCGTGTGCCCAACCCACATACTGACAATCTCAGTAGTAGGTACAGTGGCAACACCCCCATCCATGTACCAAGTGATCGTTCGCTTTTCAGCGCCCACGCTATGCCTCTGGTCCAAAATGCCAAATGTTCCAAGTGGGGTTTCCCCCCCAAAAGATGATGCCTCTCACCCGCCGTTTAGTGGCTGGGGTAGGTCACGTTGCCACCAATGTCCTGCAACCAAGCGATGCTGTTGAACTCGGTGAAGATGGTGCTGATCTGCCATGTATCCTTTTGGCCCTGGCTATTGGATGCCTTCAGCACCGTAATGCCCTTGACTGGCTGCGGCTGCAGACCACCGATCCATCGCAGCGAGATGGTGTCGCAGTTGTACGCCTCAATGGCAAGGAGTTCGAATGGGACGGGAGGCTGAGATCCCTGGCCCGCCATGAAGGCGGCCTTGCTGGGGAAGGTGGCAGTCCCGACTGGTGCCCCGATGAGGGAATTGATAGAGTCCGAGTAGTCGACCAGGTCGTCAGCCAACAGTCTTTGAGCGTCGGCGTCCGTGTACGCGGAGATGAGCTTGCCAAAGCCGTCGACAATGCTCTCAACCGTGCCTTGAGTCAAGCACTTGGTTGGGTCGAACTTGGCTCCCCAGAGGCCGCCCATTGTCCATGGAGCAGCATAGGCTGAGGAAACGAGGGCGGCGGCGGCGGCGATGGTGAACGAGCGCATGATGATTGATCACGGAGGTCTGTGTAGAAGAAAGAATGTGGTTTGAGTGGGGGTTACAACGAGTGTTGGGTAAAGTGCTGGTTGCGAGATAGCGAACGATTGTCTGGTTGTGAGCTGGATGAGAGGCTGGGACGAGGTCGGGGAGAAGGCATTGTTATATAGATATTGAAGACCTCAATGACGAGACCAACCCAGGAAAGGTTGGCGCGGAGAAAAAAAACCTGGCCTGGACATGCTCGTATCCTCTGCCCTCAGCCTCAAAGCAGAGCAGCTCGAGAACCAACTCCCGCTCTAGGTCCAGGTCCGTCTTCAGCAATCGATGCGTCCCCAACCTTGGGTGTGACCGCCGTCACAGCTGTTCCACCTGCCGCCACAAAGTCCAAGTTTGGCCTCGTTTTGAGTTCGACTGGGGTCTTCATGGGTGTCCCTGGGGTGGGTACCTGGCAATTTAGCTTCCAACACCAGCGCAGTGCTTGCCATAGCCAGACCAGCTGACACCCAGTTTTCGTCTCATGGGTGGCGCCAAGATCAACATGTTCCCCTGCAGTAGGACCAAGACCGGACCAAGGCTGGAGAGCTTTAAGTTCATCGATAGCGCCTCTTGTTCGTTAATCTCAGCCACTGATGTTTGAGGCTAACAGAGGCGTCAGCCCACTTCCGCTTTAGTCGAGGTATTTTTGGCCTAGACCAACCTCGCCCCAGCCTTGGGACCAAGACCCGATTGTGGCCGTCGGTCGGAGTTGGGACGCTGCTTAACCTTTCCCTCAGCCACACATGGACTACCCAGATGACCACTGTCAAAAGAGAGTCCAGGCTGGGCAGCGCATGGTCTGGATCAAACGGCCACGGATTTCGTGGGATTGGAGGTCCAACTTGCTTTCCACTAAACCCATTTCCTCGCCTGGAGGTGCTGGATTGGGGAATCGGCGTTCGGCTCCCACTCCCCTTGTTCCCCCACAAGAACCCGATCAAGCTTCCCCAGCCCGGCCGACGAATATCTCATGACTCTCTGAACATCGACAACGATTCCCAGAGCAAAACACAGTAGAGATCAATGCGTGACACGAGAGAGTGGTCAGTTTCGTTGTGCTTTACTGAAGTATCCTCCCTTTTCGGCAGCCAAGCGCTGACACGAGGTCAGCTTCAGTATCTGCTCGAGTTATACTTGTAGTTAATCCGTCTGGGCAATGCATGGCAATGCATGGCAGCCCCGAGAGGTGCTTATTCCAAGCCACCACGAGGTGCACAAGAATCCGTTAACCCATGCTGTCTCTTTTTGGAGTACTATTGTCCGTAATGGTAACCGAGTCGGGTCGATGCGGGTCGACCTCGCTCTCGATCTGTGTGGTGCCATAGGGCAGCCCTGCCCCGATCCTCAAGGAACTCTTGCCTTTGATGAGCTGCATGAGCATAAAGTTCAAAGCACACTTGATGCCATGTTGCTCGCCCCGCTTGATGATGTAGCCATTAATGTAGTCGATCTCTGGCTTCTTACCATGGCGGACATCCTCCCGCATACTGCTCGAATTCTGCGCTGTCCGCCTTGTCACGCCCAGGAATAGCTGCTCAAGTCGCTTGGCAGAGAATCGGTGCTGCACATTGGGGATCCCCTCTAGCTCCGGGAGGCCTCGAATGACGAGAGATATCTCGGCAAGGAGAAGCCTTTGCACAGGTAGCAACTCCTCGTTATTGAGCAGTGCCCCATTCGGGACATCAAGGAGCGCGGTGAGGGGGTTCAAAATGCAATTGGATGACAGCTTTTCCAGCTGCAATTGCAATAGGTCCAGGTACGGAAATGCCGCGCATGCCAGGACCGGCGATCTAGTCAAGGTGCGTAGAAGGTAACGTGAAGAGAGTGTCGCAAAAAGTTCCTTGTCCGTAGGGTGATGCTTCTTCCGTTCTTCTTCGGACAACTCCCACAGATGCCGTACTGGCGTCTTTGGAGGAAGCGGGAAACGATCAGCATCTCGACATATCCCCAGTGCTATGGAACCGTAGCCGGCATGGACGACTGTGCAGGGCTGCGACATGTATGATCCGTGAGAAACAATTCCCAGCATATAGGTGGGACGTTCCTGCGGATCGGTAAAGACCTCCCGATTAAGTTCATCTATTTGCCCAAGCCCATTTTGCATGAAACAGATGGTTGTCTTCGCGTTGACACGGTGTTTGACAGAGCGGAGGGCAGCAACAGTGGCCGGCCCCTTGACAGCAACTATCAAGGTGTAGATGTAAAGCTCGCCGGATTCCATCATCTCGCCTTCCTCGACAGGATTGGTCTGTGGCTGATCCCAACGCTTGTCAGGAATGAAGTCCCATCGCGCCTTGCCGTCTTCCCCATAGCCGTTGAAGAGGTCAACATCGTACCCAGTCTGCTCATCGTTGGTCTCGTTTTGCTTGTTTATCAGGCTGATAGTACGACCACCTCTTTTGAAAACTTCGTATTGCTCTTGTCGGTGGATCATGAGGGTGATCGGAGGAGGATTGGGCAGGCATCTCAATGAATGGGCGACCAGGGTTCCGATACTCCCAAGACCGAGAACATGTACACGCCTGGTAAGAAGCTGCTCATGGTCTGCATTTGGCAATGCTGACTCCTCCAGTGGTTTGGACTCAAATACGGGAGTGTCTCCCGAGGGCTCGGGCGATGGCGGATCTCTCCACCAAGAACGAGTTTCTGTCATGGTTCCGAATTCGCGAGGCGGTTGTCTAAGATCGAAGACGCTCTGTGGCCACAAGTCTGAACGCACGACCTTCGGCCATCTGCGCACTGCCCGAGAGAGGGGGCGAAGAATCAGTCGTTGCGACAGCTTGAGAGTTGATATGGTGTTCACTTAAAGGAATGAGATCGAGTAGGCCTGCACGAAAGGCGAATTTAGCGGCCGGAGTTCTGTCCTTGAAGGTCAAGCTACCGTAACCATCCTGATAAACCACTGGAGAACGATTTGTCTGGTCAGCAGAGAGATAAGGAGTAGTTACGAGTAGCGATGGCGGAGGAACTGAGTTGATGGTGGCTGGCATTGAAGGCATCGCAGTTGGAGAAATCGCAGTCACTCGTGTGTGTTTGATGCGGGGGAAATTTCTGCCCCAAATTCACGCGCTCGGATGGCCACAACTTTTTCTACACATTCACCTCATGAGCGCAAATTCTCCTTCCCCATCGCGATAAGATGGATACCAAGGCTGTGATAAGACTCGTGGACGAGTTGCAGGAGAACCTGGAGGATCTCGAAGACAATCTTGAACCAATCCTTAGCGGCGCGCTCTCTGCCACCACCAAAAAGCTGCCCTTGCTCGATCGCGCGAAACTTCATGTCCTTCTCGTCTACTCGATCGAGTCCTTGATTTTCTCCTATCTCAGACTCCACGGTGTCCAGGCAAAGGAACATGCTGTCTTCAAGGAGTTGACAAGAGTCAAACAATATTTTGAAAAGATCAAGCAGAGTGAGGCTACACCACAGAATTCTCGGCCAACGATCTCCCTTGACAGAGATGCCGCTGGAAGGTTCATTAAGCATGCTCTGGTATAGCACCGTATCCATTTTGGCGTTCTTGACGATAAGCCTAACCGATGCAGGCCGGAAATGAGAAATTCGATCTACAACGCGCCGAGCGTGAGGCCCGCGAGAGAGTCCTTGCGAATAAGAAGCTGAAAGAACTCGAGTCTGCTATGAAGGCAAAGGCGGAAACAAAGGATGATGAGGACCGTACGGCACAAGCTGACCAATTCATCGCAGCCACGTTGAATGACGCCCCTTCTACGGATGATCTCGCAGACGGTGACTCTGATAGTGACGGTGACACTGACGGCGACGACGGCAATCCACCCCTAGAGCAACAGCCAGAGGTGCAGGCGAAGAAGGGGAAAAAGCGGAAAACTAGATCTAAGAGCAAATCGCAGAGAGCAAAAAGAAAGAGAGAAACAGATGTTGAGGGTCTCGAGCAACAGGATCAAGCGCAACCGGCAGCGGGAACCAAGGCGTCTAAGAAGACAGGGAAGAAATCAAAGCGAGCCAAGGATGCTGCTTTAGCAGCTGGCTGAACATCTCTGCTAGTGACAACAGCATTGTTACTAAGAGACGGAGCTATCTACCGCGGATGGCATTACATCCAATATGACAATTCCCCTGGGCGCTTTGCACATTACCATCTTGGGTGATAGACTATTCAAGAGATCGCATGCGAAGTCCATCTTCCCAACTATGCATTGGCACTAGCAGGGAGAGACTTGGGGAGACCGGAGACCGCACCTCATGTTCAGACTTCAGCAGCAGAGTTCCAGAGTATTCAGTCCATGCGTCAGCCTACTCAGGCTGCTGTTGAGATGGTCAAACATATGGTGTCTACTACGCAAAGAAATATGCGTTTAGGAATGAGTTCTGCACTCAGGCTACCACTGTCATGGGCAGAGGTGAGCTACACTGGATTTTTCTTTGGATCGTGAGATTGCTTATTGCCTGGTCAGGTTCAACCCGAGAGGTACAGTCTCACATCCTGTAGAGGCTGGTCTCCTTGCAACAGAATCGAGCAGGATTTCTCCAGTCGCATGTCTCTTTGCTTGGTGTCGCCGTGACTTGATATGCCGGCTCCACTCGGGGCTTGAATAGAAACATGTTCAAAGTCCATACCAGCCTTCCCACTACCGATGCTTTGTAACACCGGTCTGTCTTTTCACACTCCGAGCCTGCTGACATGCATTACTTATGCAAACCCTTCTCTCCGTCTACTTTCTTTGTCCTTCCTGTCTGTGTTGGTTGGTCGAGTGCTCGAGCTCTTGCATGAGCACAGTCCAGGTTACGGGCTCATGTGGCATCTGAAACATCGGCAGCAGAAGCTACGGCTGATCTTGATCTTTAGTCGAGACATGGCCTCGGTGTCAAAGGCAACACTCCCTAGGTTCAGTGAGATGATTGAGCGAACACGCTGCCCTCACCCTCTTTTCCTCATGAGCATGCCTCGAACCTCAAACCTGGAGATGGTCCAGACCGTCTCAGCCTTCCCCCTCTGACTGGACGCTTGGACGCTTCTTCACCCTGGCCCCAAGTCCACGGACCCCAGCGAGGCTCGAGGTCTACCTCCTGACTCGGCCATCAGTCTTGGTCAACCACGTGTCCAACTTCCAACTTGCCAGGCTCGTACTCACCCAATCAGATGATAGTATCGCAGCAATCGACACGACATTCATCTAGTGGGCGACACAACTCACTCACTCACATGGCAGACTATATTACCGTGCAAGCACTGGGATTGGCCCGACGAGGCTGCCCGGATGATACGTCACGTCCCTACCGGGGAAAAGGTTGAGCCGGGATGGATGGACATACCTTTTGTCTGCATGTTCTCATATAGGACCGCAGCCGGCCACACCTCCAAGGTTTTGGACAATACACACAGATTCTGTTTAACATTGCACGATGCTGAACCTGGTTCTTCGTCTCGTCGCCGTCGCCGCCTGTGTTTTTGGGGTCGCGATATGTGCACGCATCAGCGGAGAGGTCTTGAGAGATGACCGTGGCGGCAGCACCATCATCACGACGTACATCGACCCTGAGACAAGGCCAGGGGACGTCGCAAGAGAAAATCCTAAAGTGAATGCGTCAGAGCAAGAGATGCCGGGAGTCGTCGCCATCACCTCTTCGCTTGCCTGGCCACATCTCGACTGGAAAAGCAAAAGCCCATTCCACACCCGCTTCGTCGGCGTCTTCTTCAGAATCAATCCTCCAACAAACCTCTTTCAACCGGCCACCATCGCACGTGCGGTCTGCGAAAGAGTCGCCCACCCCTACACCTACGATAACATTCACTTTCCCATTTTCATCTTCACATCCCCATGGAAGATGGTGGCGACCAGAGTGAACGAGTGTGTCCGTCTGCTTGGATGAGATATATGGTTTTTTTTTTGGAAACGAAATTCATGGACCAGGACAGGATTGGGTATGCGATGGATGCAACCTAACCTAACCTCTCCTTCCGTTCTCGAAGCCTGGAAAATCCGATGAAGGAGGTTTAATCACTGGGGCAACCCAGGGGCCATGTGCGAATCCACTTGATCATTTACTCGTTCGAGATCCTGCAGCCCTTGTTCCGTCTTCAGTCATCCGCTCGCGTGGGTAGGTAATGAATGTATCTATCTGCCTCTGGTGCCCCTATCTACCACCTATATGATATGTGTTGTCAACGAGGCTGTGCACAACAAGCACGAGTAGAGGACTGATGGATCGATGGATCCTCAGCACATTAGCCTTCGCTTCCCTTCCTTCCTTCTACTCGGATATACTGGTATGAATCCGCCCAAAAGATACCTCTCCACGGCGGGTTTTCCAGTTTATCTTGGTTTTCTTCTGGCATGCTTTGTCCCCACCCACACTACTTGGTCGGGCAGAGCCCAGTCATCGATCTTTTGTTCATGCTCATGGGAATAAGTTTCTATCACTACCAACCAAACCAGGTTGCCATCCCTCCCTCCCTCCCTCTCTCCTTGTATAGGTACCAACTTCATCTTGCAAAGAAACGTTACCTGCGCCCCTCGGAAAGACAGTCAGGTACAAGGCCGTACGTAGTAAACTCTCTGATCAAAAGTGTTACATCGATCAAAAATCTCAAAATCAAACGTCCCTCCGCCCTTCAGAGGGGAAAAAAAAAACCGCTTGCTAAAACGCTCAACACCCGTATGGTAAAATACAAGGGGAATTATATACACCGTCAATACAGAAAGACCAAATTCAAAAAGACCCATTACTGCTTCTCAGCGTCCAAAAGAAAAAGTCGTGCAAAAACAAGACGATCCCACCCGGCTTGATAAGTTGAAATAAAGAAAATCATAGTTCTTTTCGTTTGCAAAGATGATGCGCCATGTTGTCCAGAGACAACAAAAGCCCCGTTTGTTTCGAGTTCAGTCATCATTGATAAAAACTGGCATCCATTCCTGCCCCGGGTACGCTGTAGCACTCATTGGAATCTCTTCTTCCGATTCATACCCCTCGGCCTTGGAGCCCGGCAATTCTGCAATTATTCCGGGGGTGGTCTTGTCTCTTGCACTAGAACGGCGTGCTTCCCGGGGTGATGTTGGATCTCGGGATCCCTCCAGAATTGACACGTTGCGTTCTAGGCCCTGGCTCGTGTTGGTGTTGATCTGCTCAGGGTGGCTGCTGGAGTCGACGCTGACGGGCGTGTCGCTCCTCGTTGTTGCACCTTCGATCCGTTCGCGAAGAAGCTGCTTCTTGCGTCGATCGTTTCCATCATCGTCGAGCCCAGGAACCGTGATTGCAAAGGGTCTTTCTTGGTCATCGTCTGGACGCGCGATGCCACCAACGGGACTGATCTTCTTGGAGCTGAATGTACCTAACATGTCGTTGACGCCAATATTTGAAGTGCCTCGTGGTTGGCTGGAGTCCAGGTCATCAGAGCTGGGGCGTCCAAGTCGTGGTGAGCGTGATCGTTTGTGGAGGTCAATGACATGCGTACGAGGGTCCTGTCGGATTGAAGGCGTAGGCTGTCCAAAACCAGCGGATGTAGGCCCACCTGTGGTTGTTATCGTACTGGCTGGGTTTGTATTCGGGGGGGGCGTCGAAGCGAAGGACACCGGTCTCGAGTAGCCCTGTGCCGGAGCAGTAGCGGGCGCGTAATACTGACTACGGTTGCCGCCACTTGTGTCAATACGAAGATCGGATGGTCGACTATGATTCGAGTTCATGTATGGATACGTATTGGATGGATACGGTCCCGCTGCTTGCTGTTGACCTGGTAGCGGGGACTGAGGAGGGTGTCCCGGGTAAGGATAACTGCTGCGTTCTGAATGGTGTTGGTACGGAGTGGTCACATTTGGATACTGAGATAGTTGGGATTGTGTTTGGCTCGGTGGATATGCAGACTGAGAGTATTGTGGATGCCCAGGGTCTTGGGGGAAGTAACCTCCAGGCCCCATGGGATACTGGCCAGAAGGGGTCTGCGCGGAATACGGCTCTGGAGATGTGACCCGGTGGTTCTGCGCCGAATAGGGTTCGGGTGATATAACACGTTGAGTAGGAACATGCTGTCCCTGTGTCTGTGAAGGAGTAGGTACTGTTGCAGCCCGTGTGTTGCTGCTGCTCTTGAAGAGGTTGCCTCCAAACCCTGAGAACCTCTTCTTCCTTCCCTCTGTTCCCCTCTCGCCCGTCTCTGGGGTTGGGGCTCGTAAGACATCCTTAGACAGTCGTCTTGCCGAGTGAGACTGAATGCTGGGCGAGCCAAGTTGTCCAAGCTGGTCCTGACGACCGTAGGTGCCACTTCTCTCTGATGACATACTGTCATTACGGTGCAGGAAGCTACCACGCTTCTCCTTCTGTACGATTTCTGCGCTGTCAAGTGCAGCGCCGACTCTCCCTTGTTTCTGGAGCTTCGAACGCGAGTGGGAGCCAACGCTGAAGAGCTTCCCAAGCATACTCTTCTTTCTCTCTGTCTGCGGACCCTGTGATGCTGGCTGTGAAGACACCGATTGTGCAGCAGGAGTGGGTAGTGGACCAATTGATTGACGATGCTGCTGCACTGACCGACCGTAGGGATAATTCACAGGTTCTCCAGACTTCATATCATATTCCACATGAGCAACGGACCCAGACTTATGAGAAGACTCATCCTGGTATCCCTGGCGATTCGGGCCTTCCATTGACATGTTTGAGCTCCGACCAGGATGAGGCTGCGGCGAAATCTGGCTAGGATATTGCTGAGATCTGCGCGCACTGGTTGGTGGCTGTCCGCTAGCTAGTACTTGAGTGTTGCCCCAGCCGCTTGTGGGGGTAGAGACTTGGTTAGCTAATGAATATCTTTGCCCATATGGACCTGGTATACGATATTGTTCTTCCATGGGCGGCTGGTGTTGATGCATGGCGGCCATTTGATGCTGCTCTTTTCGCTGGCGCAAACGATCAAGCTCTTCTTGAGGCCGCCTTGCACTAGGCAAGGGGTTCTCAATAGGATACTTTTGGGCACGATCCATTTGAGGCTGCCCTGGTACCATCGCACGTAAAGCTGGGTCACTGCCGACATTTGGCTCAGCGAGGAAAGGCCTGGAATATGATCGCGAATGTCGTTGCCCTGGTTCGTTTGCCTGATCCGAAGGCTCTTCAACACTGACTTGCGACATCTCCTTGCTAAACCCTCCCGCACTGCTTCGACCTAGACTAATCGGGCTCATCGGCTGAGATGGAACCCTACTGAGATCTTGCTCCTGTATCTGCTCTGAGTGATGGATGGCGCCAATACCTTCAATGCCGGCAAATGAGAAGGGCCGATGGTGGCCAAGCGGATAGTTCTCGCGGTCTTGCTCATGCTGCGATGCGAACTGCTGGGTCGGTGGTTCGGCAGTAGAGTGTGACCCTATAGTCGCAACAGCTGGCTTCAAATCCTGTACGTCGGAACGCTCATCTTGTGTTGATGGAGGAAGACCTGGCGCCATCGGAGGCTCTGTTTGGCCTTCCTTGATGTCGAAGGATGGTCGAATGTTTGCCGCCACAGCCACAGCTGTTGGTGCGCGCTGTTCAGGCTGGGGTATCCGCTCTTCACGCGCAGCAGGTATTGGATGAGCTGGTAGGTCGTCCGCAGGTGATAAAGACACGCTCCTTCTGCCATGTTGGCGTTCGGCACTAATGGTAGGACTGGGATCTGCACTTGATACGTCGGAGATGACAGACCGTCGTCGGTGCTGTGGAACTTGCAGGCTCCGGTCGCTGGAGTGGGCATCGGATGCTGACCCATCGTGATGCTCCGTAAGAGATTTTGGAGCAGCGAGAGTATTTGGCGATAAACCACGAGAATCAATAGGACTGACCTGAAGTTGAGCAGCAGGGATTTCTCTCCGGCTGTTGCTTCGTTCCACAGCTCGACGTGGGGATTCCACAGGTGACTCATCCGTAGGCCTGGTTAACTGGCTGATTGAACGGCTAGGCAAGCCATCATCTTCGTTATGCCCTTGCTCGCTATCCAGGGCTGAGACCGCCGGACTAGGAGCAAGTACAGGAACGACAGGAGTAGCAGAAGACACGCTGCCACTGGCAGATAATACTCTGACGTGCTCCAATCGTGCCCAGTTCATAGCCTGACTTTCATGAGCCGCGGAAGAAGCTGTTGTTTCTGGTTGTAGCATCTGGTCCAGATCACTAGTTCGTGACCTCTTGAGCTCGGGGTTCGAGAACCAATCAATGGGAGAGGCTGGCGTGATGTTCAATGGAATTTGCGGTGGACCATCAAGGGATGTGGAATCTCGTGGCTGGGAAGGGGAGGCAAGATCTTCTCGTTCGTCTGGACGAAGTCCAGTAGATTTTCGTCGCTCGGCCAGTGTCCCCTAAAATCAAACGTCAATCAAGGGCTCGCTAAGGAAAGGCAGGCATATTGAAATCGTGGTTTCCATTCATTACTATTTGAAGGTGCCCAAAGGAAAACGCTGTGAAGATGTCCGGGCCAGGTTCTGGGATCCCTGAGAGCATATATTCCCACATAGCATTGATGCATTTCCTCCGTCGCAAAGAAATGATATTACAGGCGAGGCAAGGAAAGGGGGAAGATCAACGGACTACCTTTTCGCCAGAGCTCGCGTGTCGCATCTTCTCTTTTCCTTTAGCAAACAGGCCTTTAGCGGCGGTACCCGCCTTGCCACCGAATCGTCCAGCAGCTGCCATTAGCTTCTTCCCGTCCTCTTGCATGTGTCCAGCTGATTGTGTCAGCATTCGTCGGGGCGAGGGTTTGTGTGCAGTAGGGCTCTCAGCCGTGTCTAATGAGAGCCGCCCATTCGTAGCAAACAGCTCCAAATTTTCCGGCGTCTTCATCGACAACAACCAATTTCCCAGCTGTTCATCTGGTGTGGCATAGTATTGCCTACTTTCATTGAATGCCTTGATACGTTCTGCCG